TTCATATTTTTTCATCTAATATGCTTAGCTCAGTGAAATTAGATAAAGGGAAATATGGTTATAGTCCAGACAAAATACAGTAATAAATATAATAATAATAATAATGTTTATTTGCAACATACACGTTAGGTGAAAATAGTAGCAAAATACATTTAAATGAGATATGTTACAAAAAAGGGCTGAAGGCATTTAAAAATTATACAAGTTCAGCCCTTTACCTATTGCAAATATACATATATATATATATATATATATACAGGGTGGCGCATCGAAAACGAAACAGACGCATTTACTGGCAGCTCAGTTTTTTTTTGGAAAACCGCTCAGACCCGTCGATTTTGTTTTCGAGGGGGACACAAGTTTGGCAAAAAATCACGTTAACACGTGCAGCCCCTGGGCGGGGGTGACACCAACCCTAAAATCTTAAATGGAAAGGGGGGTCGAGTGACCTTATTTTAAAGGTCTTTCAATTCCGTTTGTAGTGATATGAAATTAATGTACTTCAGTTCAGTAGTTTTGAAGATTTATTGATAAGAGGTACCATTGAATGGCCCCTAAGATCGCCAGATTTATCACCTTTGGATTTCTTTATGTGCGGTCCTTTAGAAAGCAAAATCTATGCTACTCATCCAACATCATTAGAAGACCTGCGACAAAGAATTGTGAATGAGTGCCTTCAAATTACTCCTCAAATATTGCAAAATGTGCGACAACGTTTTGACCAAAATCTTTATTATTGCATGGAGAGTCATGGTGGCCATTCATTCTTCATTTTCAAATTACTTTGCTGCCAAATGTCTTGATCTCCACTAATGATGATGCATTAGTTTTATTTAAGCTTTAAATCAATAAATCTTCAAAACTACTGAACTGAAGGACATTAATTTTATATTATTCTAAAGGGAATTGAAAGACATTTAAAATAAGGTATCACTCGACCCCCCTTTCCATTTAAGATTTTGGGGGTGGTGTCACCCCCGCTCAGGCGGCTGCACGTGCTAACGTGATTTTTTGCCAAACTTGTGTCCCTCTCGATAACAAAATCGACGGGTCTGAGCGTTTTTCAAAAAAAAAACCGAGCTGCCAGTTTTCGATGCGCCACCCTGTATATATACAGGGTGACTTTGAAGTTGAGTCATTAATTTTCAGATAATGATTGTAGAAAGAAGATAAACCAAAATATGTGTGTAAAAATAAAAAAAAATTAAAAAAAATTTACCTTGTTTTATAAAGTATCCTCCCGACAAGTATTTCAGTGCGGACCTGTATTTGATCGTGAGGTCTTGGAGCACCGGCATGCCGTCACCTGATTCACGAGCCCGTTGTACTACATTAACAAAGGCACGAGGGGTTGGTTGCACTCGATTGGGAAACCGATCCGCATAAACATGTGCCATTTTTTATTTCGTTTGAGCCACGCAACAGACACCACTATTCACTGACACTGACTGTATACAAATGAATAAAATAATTGTAAAAACATCGTTCCAAATTCTTTCGCTTTTTTGTTTTCGATGCGATGAACCGATACGGCGGATTATATCCGTTGTCGCCAAACACGAGCACATAATATTATTGAGACAGGGCGGTACTCAAACTTCCAAAGGGCTATAACTTTGTTACTTTAATTTTACCAGAAAAATGGTAAAGGAAAAAAACATTTCTTTTGATCAGATCTACTCACTGTTAAAATAAATGACTCAACTTCGAAGTCACCCTGTATATACAGGATGTCCGCAAGGTTGGGGTTTTCCTTTTCAGAAACAACTACCCTTGAAATAACAAAGGTAATGTGTAGTGAAACGAGGGCGACCAAGTAAAAAAAATAAAAGGGCTAAGTACGTCTCTGTCCTAAATCATACCACTCCAACAGAAAATGAAATCAGCTGATCCGCTACCGAGCAGATGCAGAAACCAGATTGATTGTCTTACACTTAATGCCACATCTTCTAACAAGGAAGGCAAAATGTTGCGTAAAAAGTCTAGGTATTGCATCCCGTCCAATCGATTTGGGAGATTAAATGCACTTCAAAAAGTCCGGATTATTGTCATGTTGATGCAACAACCACTCACAAAACCGCACTCTTGCTGGAAAATCGTCAGGTTGAAGGGCTTGTACACGTTGGACGTGAAACGGATACAGCTCCTCTTCACGCAGCGTTTGCCACACTTTAGTTTTTGATACTTGCTCTTCTCTAGCCACGTCTCTAGTGCGTGTTGAGGGATTCTCGTCTACGCGATTACCTCTACACGCGTGACCGTAACCGTCGGTTGAAGGTTGCATACTGACCTGACACACTGACCCCGACCCAGTTCTGTCGTCGGATTGAGCCAGTGATCTTGTACCAGTCGGTGATGTCGCGGCTACAGGACGGTATTCAGATATTTTTGATGTTGCAGAGCCCTTTATCTCGGTTCCCTTAAGACATTGGTGTATATGGTACTAAGAAAAATTGCTTATGTTTTCAAGATCTACACGTCGTGTAAAGGAAAACCCCAACTTTGCGGACACCCTGTATATATATACACATCAAAGTTACACAGAGTCCATGCAATGGGTAATTAACTATAAATATACAAAACCACGGAAAGCAACTTGTGAGTAGCAGTACAATTTCAACTTTCAAAAAGTTGTTGACAAAAAACAGGAAGCAGTAGCATGTTCCCTACATGCAAAATAGATCTATGAAACATTGCAAAAAGTTCTCAATTATTCATATTTTTTTAACAAGATATAAGTGAGATGAATTAGTTAATGCTCCAATGGTAATTCATTAGGAAAAAGGAATCAATCTATGGCGGTCTTGCAAATATCAGAAAACAGAAACACAGTCTATGGACAGTTACCGTATAATCATTTATGGTGTATGGCAAAAAGATCCTTGTCGATTTTAAAATTAATCCGTGACGATTGTAACTATTTTTTTGGTTGCTTCGTAATGAAGCCTAACCTGAAAATATTTTTTGAGTATTATTTTCAGCAAAGTTATTGCATGGCTATCTAATGGGTCGTCCTCAAAAAGATGATCTCCAAAATAATCAGATACCTTGGAGGGTATTACTCTATATGTTCCATGAACTAAAAGTGTTATTGGGGTACTTATTGTTTTATTACGTATGCCTGTCGTTAAGTCAAAAAATCTAAAGTATTTTTTACCTTCTTTACACATGTAAAAAAATATAAAATACGGAGTGGATCGGGAAAATGACGCACGCCACGCCAATGAGTTGAATCGTAAACATGTGAAAAGATATCTCTTCACTTCCTGTTTTGCCAGCCTCAACCTTACACAAAAAACACTTTTATCTCACCATAATTTAATAGAAGTCTAAAGAACACTTAAAAATACAAGAAAATCACACCGATAAAAGCGAATTTCAAACAAAATAAAAATGACAGGCGATGACTCACTCTACTACAAGGTTAGTACAACCAAGTGCAGCGTTGCCGTATATAAACGTTAATCACAAATATGCTGGAAATAATCTGGTTTGTATTATACCTCTATTTGTTTTAAAATTCGCGTATTCTTCACTTGTTCTATAAATTATTATAGGTATATAAGAATATACATGAATTTCTCCTAGAAGAACCTTTCATTTGGCTAGTTGTGGATACCATGGGGCCAATTTCAAAACGACCGTGGGGCCAGCTTATTTGGCGACATCGCAAAAAAGAGTGATTGTTGTGGGGGAAGAACTTACACATTCAAGGTCTATTGGTCATTGTTTCATATGTAACCTAATGGAGTAAATTCAATGCAGGAAGATCAAGTATAATGTACGTCCCCGCAAACCCCTAGCAACCCCCGCATCCGCGACAAAATTAATTATAGCTAAATTTATCCTCTTTACTCCTCAATAAAGGAAACTGCGCTGAAATGAGATGTGACAGCACTTTAGCCAGTTAAATATTTGCAGCTCGGGATTGTTCCTAATAGATAGACAAGTTTCCTTAGGATATTAGGAGTTTTTCCTCGGAAACTGCACGAGAAGGAGGTGAATGTCTGCAACTCTGACAATGGAACGAAGAAGACAGGCAATTTTAGTTGGGAACTTTTAGGGCGCGGGTGCAAATCAAGTTTTTCGAACCCAACCAGACCCTTGCAAGGATGCTTATAAGTTTGTTAAAGTCTGTTTCGACCGAATGGCCACGTAGTTGTATAACAGCAGCGGGAACTTGGATTACCCAAAATATTTTTAGGAGCTGAATGGAAATCGAAGTGGTTTCACAACATGGGCTTTACCAAATTTCTAAATTTGTTATGACATATACAGGGTGTTCCTTAATGATATGCGAATATTTAAGGGTGTGAATCTACATAAGAAATTAATGTTAGTTTGCTTTATAAACTATGGTCCAAAAATGTTTCCTTACAAAAACTCGTGGTGTTGAAGTTTTAGGAGAAAAATGGAAATCAATTAATATTTTCAGAACCTCTTCAGATATTTCACGTGGTGAAAGTTGGTTGCATATTTTTAAATGCAAAAATAATTTTTAGCTTTAATAGTGGCGTGCGTTCGGGTGTTGACTCCGATATTTAAAAAAATGGTACGCCAATGGTTTTTTGCCAAATAAAAATTATTTTTGAATTCCCCGTTCAATTTAAAACAAATGATCTCTCCTAAATTGTTTTCTTTCGATGCGCCATTTTTGAGTAAAAAAATAAAAACCGTTCTATTGTCTAACATGCAAAATCATTATTAATTTAATTGGAAAAATTAAACACATTAGGGGTAATGAACAACAACAACTGACAACATAAACATAACGTTAAAACCAACGAAATGGTTACAAAAGCTTGTTGAAAATGGCCCCTTTCAAGGATATAACAAAAAATCCACTAAAATTCTTCAAACAGTTTGATGGCAAATATTTTAGTGTCTAGCAATCTTTCTCGTACTCGTTTTAGGATTTTCTTCGATTTCGTGCAGCACTGCTTCCTCAATTTCAGGTGCTCTCATACTTAATACCCTGTATAATTCTACGTTTTTGTTACAGTGGCTGTGGTGGTGGCCTTCTTCATCTGCTGGGCGCCGTTTCACATCCAAAGGTTGTACTCCATCTACTACACTCAAAAAAGTGGGTCGCCTTCGTGGTACGTCCATCTTAAAATATACGAGGTGGTCACCTATGTCAGCGGCATATTGTACTACTTGTCTGCAACGATCAACCCCATACTTTACAACATCATGTCGATCAAATTCAGGGAAGCTTTCAAGGTAGGTAAGGATATGTTTCACTATGTAATAATAACAATAATTATAACAATAGCCGATATTACTATAATCTACAGAAGGTGAGATATAGCTGAGAGCTACTCTTACACGTAACCTTCAATAGCCGTTGTACATTCATAATTTCAAATTTAAGATATACTAAGTGACATATAAATCCGAACACCCAGTTTAAATGGTTTTATTTTAATAAAAGTTGGTGAATGTATTTATCTTACTGTAAATAACAAGTGAAAAAAATTTCAGCCTTATCAGTTGGACATTCCTGTTTTTATACTCCTTTTTTTAATTCACTAACGCTCTAAAAATGAATATTTCAGCCGCAGTAAAGAATCAACGTTGGCGGAATTTGGTTCTTGACATCCTTTACGATCGGTTACGATGCCTAGAGTACGGAGACCTGTACGATTTCGTCAACTTAGTGAGTTTGATAGGTGCCGTATAGTAGGACTTCGGGAAGCTGGACTTTCTTTTCGGGCAATTGAAGTCACTGTGGTTAGGTGTTGTCAGGCATGGCTTCGAGAATGCCGTACGCAAAGAGCAAGGGGCACTGGACGCCGCCGTAGAACAACAGACCGTGAAGATCGCCGCCTAAGATTATTGGCCTTAAGGGACCGTTTCTCCACTACCAGGTCCATTGCAAATGAATGGTTTGCAGAACACGGAAGACCTATTGGCATGCGAAGTGTTTACCGATGAATGAGAAGTTTTGGCTTGTTTTCATACCGGCCACACTGGGTCCTCCCTTTAACTCGAGAACACCGACGTAATCGCATTGAGTGGTGCAGACAACGGTCACTCTGGGATCAGGAATGGAACAGTATTGTCTTTATTGACGAGTCTCGATTTTGTTTAGGCATGCACGATGGTCGTGCCAGGGTTAGAAGGCGACGTGGTGAAACAAGGAATCCACAGTTTTTTGTTGAAAGACATGTTCATCACACTGTTGGAGTTTTGGTTTGGGGTGCTATAGCTTATGGTTCCAGGTCACCTTAATCTTCATCAGAGGTGACATGAACGCGCAGCGTTATATCCACGAAGTTCTAGAACCCCATCTTTTACCCTATCTTGACACCCTGGCAGATCCAACTTTCCAACAAGATAATGCCCGACCACATGTTGCAAGAGTCACAATAGACTTCTTTCAATATAATGATGTCACATTGTTACCATGGCCACCAAGATCTCCCGACTTATCCCCAATTGAGCACGTGTGGGATATGATGGGTAGGAGATTGCTCAATTTGCAACGTCCTCATCAGACTCTAGAAGCACTTCGAGAGGAGTTGGTGGTTGCCTGGAATGAGATACCACAGGAGGACATTGACCACCTGATCAGAAGCATGCCTAGGCGCGTTGGAGAATGCGTAGCACATCAGGGTGCATCCACACATTATTAAAGGTCAAAGGGCTTTAAAGCAGTGCAATCATTTTGAAATTTTTATCACTTACTTATTATGCTTCATTAAGTACTTATACAAAATTTTATTAAAATAAAATCATTTAAACTGGGTGTTCGGATTTATATGTCACTTAGTATATGAATAATTGAGAACTTTTTACAATGTTTCATAGATGTTCATATTTTGCATGGAGGAAACATGTTACTGCTTCCTGTTTTTTGTCAACAACTTTTTGTAAGTTTTAATTGTACTACTACTCACAAGTTGTGTAGCCCTTTATGGCCCACATTGTGATACGCCCATGGTGGGAATTCCGTAGTTGTGCTGTTACAAGCCTGGGGAAAATTTCATAAAATTATGAATGAAAGTTAGTATTTCCCGCCACTGAGGTTCGCGAACACAACAAACGGCGGACTTATGAATGACTTGCAGGGCCTATTTGGTTAAGATGTCATTGGACCAAACCAAATAATTTTGGAAGCTCATACAGGTGTGCAGATGAACATACTAAAGGTCCCCGACTATCGGAGGTGAGCCAACGATGAGGAAGGAGGGAAAGGTCCTTTATTCAGATTTTCGCCTCGATCTCGTAATAACAGCTTTGTAACTCCTGCTACATTAATCAGCTACATCAAAGTTTCAACGAATTATGTCATGTACATTTTCTTTGTAGGATCAATCATTCAGGAGCTAAAAGGTTTAAAAGCCCTGTCACTATGCGACTACTAGAAAAATGAAACGTCATAGACAGGACCGCATTTTAAGGAAGGTCTTCATTGAAAAGATACATTTAAAAAAAAATTTTGGTATATATGTTACGTTACGTCACTGGGAATTAAAATCTTGAACATATCAGAACGTTATCCGCCAACATACGAGGGTGGTCCCAGAAGTACCCGACCCAACGAAGAAAAAACAAAATTTTTGTAAAAAAATTTATTTATTTTTCAACATAATCTCCTTTGAGCTCTATACACTTTTCCCAGCGATGTCAATAAGTTCAATACCTTTTTTATAATAAGAACTGTCTTGATCCTCAATATAGCCATTAACTGCCGACATCGCTTCTTCATCGTTGGAGAATCTTTGACCACTGAGCCATTTTTTCAAGTTTGTTGAGAAAATAATCCGAGGGGGCTAAATCTGGTGAATAGGGTGCATGAGGTAGCAATTCAAACTTTAATTTTGGCCATTGCAATAACGGATTTGTAAGGGTGTATTGTCTTGATGAAACAACACTTTCTACTCGCCGTTGATTGTTTTACCTTTTTCAAGATAGTCAATGAAAATTATCCCACGCGCATCCCAAAAAAACCCTTCTTTGGAGCCGGTTGTCCCTTTTGAGTCCATTGTTTTGATAGTTCTTTTATCTCGGGTGTGAAGTGATCGACCCATGTTTCATCCTTGGTTATGAAACGACGCAAAAATTCTGCTTTGTTGCTGTGAAACTTCGCTAAACACTCAATCGAAACATCTTGACGACACTGTTTTTGCTCGATTGTGAGTAATCGCGGCACCCATCTTGCACTCAGCTTGTCCAAATTTTCAGATAATATGCGATGAACCGCACTTGTTGAAATGCCTACTATGTCTGCTAGCTCGCGCATTTTCAGTCGACGATCATTCAGTACCGCTTTGTGAATTTTCTTCACCATTTCTGGAGTCGTCACCTCATTTGGTCGACCACTGCGATGCTCGTCTTGGCAGCTTATACGGCCTCGTTTAAACTCTGCTACCCAATATTTTACTGTTGTAAACGAAGCAGCAGACTCACCCAGAGTAGAATCCAGTTCAGCTGTTGTATTGGTTGGGCTGAGGCCTTTGAAATAAAAGTGTTGTACCATATAACGATGACCAATTTTTTCCATTTTCACAAATTCACCGAAAACGTTCAGTATTGATGGCTGCCAAACGAATACTAAACTTGACACATATGCTTTATAGGTTGCACACTTTCTAATACAATGATATCTTTCGAACAACTATCGCCATCTCTAGGTCAGGCCGGGTACTTCTAGCTAACTACCAATTATCTGAAATGAAGAAATATCTTGAGCTTCCACATTTTGTTGCAGGAAACGTTTGCGCGCTGCTGCAGCTTTCATCACCTCAACCACGACAAGCCGGAGAGGTCCTACTCAGTGCTGTCTAGGTCGAACCAACGAGCAGCTGATTCTACTACGGACTCTGGGTCACACGACCATACCATCCAGACCAATACGTCTTCGCACAAAGCCAGTTCCTTGTACGACTCGCCACCGCCGATTGGAGGTGGCGGATTGCACTACTACCATGGACGAAGGTAATGGAATTAAGGATTCATTGATTTTCAAGCTGCTTGACTTGATTTTCAAGCTACTTGACTCGACATCAACTCAAGCTCAAGTTAGGTATTAGATATTAGCAATCTGATATCAAGTCAAGTATTGCTTACTTCTGCCTGTCAAGTACTTGAGAATCACGAAGTCTTGGTATTACGTGATAGTCATGAATACGAGTAAATTATAAATACACAACGGGCGATTTTTTCCCGTACGAGCGAAATCGTATAGGGTCAAGTGGTGCAAAAACGAGACGATTTTTAAATCTTTTAACTTTTTGTCAACAAAAAACCGGACTTTAAGGCCTTGTTACATTGCCCTGTATACAGAAAGCCATGTAGTATACCTCACGCTAAAAAAAGGTTCGTAATATTCATAATGAAGGGCGTATTTGTTAAAAAACCGTGTCTCGTTTTTAACCACTATTTAGGCTAAAAATGAGACAGTGAGAGGTTAAAAACAAGACACTGTATTTTCTGGCCTTTTAGTCATTTTACATCAGTGTGGCAAAATATGAGACCCTGGGGAATAAAAACGAGACACACTGCAAGGGTTTTGAAGCGTTTAGTAAGTCAAATAACATAGTTAGGTTTTAAATCATGACAACGTTCTTAAAGAAAACTCACATAATTAAATACAAAACTATACTAATTGACATATAAATCCGAACACACAGTTTAAATGGTTTTATTTTAATAAAATTTTGTATAAGTACTTAATGAAGCATAAAAAGTAAATGATAAAAATTTCAAAATGATTGCACTGCTTTAAAGCCCTTTGACCTTTAATAATGTGTGGATGCACCCTGATGTGCTACGCATTCTCCAACGCGCCTAGGCATGCCTCTGATCAGGTGGTCAATGTCCTCCTGTGGTATCTCATTCCAGGCAACCACCAACTCCTCTCGAAGTGCTTCTAGAGTCTGAGGAGGACGTTGGAAATTGAGCAACCTCCTACCCATCATATCCCCCACACGTGCTCAATTGGGGATAAGTCGGGAGATCTTGGTGGCCATGGTAACAATGTGACATCATTATGTTGAAAGAAGTCTATTGTGACTCTTGCAACATCTAGTCGGGCATTATCTTGTTGGAAAGTTGGATCTGCCAGGGTGTCAAGATAGGGTAAAAGATGGGGTTCTAGAACTTCGTGGATATAACGCTGCGCGTTCATGTTACCTCTGATGAAGATTAAAGGTGGCCTGGAACCATAAGCTATAGCACCCCAAACCATAACTCCAACAATGTGATGAACATGTCTTTCAACAAAAAACTGTGGATTCCTCCTTTCACCACGTCGCCTTCTAACCCTGGCATGACCATCGTGCATGCCTAAACAAAATCGAGACTCGTCACTAAAGACAATACTGTTCCATTCCTGATCCCAGAGTGACCGTTGTCTTCACCACTCAAGGCGATTATGTCGGTGTTCTCGAGTTAAAGGGAGGACCCAGTGTGGCCGGTATGAAAACAAGCCCAAACTTCTCATTCGTCGTTAACACTTCGCATGCCAATAGGTCTTTCGTGTTCTGCAAACCATTCATGTGCAATGGACCTGGTAGTGGAGAAACGGTCCCTTAAGGCCAATAATCTTAGGCGGCGATCTTCACGGTCTGTTGTTCTACGGCGGCGTCCAGTGTCCCTTGCTCTTTGCGTACGGCCTTCTCGAAGCCATGCCTGACAACACCTAACCACAGTGTCTACACTTCTTTGCACTCTAACTGCAATTGCCCGAAAAGAAAGTCCAGCTTCCCGAAGTCCCACTATACGGCCCCTATCAAACTCACTAAGTTGACGAAATCCCACAGGTCTCCGTACTCTAGGCATCGTAACTGATCGTAAAGGATGTCAAGAACCAAAATCCGCCAACGTTGATTCTTTACTGCGGCTGAAATATTCATTTTTAGAGCGTTAGTGAATTAAAAAAAAGCAGTATAAAAACCGGAATGTCCAACTGATAAGGCTGAACATTTTTTCACTTGTTATTTACAGTAAGATAAATACATACCAACTTTTATTAAAATAAAACCATTTAAACTGGGTGTTCGGATTTATATGTCACTTAGTATATGTTTATCAAACACTAAAAAGAAAACAAATCCAAAAACAACTTAAATGAACCATACCTGATTCAAAAAGGGGTAAAACAAGATTTTCAATAGCCTTTAAGAGCTAAAGTAGAAAACTTATTATTCTAACGTATTTTGTACTACATATTATTGAACGACGTATTTTTCAAAGTCGATAGGAGACCAATATTGCTGAGAGATACGACAGGTCTTACTTTCTATTTCTGGCTGGGGAAGTTTCATTTCTTCGATAAAGTACTTTTCCTCAATTGCCGGAAAAATAAATTTAAATCCTTTGCGCCTCAGATATTTATGTGTGTAAAAATAAAAAAAAAATTTTACCTTGTTTTATAAAGTATCCTCCCGACAAGTATTTCAGTGCGGACCTGTATTTGATCGTGAGGTCTTGGAGCGCCGGCATGCCGTCGCCTGTGAGGTCTTAAGTCACCTGATTCACGAGCCCGTTGTACTACATTAACAAAGGCACGAGGGGTTGGTTGCACTCGATTGGGAAACCGATCCGCATAAACATGTGCCATTTTTTATTTTTTTGAGCCACGCAACAGACACTATTCACACGCTTTACCGACTGACACTGACTGTATGTATAACTGAACTGAATAAAATAATTGTAAAAACATCGTTCCAAATTCTTTCGCTTTTTTGTTTCCGATGCGATGAACCGATAAGGCGGATTATATCCGTTGTTGCCAAACACGAGCACATGATATTATTATTGAGACAGGGCGGTACTCAAACTTCCAAAGGGCTATAACTTTGTTACTTTAATTTTACCAGAAAAATGGTAAAGGAAAAAAACATTTCTTTTGATCAGATCTACTACTACTGTTAAAATAAATGACTCAACTTCGAAGTCACCCTGTATATATAAATTATTTTTGTATTTTTTAAGCCGCAACATTTTTTTGTATTGTATCCAGTTTGATAATTATCGCGAACAAAAATTAAAGACCAAATACGATTCCTTTTCTTTGCTTTGATTATCTCCATATATCAGAATGTCCACTCGACATCTGCATTGCCATGTGGCAAAAGTTAAGATTATTAAACATACTTTGGAAATACACTTCACAGGTTGTGTGTTCTTACCACCTACCACCATCTATACGCGTCTCCGTTGAATAAGAAGTACCGACCGGTGGTTGCCACTGTCGATTGGAAAGATATCTGAATTTAGATTTGGTTACTAACTGCACTCACTTTTTTTCTGGTAAAAATATCCAACATGTGTACCTAAATTGCAAAATTTCGCTACTTTTAACAAAAAATCCAATTCCGCCACTACCACTTGAAACTTCCGCTACCAGTAGCGGAATTCCGCTACTTCTGGCAACACTGGTGATCAGTACACTGATATACTTTAGAGAGAGGGAGCATAACTGTTATTGGACAGAATAGGTCGAGCCCTTACACAAAACCAATGACAAACCGGAGGGTGGAGTGGGAGACGATACGACCGTGCATGCAGGCTGTTCGGTGGCTGGCCGTACAGTATGAGTGTACGAGTACAGAGTTGGCATCAGATTTATACTGATATTACTGTGTGCTTGTTAGATTTGTCAGTTTAATTTCGTAGAACTCAAAATGTCTGATACGGATACAGCTGATGAAGTTGTTGATATAAACTGCACACCCGGCAATCGGTACTGAGGTATTCCTTAACCCGTGTACAATCACTTGAACGGGAAGAAGTTGTATACTGGATACAATAACTTCCGGAACAAGCATTTGCCACGGCCCCGCTCAGTAGTAGGGGTAGGGGTTCTTCTCCAAACCATTAGTCAGCGATCTGACGCGTGGTAATTGTCTGAAGCGTCTGTCTTGAGGCTCTGTGGTACGCCTCGGTGGACCAGTTGGCCTTCTTCGTGCTCCTCTACATTCTTCTATCCACACACCACACACACGCACTACCTTCATGGCAGTACAATTAACACCGCGGGCAACTTCGCGATAGTTGAGAGAGAGAAACTGCTTTCTTCACAAAAACTAAAGATAAAGTTTTAACAAAGGTAAACAAAAACAAAAATAGAACACTGACATTGTTACCACAGCATGCTTTATCATCTTGCAAAAAAAAACAAGTTGAAATGATTATTTTTTCTGGGTGTAACACTTCTAATGTCACTCGAGAATTATTCAAATGACGAACGTCTTACGGGGAAATCCTGTAAGGTATAGCGAGTCGTCGTATCACATTTTTACTTTTTGCATGAATCCAAAGTACTGCTCGCCAATTCTGTTATCGTATTTATATAATCCAGCTTCAGGTGCAAGCCGTTGTCAGCGGTCGCCAAAGAGTCAGAAGCAACCTCACGGCACCTCCATCCACCAATACCAGGCACTGCTTGCGAAACAAGTCCAAGCCCACAACATAGCCCAACCTACCTCTCCATCCAGTTACAGGCTTCGCCCACAAGATTCGGCAAATTCATGAGGCTGTTCAGATGCATATCGAGCAGGACCTTTGATGACAATAAGCATAAATCTTCGTCGTATTGCTACTCGACGGCTGTGAGGGAGCCCAACATCTTTGAGCTGCAAAAGACGCTCAAGGGATCGTTTAGGAGGTAAGTACCAAATTTGCACCTATCAGCTCCTTTCATCGGAAAATCTTTGTACTAATTGGTTAGTTCTTCGCTTGATAGTAAGTTAACAGTAGGAGATTAGTTCATGGGGTCCTTGCACGGAACAACGCAAAACATATAGGAAAGGGGGTACAGTGGAATTCCTTTTTTACACCTAAATGCCAGGGAACGGCGTGTGCTATGAGGATATGCAGGGTCCTTTGTGGTACCAGCGTGGTGGTGCCCCACCAGCTGGTAACTTCTGGTACCAGGCCAGATAAAAACAGAGATGATACTCTGGATGCTGGTTTAAGGCTGCATATATTTACATTATATATATATATATATATATATATATATATATATATATACAGGGTGACTTCGAAGTTGAGTCATTTATTTTAACAGTGAGTTGATCTGATCAAAAGAAATGTTTTTTTCTTTTACCATTTTTCTGGTAAAATTAAGGTAACAAAGTTATAGCCCTTTGGAAGTTTGAGTACCGCCCTGTCTCAATAATAATATTATGTGCTCGTGTTTGGCAACAACGGATATCATTCGCCTTATCGGTTCATCGCATCGAAAACAAAAAAGCGAAAGAATTTGGAACGATGTTTTTACAATTATTTTATTCAGTTGTATACAGTCAGTGTCAGTCGGTAACGCGTGAGTGAATAGTGGTGTCTGTTTCGTGGCTCAAACGAAATCAAAAATGGCACATGTTTACGAAAATGCTGAACTTGTGGACATGATTCTTATTTACGCGGCATCACGGTTTTATGCGGATCGGTTTCCCAATCGAGTGCAACCAACCCCTCGTGCCTTTGTTAATGTAGTACAAAGGGCTCGTGAATCAGGTGACTTAAGACCTCACAGGGGAGGGCATGCCGGTGCTCCAAGACCGCACGATCAAATACAGGTCCGCACTGAAATACTTCGGGAGGATACTTTATAAAACAAGGTAACATTTTTTAATTTTTTTTTTTATTTTTACACACTTATTTTGGTTTATCTTCCTTCTACAATCATTATCTGAAAATTAATAACTCAACTTCAAAGTCACCCTGTATATATATATATAACGGGTGCGCCATCTTTTATGTCAATATTGAAACGCTGGACGTCTGGTGTCAAAAAGAGGTGATATTGACTGGCCATCCAGGTCTCCAGATTTGACCCCACCGGACTTCTTTTTGTGAGGTTGAGATCTAAAAAGGAATGGAAAACGCAGCAAAACGGGCACATTTTGTTTTGGCCAATAAAGGTGGCCGCTTGATAGATGTTGTGTTCAAAAACTACTCCCAATAAATTGTAATGGACCATATTTTAATAAAAATACCCGATATATAGAAATCAGTTTTTCGTTTTCAAAGTTATTTCATGTTTACATACCGACATAAAAGGTGGCGCACCCTGTACATTACCACCGAGCGCTACGGGTATATCTGGAACGCTGAAGTCCTACTAGCATGATGGGGAGAGGCAGACTGATCAATAGGCCAGCGAGATACCCGATCTGACACCTCTCGATTCCCTTATCTGGGACCACGTAAAAGGATGCAACCGAAACCATCGTAATATGACATTAAACTTCTTGTTTTTAGAAGCTCTATTCAACTATACAATAAAATATAGGGTGTTCTAATTAAAAAATATGTTTTTGCCATGGCTCGAAGTTGTTATTAAAATAATTTTAAAATGCGCACTAGTAACATACCAAGGTTGCCACGAAAACAGATTTTTGATATATTCTCCAGTTTGCTCCTAAAACTACTTTCCATTTCCTTTGGATCACCCTGTATGTCACAGCAACTGCACAAACTTACTCAGTTGATTATATTACATTGCTGCTCTTAAAATAATTACCGTACTCTTATTTCTAACTGCGTCATGGGAAAAGAGAAATGCGAGATCACTTTTATTTATTTTTCCTGAACCTAGCATACTTATTTTGTTTTCTAGAAAACAAGCGAGGAAAATAACAATCTCCTTCATCGCTCCTCCTATTAAATAAAAGGTATTTTCAAATCCCAGGTGAAATTTTTATTTTTGTAAGTCTAGAATCAGGTCAGACGATCCAAATGTATAGATATATAAAAGAAATGTATAGGCATTCAAGATTTAAAAAAAGACGGTATCGGAGAATGCAGAACCAGGGGGTTCGGTTTAGGAGAAGGATCGGCACGGGTATCATGTAAAAAACCTAAAAAACGTCAAAAAAAGGCTGAACTATACTCTAGCGCATATCGCAAATATTTCATTTCTTATTTTAAAATGAAAGATTAGGATGTAACTTGCACGAAAATATCATTTTTTCTTTAAGGAACCATTTGCTTGCTATTTTATAGAACTTCAAAGTTGCATTTTGGGTGCTTATACTGTGGTATAGAATACTGCTTTATAAGCTGTTTTCTTCTTGTTCATTCAAAAGATTGTTCAAAATTATATGAATATAACATACACTGTAAGTTACTGTGATACTGTTCATAGCAATAACGCAATTTTGCATTATTTTAATGATGAAAATAGTTCATTGTTAAGTAGTCGTTTCTTTTATTTTAGATAATTATTCCCATCACTACAATACCGTCACTGTCATATTCTCTCCATCTCGTTGCGATGTTGCCAAATCATGGATAGTAATATACCTTAATTTTATTTGTCAAATTCTTATATACTAGCGCAAAAATGTGCAATCGGTAGCTACAGGATTGTCATGAAAATGCGATTTGGAGGTGTGGCCGGTAGGTTTTACTGTACTAAATCCACCTTGTGCCCTACGATAGCGTTAGCTAAAGAGACTTTTTTGAAAAATGCCTTATGCCCTTTACAAAAGTACTTCTGTTATAGTTATAATCTATTTACTGTTTGTATGTATGTACTTGAAGAATTATTTAAAGTGAAGCTAATGTTACAAAATGTACCTAATTGAATGTGATATATATACGAGTATATGAGAAATAACTGAAAAAGTAACTGTTGCAAATCACTGAATAATGAAAACATAACAAAGAACATTGCAAGTTTATTGATGATTTGATGAAATGATCGTTGATCTTTATTTAACTATAATGTTGGACGATGATATGTTGGGTGGACCTGGCGAGGTGGTCCAAATCGACGAATCGTCGTTGGGTATTTTTATATGCAATGACCGCTGGTGCCTTTTGTATTTTTTATGTCACGCGAGCCGCTGGTGCATTTTCCATTGTTTAGACATATACTGTTCAAAATTTCATCTAGTTTTCGGTAAATATTGGGACATCTTTTCATAAGACAAGCCATTTACAATAAATTAAGACTTTTATTTTGCAAATAACCTCATGTCTAATTACGTATTTCTCCCAAAAAAGGTGCAACTTGGCAACAATGGACATCATTTGTCTTATCTGTCAGGAAATGGGCGTTATAAAATGGCCATTGATATTTGTTTGTACTTTCAAATATTTCTTATAAACACAAAAACTTTGGTCTCATTGAAAATACGCGAAAAAAATGGTTAAGGAATTTCGAGAAGACATTGAAAAATCACAAAACAACACCTCTACACAGTTTACCAAGTAAATACCATCATTTACGTATGTATTTTGATCTATTATTTAAGCTAATAAACTAATGTGTAATAACCCGTCTGGTTTTGAACCTTTTTTTGCAAAAAACAACGATTTTTTACAGTTTCACATCTATTTTCCTTTGTACTATACCGTGTATGTTATATTCTTATAATTTAGAGCATCCTTTTGTACAAAAAGCAAAAAAGACAGCATATAAAGCATTATTCTATTCTAGAGTATTACCACCAAAAATGCAACTTCGAAGTTCTATAAAATAGCAAGCAGAGGGTTCCTTAAAGAAAAAATGATATTTTCGTAAAAGTTACATCCTAATCTTTCATTTTAAAGTAAGAAATGAAGTATTTGCGATATGCGCTAAAGTATAGTCTTGCAAAAAAAACCTATGAGATGCAGACTAGGTAGTTTTTAGGGCGCCAACAGTATTCCACATTTGCTCACTAGGATCGTTGTGAACGTCCATCTATGGAGGAATCACTCAACTAAACTACACGCATTATTGGTTGCATACTTTTTATGAGGCTGAGTGATCCGTGCCTGTAGTTTTTATCTCTGAGAAGAAAGTTGGTTGAACAGCAAGATCGCATCTGGATGATTATGTGTATTGGTCTGCATGTGTATAAAATTAGTGATATTTGCTGAGTGAGAAAATCATTACTGAAAATGCCGAATATGACGGGTTATTTATAAATATGTTGCGTTTTCTGAAGAGAGGTTATGTTTAGAGTGATAAATTACGAAAAACTGAGGAGAATTACGGGAAATCACCGCGCCCGTGTTGTGTGTAATTACTGTTAGCATGTATATGGCTTGTAATTCGGCTGCGTACAGTGAATATAATTATTTCTTATCGCTCTCATTTTTGAAATTCAGCAAATTTGTATATGTAATTTCCAGAATGGATAAGAAGAAGTTTTTCTAATTTCTAGCTTTGAATCTCAATTAAGTGCATTTGAGACAAGGTTCTTGTACCCGTACCGGTTGAGCGCAGTCTCTTCTATCATCTATTAATGTTATAGTTTGAGTTTTCTTGCAGGTCCGGAAGTTATCAAAGGTCGTGTATAAGCAACAGCAGCTTGAGAGACATCGAAACCGGAGCTATTGAAGACGAACTGACTATTTATATGAACGAACTGAAAAATAGAGAGCTATGCAGTTAGTATACGAGGAACTAATTTCATTTTGTAATATTCAACCTACATGCTTTCCACAAAAGAAGGTGGTCTGTAAATCTGAAAATGTAAAAAAGTCCATTACTGTTATAATATAATGATATTATTATCTTGATGGATGCATATGTGAAGAATACTGAAGGATGGGAACAACTATTTTAAGCTAGTTGCAGACGTTTCAGTGTTATACAGTGTTAAGAGTTTCAACACTTATATTTCCATCTCAGAAGTGTTATGAAGTTGATTAAGCCAATTCAAAGCATGTCATTCCATGCTAATGATTAAAGCTTCACAATCATTTAAAAGTCTCAGAAGTTAAGAAAAACAGCTCGACTGCGTAACTCCTATTTTTTGTCGTAACAAGATGGAATGTCCGATTATACCAGAAGTAGTCTTGAAGGATTTCTGAATGAGACAATATGTATACTCACATTTACGGATTTACGGATGTTACATCTAAAAATTATCCTTTCTTCTAGATTGTAAAATTAATCTCTATCCCAATTTTTTTGTAACGTATTTCAATACCTCAGTTCTAATCATTTGATGTTATTTCCAATAAAATCGAAAGTAAATACTATCTTTATTAGTTACGACAAAAAATCAGTAATTACAGATAGAAAGTATATATGTGATCCAAACACAAATTGATACTTGCTCAAGAAATTATACTAATGGTCCAGCTTTCTGTAACACCTAGTATATGCAAAATCAAACTTCTCAAATGCTTAATCCCCAGTTTTAGGATACACGTCGGGTTATTTCTATGTAAAGAAAAATAAAAGTAAAAAGTAAGTTTGCATTGTACCTATCTAGAGTAAATTGACGGTTGTAAAATGGTTGTGTTAGTTTTTGGATTAGCATTAGGGGAGGGGTAAGGTATTTACTGTTTCCCATTCACTTTTTTTATTTTTTTGTATGGATATACAGCATCTCAAAAATATTGTGTCAAAAATCACATTAATCGGAGTCAAATTCCTTAGATTCTTGAAGCCCATTCATGCTTCAACTCAAGATCTAATGCACCAATTCTTTTAAAAATTCTCATGATCGTTCATCACATAAATCACCGATCAAGTTTTTTTGTTTTTCCAATTATTTTTATTTCATCAATAAAAAATATATCGATCTTTTCATCGAAATTCGTGTTCTTGATTTCACTTTGAAAATATAATGGAATATAGTCAAATCATCATATTGTATGGTACTTAATTAAATCAGCATTACTTACATTGACAAAAAACTTGAAAATATGCTATTTTTCCACGCAATTAACCTTACGTCCTCCCCTTAAACTTCGACTCAAGTCATAGTCCAAGCAACTTCTAGTCTTACGATATGATATGGCTTTCTATGTTGTTAAATAATTCATTAAGTTTGTTAAGAAATGTAATAAAATGTACTTTGAGAAACAAAAATATTACTTTTATTTTAAAACTAGTTAAAAGAAGCTTTATTCGTTATTTTACTCGAGAGGTAAGTATTTTTGTGAGTAGTACTCGGCTTGTACCCGGTACTCCCCACGCTCGGCGCATTTGCACAAAATCCGAATTTGAAAATTTCCCCATCAGATGCGAATTTATACTCAGGGACATTAGAAATGTTACACCCAGAAAAAATAATGTTCAACTAATTTTTTGGCAATGAAGTAGTCTTACATCAAGAATGAAACGAAATTTTATTGACAAGTAATAAGAAGAACATTAATAGTGTGTTGGGCGACACCGCAACTAGATACACTCCTGTATACATCTAGGCATCGACAAAATGAGATGATCGATGCCTGGTTGTAACACCCCATTCCAAGCAACCCGAACTTCTTGGATTAGCTGACTTTTTTATGGGGATTTTTGAAAAATAGGCCTTAATGCGAACAAACCAAATACTGTAGAGCGAAACGGAAGCGATTGAACATATTCCTTTCGAAACCTACCAAAAGGTGATGAAAAATGTAATGAAGATGGCTCTGGTTTACGCGGCTTCTGTCTGTCTGATACTATTTTTCATACATAATTTCTAAGTTTAAATAAAAGATTAAGATGAAAAAATCGACGTATTTTATTTTATTTCACCAATATCCAAGATACAAAGCAGTCAGTTACCTAAATATCGGCCAGCCTGTAGTAATATATAAATAAAATTATAAACTTTTTGTTACTTTTACGGGGTTAGATGATGGAATAGCCAATAGCAGGTGCTAAATCTCGTCACACGATCATGTTTCTTGGCTAACAAAGACGATTGTTATTCTTAAATATCTGAATTATTTAAAAAAAATCGTGGAAAATGAAGACGTTTTCGGTATTTCAGACTTATTTCGGTAGATATGCCGAAAAATTAGTAAGTCCGGCAACCCTGACCCAATAGTGCACTGCCTGTGACGTGTTCCTCCAGTGTTGCCAGGTGGAGTCGACGATATTTCGGTAGAATTGTATGGAATTTTTCGGTAGTTTTTCCGTTGAGTGAATATCGAAGAGTAAATGAAGGCATTTACTTAAAACAATTTTATTTAACTCAAAATATACTCTAAAACAGAAAGACAAAACAAAAATAAACAGTTTATATCTTTAGCTAACTAATAATAAAATATTTTTAATAAGAAACAGAAAAAGTGAATAAAATAAAAAATGTGTAAGCTATATTGGATAATCATTCTTCCGATTCATTTTTGTATAAGTTTTTATCAATCATATTATCTACTAATTTTGCTTTGCCAAATGGTACATCAGCAAGAATGGCAAATTAGGCTCGGCCAAAAATGCGCTCAAACGAGTTTCTCCTGGAAATAATAAAATAATCTATATAATCTCAAGTCTTCTCAAATCGACTAATTAATTTGACTTTCTTTAATATCGTTATCTAATTTCTTTGATGCACCTGCAACTGCAAATGACAACAGTTTTGGCCGTTTTGCTATGGTTTGCACTTTTTTATGAAATTGCCCATTTGCGTGTTTTATAAGTGCATCTCTTCCACTTTTGATATTAATATCTTTATCACAGACCATGCATTTCGCATAATCGCGCTCTTTATTGCTTTTTTTAATCCTGCCTTGGAAATCTGTCAATTCTTTCCACTCTTCCTTATAATGTTGGGCACACGCACGCGAAAAAAAATGACTGCAAAACAGTCAATACTAATACTGACCGAATTCGGAATTACTAAGTACATGAAATCATACAAATCGTACAATACAGGCATGGACTTGTCACGAGCCGCTAGGCCTAGGCGATGTAGCGAAATAATCGAGTATCTTCGGTGATTCCCCAGATGCGAAGATGCGAAGTACGTGGCACACCAGTCAGGCAAAGAGAATAAAAATATATCTGGTCTAGTACGAATAATAATAGTACTGTCAGTTTTTTATCGCTATATAGGAAACAAAATTATTCAATTGAAATAAAAGTCCACTTTTTGGTAGATTTGCTTTAAAATCGGTAGTTCGGTAGACCAGGACCAAAATCGGTACATCTACCGAAAAATCGGTAGATCTGGTAACATTGTGTTACTGCGTGATGTTGACAGCGCCCTCTTATGACTCATTGTAAGATCGCTGCAGGATTAGAAAAAGACGTTTTGGTGTTACAGACCTCCTTTTGTGAAAATACTTTCACTTCAGCTTTTCACTGATAGAGGGCGCAGATATCAATATCAGGAATTTATTGTCCCGTGCCCATAAAACGTAAAATTCCATGAAAGGCACTTGAAGCCGTATTGATTACAGCGCCCCTTCTATGACTTCTCGGAAGTACATTCCAAAATGGTGGACGAAACATTTGTTATGTCAAGTTGTCGGCGTTTCCCTTGAGCTAAATGCAACAAGAAAATATAAACAAAAGCTCATTCGATAGCCCACCGTGATAGTGACCGTTGTGATTATAGTTCCTACAGGATGGAGGATCAAGAAAAAATGGAAGATACGTGTCGCTTGTGCGATGAAGTTACCGACAAAATGTACAGCGTTTTCGAGTCGACCGAGGAGGGCTTTGAGGTGCTTCAGATGATCAAAGAATGCATGCCGATAGTGGTAAGTTGGCCACCTTCTTTCTCAAGTCCAGTTTTTTGCAATCGCCGTTTTCTTCTCGCAGATATATAGGACAGATCCTTTGTCCAAACAAGTGTGTGAAAGTTGCTACAACCATTTGGGCGCACTGTATACTTTCAAGAAGGCCGCACTTGAGACTGCTGATAGGCAGAAAAGCAAATTGAAGGAGACGATTGAGTTGGCGGGGGAGTGTAAGGAGATTGAGCTCTTCCTGAAGTGTGGAGATGTGCCTGTAAGTTTTATATTGAATTGTTACCTGAAAGATCTACAGTTTGCAGCTGTGGTTAGTTTCTAGATGCTGTAGAACAATTTCTTGATAATCATATTTGCCGTTTTTGTTTCTGGTACACAGCCAGCTTGGTTCTTGATTGTGGAATATGTGATCTGTACCTTGTTTGTTTTTGATTGAAAATCAGAATACCAAATCTTTGAGGATGGAAAACAGAATTTGCTTTATTGAATTTTAGTAGTAACAATTTGGTATTATTATGGGCTTTTAGAGTGTTTTGTAATATGATAACTGTAATATACAGTAAAATTTCTAAGATGCAAAGTAGGTCAACTTGGGCTCCCTACAAAATAGTGTAAACATATTTTAATATGCTTAAAATATGAGGTATTTAAAATAAAGTATACTGTAGTGCATATTGCAAGTATTACATTTCTTATTTTAAAATAAAAGATTAGGATGTAACTTGTACAAAAAGATCATTTTTTTTAAGTACCCCCTGCTTGCTATTTTGTAGAACTTCAAAGTTGCATTTTGGATGGTATTACTATGGTATTTATTTATTTATTTATTTATTTATTTACAAATTTACGGGATAAACCCATTCGGTTACAGGTTGTAAAAGTACAATCTTAACCTAATAAAATTCACACACATCATAAATAAAGAATCTAACATATGAACATAAAGTTTGACTATTTACTAAATTAAAATATTAAAATATTAAAACGTGCATAAAAATAGTTACAAACAAATACTAAAAAAAAAAAAAAAAAAAAACTAAAAAAACTGAACAACTAAACAACACAGCAAACATCACCAGCAATTGAGACATTTTAAAACTTTAGCTAAGATTTCTATCTTTAAGGAACTTTTTGAGAGAGCATAGTGAAGTATTAAAAAGGTCTATATCACAGTCATTACAATTTCTCATTATCCTATCCATGCTACTATTCGAGCCATACAAAGTTCTATGCCGACAAGGTTCAAAGGATCTGCGTTCTCTTAAATGCCTAGGAGAAACATAAAAATTTAGCTTTAGAAGCAGGTCTGGGCAGTGGTAAACACCATGAATTAATTTATAAGCAAAAACAATATCTGCTGAATCTCTCCTGGCTCTTAGGGATCCAATCCTTAACTCCTTTTCAAGAGCATTATAGTCTAAATTCTCAATAGAAATGTGTTTTTTGTAAGCTATATATCGTAGAAATTTTCTCTGAACCCCGTCAAGCATGTCCTGATAAGTTACATAATATGGAGACCACACGCTGCTGCAATTTTCTAGATGAGATCGCACCAGTGAAGTATAGAGAGTTACTATAGCTCCAATGTTAGTAAATTCAGATGTATTTCTTTTTATGAAGCCCAACATTTTTAAAGCTTTATTTCTTATAACCTCTATGTTCTGATAAAATGTTACTTTGCTATCAAATATAACACCCAGGTCTTTAACAACATTAACATTTTGAAGTTGGGTATTATTTATGTGATAACTGCTGACTATATTATTGTAATACTGCTCTAGCTTAACTAAACCAGACGTTTTTGATGAAAAAATAATTTCATACCCTAGTTTTTGGGTGTAGTGAAAAATGAACGCAAATATGAAAGTTCTGAAAATCATAATATCATTGATTTATATTGTGATTTTGCGAAGTTAGTTTATTTCACTGACTATTTTTATTTCATGGTTTAAAGTGATACCTTAATAATCATTTTAGTGGCAAGTTTTTGTTTTGAATAAAAGTTATGAGTAGAATACACCTCAAGACATAAGCACTAAAGACCAATAAAGTATTATTCAAAAACAACCTAACTGCTTTAACATAACTTAACTATTCATCTTTAAAATGTGATCGATCAAGCAACATGAAAACGTCATCAATCTTTGTCGGACACATGCAAATTAGCAATACAGTTTGTTAAGACAATAAAATTTTGTTTCATTCGTTGGTCTAACATATTTGAAACTTCATTAAAAATATTCACAAATCACTGTTGTTTGTCTTTTCTACAGACTAAAATGATGACAAAATCGTCATCTTTCGTGATTTCGACTTTATATGTATATATATATATAAAGGGTGCTCCATCTTTAAGTCGGTTTTGAAACATCGAATGACTTTGATATTTACCAACCGAGTGATTTGGTTATACGTGTTTCTGAAATGTCAATTTACTACAATTTTAGTCACGAATCACTTTACATCAAAACAACGAGCCGAAATAGTCACAATGTATATTGTGTTACCGCAACGTGAATATCGTGGCAAACACCTGACAACAATCTTCGTCATTTGTTTTCTAATTTTCTTGAGTACGGGACAGTGGGAGGTCGTCAACATACCGTTCATCAACGACCAAGGTGTTCCAATGAATTGGTTGAAGCAGTCAGAGACAGCGTTGCCCGGAACCCAAAAGTGTCGAATCGTCACCGCGCTCACCATTTTGGCATCAGTGGAACCACGTTGCTGTGCATTTTTAATGATTTGCATTTGTTTAATTATAAGGCGCAGTTAACACAAAAAACATTGCCAACTGACCGTCTACGTCGCTGGGAGTATGCCCAAACAGTCGCGCATGGTTGATGCTGAGGCTGATTTTTGGAAGCAAATTGTGATGACTGACGAGGACTAGTTCACGCTCTCTGGCGGCGTTAATAAGCAAAACTGCCGCATTTGGGGACGGAAATCCACACGAGATCCACGAAATGCCGTTGCATGACCGGAAAGTGACTGTTTGGGCCGGCGTTTGCGCCAAAACCATTTGGGCCATTTTTCTTCAACGAAAACGGAACTGTCGATGGAAATCGATATCGGTGGATGTTGGCTCATTATGTCTGCCCACAAATGCGTGAAAAAGGCCTTGACGGTTACTGGTTTCAACAAAACGGTGCGCCACGCCACACTGCTAATGAAACAATCCAGTTTCTGCAACAAAAATTCCCTGAACGTCTGATGTCAAAAAGAGTTGATATTGACTGGCCATCCAGGTCTCCAGATTTGACCCCACCGGACTTCTTTTTGTGGGGTTGGGATCTAAAAAGGAATGGAAAACGTAGCAAAACGGGCACATTTTGTTTTGGCCAATAAAGGTGGCCGCTTGATAGATGTTGTGATCAAAAACTAGTCCCAATAAATTGTAAAGGACCATGTTTAATAAAAATACCTGATTACAAAGTTATTTCATGCTTACATACCCACATAATAGATGGCGCACCCTGTTTTTTTTTTTTTTTTTTTTTTTGAAGTGTTAATGGACGGTAATCGAGTTTGGGTATTGTTGAAAATGGTTCGTAACTGATTTAAAATGCGAAAAACTTAACCAACCCTTATCTCTTATTTTGACAGCATTACAAATCATCTACAATGAGTATTATATTATTACAAAGATAATAAACTGCAGAACTTTTATTACTAAAGCTATGTTCCGAAGAAGGTATAATTTTTCACTTCGCTCAGTTTTATGCCTTTGAAAGGTCTATCTATTTTCTCTAATCAAACATGCATTATAGAATCCAACGACGTTAATTTTGTGTTATCTCTACAAATAAAAAAAAAGTAATAACGATATTTTTTGACGGAGGGAATTCAGCATGAACGTGAAAAAAAAATTATTTGTAACTGTAGCCCCTAGAGAATCATAGTTTTCACGAAAAAACATCAAAATGCGTTCACCATTACCAAAAAGTTTTGTCAACTCATGTACCAAACACCCTCTATATTTTGAGGCATTTTTGGGGGAAGACCGTGTTTACCTTTGATTTCTGTTTCAAATCTCTGCCTTTTTTTTGATACTCTGGGTCAACCGTCATTAATTTGTAGGAGGACTGTGACTTGAAAGATGCTGGCACTTCTACTGAAGACCTGACAATCTTCTGCAATAATTGCAAACAGGCAATAGCTGATGGCAACCTAGTTAATGGTGAATTGGAATTGTGCACCGATTTGCACAAAGCCATTGCAGAGTCCATGCTCAAAAATAAGGTACGTATTACAAGCATATAGTTTCATTTCAAACATGTTGTGCATAAACTGTAATCTTTGAGCTTTGTTAGTTGTCAGATTTAACCAAAAAACACTGTCATTCAGTATTCAATGGTCCCCTGAACAAATGAAGAGTTAGTAACTATTATAAATGTTTTCTGATTTTGTTGTTTTGATTCCTGTATGTTATCCATGTTGTGTTGGCCAGTGAATAAAACGAAGAAAATTAGTTTACTGATTCTGCGGCTACGTCAGTGATCCATGGTTTTCTTCAAAGAAAAGGGTGTGTGCTATTGGCATTGTCCCCTTTCCTCTTGCTGAACTAATTTTCTTTAACATTTGTGGATGTTAGCATGTATGTGACTTGTAATTGGACAGTGTACAGTGAATATATTATTTCTTATCTCTCTCATTTTTGAAATTCAGCAAATGTGCATATGTAATTTCCAGAATGGATAATAAAAAGTGGATGCGCAACTAATTTCTAGCTTTGCATGTCAAGTAAATGTATTTGAGACAATCCAATCAAATTATCATCAACACATACAGCTTAGACCTCCAGTAATGCCATCTCTGAAGCAGATTTTACATCACCTCAGAGCCAAAAATTTATAACTGAAGCATCATGACGATTAGGCAACACGTAAAACTACAAAACGAGTTCACCACGTGCCCACCAGCTAGTGCTAAGTTTACATCTTGTAATACTGTCATTAAAAAACAACACAATTTGAAGTCGATGGTTTTTATTTCCTAATTTAAACTTGTTCAAGGTTCCAACCGAATCTGTATCTGAAAAGTTGCTTCGCAAGCGCAAAGTGATTCCCTTCTATCACGAATTGGATGACTCGTTGTGCAGCAGCCTGACGGAGTTCACGCATGCGACTGAAGGCAGTCAAGGCTTCGACGAACCCAGCGACGTGGACAGCGTCGAATCGGAGGAACAGATGCGACCGAGGAAGAAGCGGAAACTGGAAGTTGAAGATGAAAATGGGTATGGTGGACAGGCCAAGTGCAAGGGTGCCGTGCGGAGGAGGATCAAAGAGATCAATGGAAAGTCTGGGGATTACGAAAAGTTGTTCACGCAGGATAGAGAATTCAGGTTCGTATGAGATTTCAACAGGAACTTTGTCCGAGGCTCCCGGACCTCTTGACTTGATAGTTCGGATCTCCAGTTCGATACTCCAATTTGTGGAGTGGTCTGAGACTACTCGAATTTCCAATTGTTACTTTTTCTTGTCTTCCTATAGGACGGAGACTCGCGTACAACCTGAGATAATGTGATAGAATCATATCTCATTGAAACATTCACTTTGCGCAGAAAGGTACCTCTTCTGTTCTGCAAGTAATCCAGAGAGCGTGGTAAACGCCCGAATTAATACTTTCGTCGAACTCAGTTAATGAAAGTCAAGTTAGAGGAGACTAATTTTTATTGATAATAGAATTCCAGACTCAATATATGTATATATAATGTGTTCGGGTGTATTGATATAATAGTGTAGCTCCTGAAGATGGCTCCATAGAGAATGCCGAAAGCTCGAGATTACTGTTATACCCTAAAATTTTACCAATTTCCCAAAATCGTTGCAAACCACACTTGAAAAAAATGAAAATTTAAAATTATTTCCATGACGCCGCAAAATAGCTCCCTCGGTATCTCGGGTTATACATCTTGACAGTATGGATGTTCGATACGATCCTATATTTAGAAGTATCGGTACTTTTGCTTCCCATACTCGATATTTTGGATCGATACTTTTATATACGACACTTCAGATTACATTTCTTCTTTGTTTCCTTCCGCTGTATATCGATAATTTTATTCCAATTCGATACTTCCTAAAACGATAAGAATCGATATATATATATATATATTTACATCTTAAGACCATACTGCTTCCTTTCAAAGACAAAGCATTCTGCGTCCACCGTTAGGAATTGCGCTAGCATACATTTTGATGTGTATATAGGTTCCTCATTGAATTCTGCTTATACCGATATACTTTTTATTGTTCGTATTATGAAGGCACCAATATACACTGTATACACTTTTTTCGCGAATTAAATATTTTGATTCCCTCTATATGACAATCTAAATTACTACCATCAGTATAAATCTGTACGTAAGTAGAACTATTTCGGTTCCATAAGTTGTATATTTAACGTAGCAATGGTTAATTTGCTTCCGACAGTGTTGCGAAATTTACCATCTTCCAGTTCAGCTTAATTATTAACTTGGTTTTTATCTGACATGTAAGTTATTGGTAAATAGATATTATTATATGTCAAATTGTACTATGACTTTTTAGACACAATATTTCTTGAAGAAAAAGATTATTTAGATTATATCTCACAGAGAAAGGCGCTACCAACGTGAAGAATGTATAAATAATACTGAAAGAAGTAAAATCAAACCGAAATTTATAAGAAAATCGGTAGAGGCACATTTGACACGCAGTTACATGAAGTTATATGAAATGAGCCATCAGTCTACAACTTTGTATCAACCTAGGCCCAAGACAATGAATACCTTATTACAGTCAATGTGGAGATTTGACGATATAGCCGCAGTAATGGTAACATAGATTTGGAAGAAAATAATATGATAACCATTGTGCCACTAGCCGCACACCTCAACATATCGGCTAAACATGCTTATAATGTTAATGCTTACAATATCTCGTAGTGGAATACTTTTGAACTGAAAAAAGGGGGAGAGCTGCCAATGAATTTCTAACGGGTCTCCCGGTATTTTGGAAGTAATTGCAAAACACCTATCAATTGTGAAGCAAACTTATACCAGGCTTATAAAACAACTCGTATCATGAATTCGCCAGTTGTACAGAATCTAAATAATAAAGACGTTTATTATTATTATCAAAATTGAGTCAACTATTTAATTTAACGGAAGTGAAATCTGAGAGATGTCCAATTTTATGGGGCATATACTAGGGGTAGATGGAGATGTAAATCGCAGCCCCTATGCATCAATGTCTGAATTGCTAATTCTGATGGACAAGGGATAAGCTAACGGAAACAAAGGAAAATAATTAGAAGAAATAACAGTGAATTTAGTACAAGCTCTTTTGGGGCAGAACATATCTGATAATGAGCATGTCGAAAAGAGGGAGGATGAAAAAGAGGACCAGGAGAAAAAAGAAGTAAAAGAAAAAGTTATCAAATAGCAGTGCAACGCAAGGTGGTATGAACGTTTATAATAAATATTTCCATAAACTATGACAAGAAATACACACATTTACTGATGATACCCTCTGATAGCAGTCTAGGCACAACTAGCGGTCAAAATAAATAAACTCAAGTGAGCTTGATTTCTTTATTTTCATTCACATTCAAATTTTACAACTTATTTGCTTTTTTTTTGAATACACATTTTGTATAAAAACTTTAATCTTTAGCCAGTCTTTATTGGCTAGCAACTCGGGGTATAAACTTTTAATTTCTTCACAGTCCTTTCTTTTTGGAGATTTTTTCATCTTTATGTTCTTATTAAAGAAGAATGTTACTGCTTCCTTCTGTTCACTAGGCCATGGTGTAAGAATACGCTTTTTCTTATTGACAGCTACAGGTAATTCCGTTTTCTTTCCTTTTTGCTCTGACACTACTGTTTTATTAGATAACATTTATCTTATTTCTTTCTTTTTTCCTGATCCTCTTCTTCCTTTTCCATATTTTCTCCATCCTCGTCATCACACCCGTTCTCCTCTAATAGATCTTCTTCTAAGTCCACTGTTATTTCCTCTAATCATTTTTCTTTATTTTCACCAGCTTCTCCATTTTCCATCAGAATTAGCAATTTTGAAATTTTCGCGGTCTGGTACAAATCGTCGGGTAGCCTATATGCGTCTTTATGTACCCCAGGTGTATGTCCCATGAAATTGGACAACTGTTCGATTTCATTTTCGTTTAAACTAAATAGTTGACTCAATGTTGCAAGGTGTTTTCTAAGCCTGGTACAAGTAATTGCTTGAGGATTTTTTACTTCACAAGCATGAGCATATTTTGCCATTACTTTATATCCCTGAATTGGCCCGGTGAGCCGTGGTTTGCCAAAAAAGTAAGGATTTTCTTTTGGGACAAAATCATTCCCCACTTTTAGTAATTCTTTGACATGAAGCTGTACATCGTTGCTGAACAATACCGGTACGCCACGGCCTCTTTTACCTCGTATCACAACTCTTTTCAGATTTTTTATCAGTAGTTTTTCCACCTCGGTTATGACTTCTTCAAATTCTTCATATTCGCCACTTTTAATTTCAGAACTCTCATAAGTGCGAAGAAACATCCTTTGCAGTTCACCTGGTCTTTTTCTATTCAGTAGTATTACCCTGAAATATACTGTCTCCAACAGAGTATTGTAAGCGTTCGCATCAGCAGCATTTCTAGCCAACCTGTTCACTGCCTCTCCTGCTTTCAACAACAAGTAGTTTTTTAAAAGCCTAAGGTCTGTTGCTAATGGCACAATAGTCGCTTTATTGAATTTTATCAAGTTCAAATCATTGCCAGCGCGGCCAGAGACATCAAATCTCCAATTCGATTGAAGTAAATTAATCATCGTTTTGAGGCTAGCTGTTTCAACTGATGGTTCATTTTTTATAACCATGTGTATTGCAATGTCACAACACTGTTTCAGTGCGGTACTTATATTCATGGCAAATGTGGGAGAATCAAATGTGTCATTAACAGTATCGTAGTTTGCTACTGATTTTGTAGCTTCAACTAGTTGGTCATAGTGCTCCGGTTTCAGGCCATCAAACAGATTGTGTATTGTTGGCTCTAGTTTTTTCAATTCTAGTAATATTCTGGAAAGCTCTCTCATGTTTCTACTCATTACATTAATAAAATGCTTTTCTCTATGGGTTTTCAAATATCTAGCACCATAGGCACAAATAAGATAATAATTTTTTGCCTCACGAGATATTTTGTCTGCTCTCATTCTGGGAAAGACTTCGACTTTCAATCTTTGGTCAATTCTTTTATTTTTTACGAGAAGATTCTGCGTTTCAGTTTGAGCATTTTTGCTGACTGACCTTCCAAGCACTTTTTTTTGTGTCTGTATAAAAACTTTGATCTGTAGAATCCAAGACAATTTCCGCACGGAAGAAAAGATGCACTTGGTGAACGAGCCTTCTTCACAGGTTTGACGCACTCTTCTGAATTTTTTATGAATTTGACTTTTTTCTTCAAAAGTGCAAGTAATTTTCTCCTTTCTACAGAATTCTTTTGATGTGAAAATATTTCCTGAACTTTTGTACGTCCGTTTCACAGAAATAACACATATTGGTCTGGCGTCTATATTTCTTCGATGCTGCGAGTGTAGAGGGCTCTGCAGATTCACCTTCACCAGCAGCACAAATCAATGGCGGTTCATTCTCCGTTTCCTGAAACAAGCGATGATTAAAAAATTGAAATTATGTATTGGTGAATCATATAGTCCTAGTCATATCAAGTGTAAAATTAAAGAACATAGTAGTTTGGAAAACAGTGATCTCTCAACGTAAAACTACTACCATATGGCCAGGGCTCTTAACCTTGCCTTAGTTGGCCGGGACTATCATTCTTGCCCTAGTAGCCCGGAGGTCATTCAAGGTGAAATATGAGCGTCACCCCAGGACATATCTAAACGTAATATTTTTCGCTCATTTCATTGCAGGAGTCAAAAATGAGGATCTACGTTTAAAACTCTACCTTTAAATGACCTTCAAGGTCAAAGAAGAATCCAAGGTCATCTTCTGATAGCTGAGGATTAATCCTACAACTTTTATTTGAAGTATTTCACCCTAAAATGAAGTCCCGAAGAGTTACCCATTAGTGGCGATTTGACGTTGAAGATCACTCAATGTGAAATATAAGGATCGCTCAAGGTGATGCTTGAATTTAAAATGTTCCGCGAGTATCATTACTCGAATCAATAATAGGTCTTTACATTATTTGAAATTTTTTTAACCTTCAAGGTCAAAGTCAAGGTAAAAACCAAGGTCAACGACCGATAGATGAGGCATAATCCTACAACCCTTATTTGAAGCATTTCTGAAAAGTATTCCCAAATAGTTGTCGAGCCGTCACGGTATTTTGCCACACCACATTATGCCATATATTGCTAACAACGAACATGGTTTTGTGATGTACATGTCGTGAAACATTAAAAAAGTATTATCTTGATTTAGAAATGTTTCGCAATTACAAATACTTCCCCGCCAATTGGCGCGAGAAGTAAAAAAGTATAACAAATGGCAAATTCGCAGGATTAATATTTGGTGGACTTTTTGGTAATTTTTATAACCTAACCGTTTTCACGCATATTGAAATAAAAAGTACATGGATGAGGCTATAAAAATAGACAAAAAAGTACTAAATAGTAAAATATCTCATGAGCTCAAACCCAAACTTCAAACAGAACATAAATTACCTTTTAAGTGCAATCTGTACAGCTGATATATTAGGTACCCAGACTTAGATTTGTCACAAGTCACAATACTCGTACATACGTATAAATCGTAAGAATTGTGCTGTAAACAAGTGATTTCAAACAGGGCCAGCATTTGGAATACCAAAGGATACCAAAAAATCGCAATGCTCAGTTCATATAGCTATAACTTACAGTTAGTATGCTTCTGTCGCCATGATGTGTCAGAAAGTAACACAGTGGTGTTAGATTACAAAAGCAAGCTAAATCCGCCACTGTCTATAGCTTATGAAAAACTATGACTAATGCGATTTTTGAAGGGAAATTCGGATAAAAGATTAACGACCATTGCTGTAAAGTTTTATGGGTGATTCTTCACGAACGCAAAAAAATTCTCCCACCTTATCCCTCAATTTTGAGCCATCCAGAGATTTTGAAAAATGATTAGGGGACTGAAACGTACAGCAAAAAGCTTAAGCATTTTTTGTATTTTTTTTTTGTTTTAAAAAATTCAAAACTTTTTCATACTCCTCTTAGGAGCAATCTTGTGTCTAAAAAAATCCATATGGAGGTGCCAAAGATTTGCAGGCAGACTGGCAGACATGAGTAGCATGGATTTTTGGGATTGTGTGTCACGAAATATTAAAAAAAGATATTTCGATTTCGAACCTTTCTGAAAATTGTCATGGGAAGTACAACGCCTAGTATAAGAAATTGTCGCTATTGAATATTTGTCTCAATCAACGTAAAGAAAAAGTTTTATAAAATCTTGAAGGCTAGGTTGTCACAAAATATTCTCTCCCCGTGGGCCAAAGGACTATTAAGACTTACAAGAATCTAGTCATTGTTGAAACTAACCTTTTCTTGTCGAGTATCATTTCCACTCTTGTCCTCACTTGGAGATAATGATCTGTTACAAAGCCATCTATTTGTTTTTCGTTATTCCCGAATTTCATTACCTGAAATTTTGAATCAATCAATCAATCGAAAAACAATCATTCCTCACCAGTTGGCGTGGGTAGTAAAAACACAACTTACCTCTTCTTGACTGCTAGCCATTTCGGTCTCAAAGAAAGTTACTCGTATTTAACAAGTTGAACAGGCAACAGAAACTCACTGGCTGCAAAATCATACTCAAAACGTTGGGAATCAAGATACGACTGGATAGATGATGTTGTTATACGTATAGACGCGACATGCAGCGTTGCCAATGATTTTTAGAAGAGGAACCAAAATAATCTACGGAATGAAGGCAAAGCTCCAGTGAGCATATTTATGCCTCCGCGTAGCGGAATTTCTGTGAACTAAAATCATATTTTTTGGTTACAAAGGTAGTAATAAATTGCATCCACACATTATTCAATTGCAGCCATCTGGTGCCAGGTATCATAGAACAAAAACTCAACACAGATTCTGCTGAAGAATCGCGTAGGAATCTGTAAAGATTGAAGCATCTCTGGTCTTCTAGAGCGGCAGAAATCGAGTTAACTATTTTGAGTCCGATATATGGTATCAATATAGTCATGGAGTCAAGATGTAATGTGCCGTGCATGTTGATGGAAGCAAATGATTGACCTGGATGTAAATATATATATATATATATATATATATATATATATATATATATATATATATATCGATACTTTTCGTGGATCTAAACATCCCTAATCTTGACAGCTTATCGTTCTTGTCAACTGGGCTGCCTGGTGCGGTGTTGCCTTTACTATCTAACATTTTGCTAAAATCTTACGACAAAAGCTTCAAATTAAAGATTGACGAATATGAACGGATATGTATGGAATTTGAAAACTTGAACCGGATTGACGTTTTTCATGACTCAAAGGTCTTTGATCTACCACTGATCTTGGGACGGCATTTTCCTTATACCGAATTCAACGGCACTATTTACCGATTCCGTTTTTTTTTTGCCGGTTCGGCAACACTGCAGATGTGCAGATCACTTCAAAAGCAGTTGATATCCCAGGCGTGTTATGATAATAGAAATAACAAGAAAATATAACAATGTTTGGAGATATATTTTCATAAATATTTACTTTTGATTCTGACATAATATCTACACGATGAATGATAGGTGGATGCGGATACTTTTACAAATATCGATGTTTTCGGACCCAGAAATGCAGAATGTGCTGTTTGTTTACATTTGGTGTGGATTTCTAGATCATAAATTGGCAAAAATTGTTTTTGATGTAACAAAAGATGACGAACTAGTTGGAATACGTTTTATATCCCTTTTTTGCAAAATAACAAAAATCGGTACATTTCTACAGGTACGTATTATGTACCACACGCTGTACGTGATATACAGACAAAACTAGATTGCCATGCATGAACAGTCGTCAAAAACAGTGAAAACATCCTACTAAATATAATAGCTAGAAAATCGACCTATTATTTCTCTCATTTTCATTGGTCCATTTAAATAACTGACCGTCTTTTGTGAAATGATAAAAATTTGAAATTCTATGAAAGTTATCCTAATTCTAAAGCACAAAGACATAGTATTACATCTATAATGTACCCTTATTTATAAGGCAACCGTTTTTTTCACGACTTGACTCAAAATTTCAATAGAAATCACTGATAATCAGAGAGCTTTGACCGCTTCCGTCTAATTGCATTTCGATAAGGTCTTTTCCTATTGACCGTCAAATATTAATGTTGGTGAAATTGGCCCTAAATCAACAGACGTGCTGCTGCTGGCGGCTACTATGCACTGATGGACATGTCTCTACGTACAGTAACATGCAACCTCCTGAACTTTAATAGCACCCTTTGTATGAGTAAATTTGTAAACAACATTCCGTTGATACAACCGACTTTTACGCCCCTTACGTCAAACTACACGATCCGATTCTTTACAGGTTCCATCCCTTGAGCCTCCTCAACCTCGCGCTGAACGTGATCAACAAGCAGATCGATCCGGAGTACGAACCCGAGGAATACCTGATCGAGCAAGTGAACCCCAAGTGCAAGTACTGCGGCAAGCCGTTCCTCAACCTGAAATTGCTGGCCGTGCACGAGCAACAGCACATCGACGTCGAAGTCGGCGAAAAGATCGACAACCCGGTCCCATGGGACGAATCCAGGGAGGATGCTGAGGTACGCAACAAGTGGCTCAACCACTTTGACGAGAACGGATACGCGGACGAGGATATTGTCACGCCGGATGACCCCCTCAAAGCTGACATCGACGATGTAAGCCTCGTATCTAAAACCATCCCTTGGCCTTGATGTGCTTCGTTGTGTTCTTTGTAGGAAAGGTAGACATGCGCGGTCGTTTGTAGCTCGTTTGCTGTTGAGAGACTAGACTAGAGGCTTCGAAAGCTTTGCATTAGGTAGAGAACAGTCTGATTCTATATACAGGATGTCCCAGAAGTCGACGTCGAGTTGGAAACGGGGTATAGGCCAAGTCGTAATAAACTGGTGGCTTTGAAACAAGGAAAATTTTACCAACATTCAAATCTCGATATTTTCGGAACGTAAAGAGATATCGAATTGCGGTATTCAGGAGGTTCTTGACCAACTCTTCGAGAACACGTATAGGGTTCGACCGGTATTATATCTTTTATGTAACTCAAATATCTTTCTTCAACGAAAACGTTTTTAAAAAAGATTTATTTATGAGAAAAACCAAATACAACGATGTTAATTGAAGTGCTTGTTCAGCATCTTCTTCTCTATAGACTGGTACATAACTTGTATCCACTTATACCGGCAGAGAAAAGGAAGTTGTTCTTTTAGCAAAGTTTGCGGTTATGTCAGATTCTCAATTTTTGATCTTTTGAATTTTTCTATGCAACTTTTCGGTCTTTGGACTTCTCAAATTTTTCGAAAGTTGGCTATGACTCGAATTATTGAATTTTTAAAAAAGTGTTACATTTATCCCTAAAAAACGGACTTGTGTATACTCTATCGCCGCATTGGAGAGTGTTTGGACTTTTTTCATACTGTCCACGGTTAGTGCTTCCTCTGACTGCGGACCACTGTCATCAACGTTTGAACTTTAGCAGAGAACGGCGACATTGGGAGGCAGAATGGCAAAATGTTCTTCAGTCTAGGTGCGCACGATGGTCGTAGAAGGGTAAGACGCCGACGTGATATTGGATCTGCTGTTGAGAGGCATGTACACAGGACTGTTGGAGTAATGGTTTGGGGGGCTCTTGCCTATGGTAGCAGATCACTCCTCTTTGACCACAAATCACTGTACTGTATCTAGAAGGCCGTCCACACGTCCTTTTTCATCAAGGCAACGCACCTCCCCATATTGCTCGTCGTACTACGGACTTTCTTCAAGAAGCAGGCGTTTATGTTTCGCCGTGACCGGATTTAAATCCCATCGAACATGTGTAGGAGAAGACTATCCACTTTGCACCATCCGCCTCAGACTCTACCACAGCTAATCCACGCAGTTTGAGTTGCTTGGAATGAGGTGTCACAACCACACATCGATCTAGACGTATACAGCTGCGGCGTCGCCCAAGACATTATTTTTTCTCCTTATTACTTGTCAATAAAATTTCGCGAGAATGATATCGCTTCATTATTGATGTAAGATGACCTCATTGCCAAAAAATCAAGTTGAAGTTATCATTTTTTTCTGGGTCTAACATTTCTAATGTCACCGAGTATATATACTAAGTGACATATAAATCCGAACACCCAGTTTAAATGGTTTTATTTTAATAAAAGTTGGTGAATGTATTTATCTTACTGTAAATAACAAGTGAAAAAATTTTCAGCCTTATCAGTTGGACATTCCGGTTTTTATACTGCTTTTTTTTAATTCACTAAAAATGGATATTTCAGCCGCAGTAAAGAATCAACGTTGACGGATTTTGGTTCTTGACATCCTTTACCATCGGTTACGATGCCTAGAGTACGGAGACCTGTACGATTTCGTCAACTTAGTGAGTTTGATAGAGGCCGTATAGTGGGACTTCGGGAAGCTGGACTTTCTTTTTGGGCAATTGCAGTTAGAGTGCAAAGAAGTGTAGACACTGTGGTTAGGTGTTGTCAGGCATGGCTTCGAGAAGGCCGTACGCAAAGAGCAAGGGGCACTGGACGCCGCCGTAGAACAACAGACCGTGAAGATCGCCGCCTAAGATTATTGGCCTTAAGGGACCGTTTCTCCACTACCAGGTCCATTGCAAATGAATGGTTTGCAGAACACGGAAGACCTATTGGCATGCGAAGTGTTTACCGACGAATGAGAAGTTTTGGCTTGTTTTCATACCGGCCACACTGGGTCCTCCCTTTAACTCGAGAACACCGACGTAATCGCCTTGAGTGGTGCAGACAACGGTCACTCTGGGATCAGGAATTGAACAGTATTGTCTTTAGTGACGAGTCTCGATTTTGTTTAGGCATGCACGATGGTCGTGCCAGGGTTAGAAGGCGACGTGGTGAAAGACATGTTCATCACACTTTTAGAGTTATGGTTTGGGGTGCTATAGCTTATGGTTCCAGGTCACCTTTAATCTTCATCAGAGGTAACATGAACGCGCAGCGTTATATCCACGAAGTTCTAGAACCCCATCTTTTACCCTATCTTGACACCCTGGCAGATCCACCTTTCCAACAAGATAATGCCCGACCACATGTTGCAAGAGTCACAATAGACTTCTTTCAACATAATGATGTCACATTGTTACCATGGCCACCAAGATCTCCCGACTTATCCCCAATTGAGCACGTGTGGGATATGATGGGTAGGAGATTGCTCAATTTGCAACGTCCTCCTCAGACTCTAGAAGCACTTCGAGAGGAGTTGGTGGTTGCCTGGAATGAGATACCACAGGAGGACATTGACCACCTGATCAGAAGCATGCCTAAGCGCGTTGGAGAATGCGTAGCACATCAGGGTGCATCCACACATTATTAAAGGTCAAAGGGCTTTAAAGCAGTGCAATCATTTTGAAATTTTTATCATTTACTTATTATGCTTCATTAAGTACTTATACAAAATTTTATTAAAATAAAACCATTTAAACTGGGTGTTCGGATTTATATGTCACTTAGTATATCATGGCAAGCGCCAATTACTTTTTTTTATCAAATCTCGTGATGGCAAATAATTTTCAATCCAAACTTTGCTATCAGTACCACAAAATATAAACTTTTAATCAGGTGACAAGTGACATTTTTCGCGTGAAGTTGACTGCAGAATTGATTAAATCGGATTAGCCTGTTTATACCGAGAATGACGAATCCAAATCTTAATCCAATCCCACTTATCGGCTCAGCCTACTTAGAGGAGTGTTTGTATCCCGAATTTTTAATCTCAATCCTAAGATCGTCCTGACATGTTGCATGGGTAAATTTTAAATTTTAATTGTCTATATAACAAATCGCTGATATTCCATCTGAAAAGGCAGTTTTCATTTTCAATAATTCGCAATATAGTTGTCTCATATTGTTATAAGATATATATTCTTGGAATATCAGTATATTTGGGAAACATATCTTTAGCGTGCATGCACTTTTATTTTGGTTCTGGGTACTTTTTTTAGTTGCAAGTCTCAATTTCATATTGCATGATTTTATGCGAATGTGTAGCGTCATAGTAAGTCTCGTTTATTTTTAATAATTTTGCTGCTAGAGATCGACCGATATGGGATTTTCGCCAATACCGATGATCCGCTGATACCGATAGGTTTATATATCTGTTTTATCGGCGACCTTGAGATAAGTCTTCGCCTGGTAATAGGCTACTTGTCTCATATCTAATTTCATAGAATAAATGATATTTCAATTTTTAAAACACCATCACGAAGTGCCTAAAAACTGCCAATAAAAAAGTTCCATATTTCTTGAAATAAAGTCAGAAAAAATGAGAACGCTTTTGCCAAAATTTAGTTTTTCGCAGAACGCAGCTTTTTTATAATTTAACCCGAGCTGTATCTTCCGCAGGTATTGAGATTCCCATGCATAGGATCCTCAGTCCAATAAAAAAAAGTATGTTTTATTTTTAATACGAAACGGTGAAAACACTATCGGCCATGATGTGACGTCCTAAAAATCGTAAACCAGAAACGTAATCCGTATTTCACCCGTAGTCTTCAAATACTGGGTGCGCCATCTATTACTTTTTTTTACCTATAAGTTTATGTGTTACCATGTGAGTCAAAAGTCATGTGGTATGCATAAATAAACTGTCAAAGGTATGCCATTTATAGTCATGGATTCGTTTACAACACAACAACGTATTTTGGTTATCCAAACTTATGACGAAAACGGTACAAATATAGAAAATACTTCGTACTAGTTTTGGCCGACATGGACGCCCTACAGAGCCTGGAATTTGTTGAATTGTTAATCCTTTTGAGGAAACTGGTTCATCTGAAGGTCGTAGACCATACCAACATGCTCGTCCAGCTCGTACTCGTGAAAACATAGCCGCAGTGAGTCAAAGTATGCGAGAAGATCCAACCGCCTCGACTAGACACCGTTCGCAACAATTGGGAATTAGTGAGACCACTTTACGCCGGATTTTACTCATTGATTTACACCTCCATCCATACAAAATCCAAATAACACAAGAATTGAAGTCTTCAGATCATCAGCAGCGGCATGTTTTTGCTAATTGGATGCTGAAAAGAAAAGACGGATTTTCGGCCAAAGTGCTCTTTTTTGATTAGGCTCATTTTCACCTCAATCGGTACGTGACTAAGCAAAATTGCAGATTCTGGGGGGCTGAAAATCCACACCAATATCATGAACAACCTCTCCATCCTGAAAAAGTGACTGTTTGATGCGGATTATGGGCTGGTGGCATCGTTGGACCATTCTTCTTTGAAGATGCCGAAGAAAAGGCCATTACCGTCAACGGGGAACGTTATCGCGGCACTTTTTGTGGCCACTATTGGATCGTATTGGTGACGACGATTTTTGGTTTCATCAAGACGGAGCAACGGCTCACACATCTCGCCAAACAATCGCCTTATTGCACACGAAATTTCTAGTCCGCATAATTTCACGAAATTCATATGTCAGTTGGCCCCCGAGATCGTGCGATTTAACACCTCTTGACTATTTTCTTTGGGGATTTTTGAAAGGAAAAGTGTATTCGAATGGTCCCCGGAAAATTTAAGACCTAAAGCGCAATATTCGGACTGAAATTGCGGCCATAGACCCGATTACCCTGGGAAAAGTCATTGAAAATTTTGATGTTCGGATATTGGCCTATAAACGAAGCCGCGGTAGTCACATGACTGATATTATTTTTCATACCTAAATGGCATAAACCTACCTTTATTAATCAATAAAAAAATTCGATTTCACCTCGTAAAAAGCTTGTTGGTTTTTCAAATAGAAAAAAAAGTAATAGATGACGCACCCCGTATTTCTAAAAAAGTCCAGTCGACGTTAAAAGCTTCTCGTTTTATTGAATTGCTGTAATTTTTGCTGAAAAATCCCATACACAGCTTATTTTAAGAGGTTTATTTCTTGGCCAGGCAGCTCGTAATCGCCAAACGATTTAACTTGGATATCGATTTGCAAGCTTTATTGTAATCCTAAACACAATTGCTTCTCATCACCTCCAGGTGATCGAAGCAGAACCAGAATGTGTTCTGACTGAAACTGCCGAACAAGAAGGCGAAGCGGAAAACGAAGCTGATGGTGAAGCCGACGCGGAAGGCGAGTCTGCAAATGACCAACCAGAAAAACCACTAATGACCGTGACCGATTCGCATAGGACGGAGGTCGAAGACAAAATTATCCTGAAAGACCAGCAGCCAATGGTCAACGGGATGTACCTAGGCGATTACAGTAAGGAAGAGAGGAAGCAGTTCTACCAAACTATGAGGATACAGGGAGTTAACAAGAAGTTCTGTCATTTGTGCAGGTGAGATTTTGTACAAATTTGAGTTTTTTCAAAAAGAGTTCTCTGACTCTGACTTCCATTTATTTTTTACTTCCCACGCCTAGTTGCGGGGACGTATTGTAATCGCGAAAATGACATGTGCAACACTTGTTTCCGTCTGTCTGTTTGCTAATCCTATAACCGCCTATACCTTGAGAAGTACCGCTCGGATATTGATAAAATTTTTACACAATGTTACTACTGTCCCAAGAGCTTTGTAGTTTTTGAAAATCGCTCCAGTGATGAGGAGAAAAATCGCCCAAACATCGTTTGTTTATGTGTCAGAGGATCCTGATCATTTTCGGAAATTTTTTGTATCGGTTAAAAATTTGGGGTTAGGGGTTGCAGATGATGGAGGAGGGTATATCTCAATTTTTTGACGCTGTATTTATACGCCTCCAACCCCGGTAATTCTACGGACCAGTTAGGCATATTTCACTTATCATTTACCCTTAAAACTCAGAAATAGAGTTTTTGGAGACAAAAGTCGCGTGTCGGTACGTGCGACGAGGTACCCCGATGGCAGTCAGCAGTCGCTTCCGCACTACTCTGGGCTATGTGCAATGTGAATGCCAATATCGTCATTACGGGAATTTCTTTCAGAGGAGGAGGGTCATTTGTTTGTACATGTCCATAGCTTTTTTCCCAAAAGGGTTAACTTCTGCCAAAGAGAATCCTTCATGAATGATGTCAGCGTTGCGTGGGTAGTAGTTACTTGAGTCTCCACTTATTCTGTTTTAAGAAGTGGAGACTATGATTTATATAAGTACTAAAAATATTCAGATAGGTATCTCTTATATAAATGAAGATTTGAAACTTGTCTCAAAATGGTTAGCATCTAACAGACTAAAATTAAATACAAGTAAAACGAAAGCCTTGTTAATCGGAAAAACACAATGTACAAATGTTCAACTGAATATTGATGGTGAAGATATTGAATTCGTAGAACATTTTAAATACCTGCGGGTTTTTGTTGACTCTCGATTAATTTTTGATATTCATTATGAAAAAGTTATAAATAAGATTAGTAGTAAAGTGGGATATTTATCGAGAGTTTCTGGATGTCTGAGTTCATATAGCAGAAAAATTATATGTAATACCATCATTCTTCCAAATTTCTTGTACTGTTCGACTATTCTATATTTAGCAAATAATTCCATTTTTGAAAGATTGCAAATTTTACAAAACAAGTGCATGAGAATAATACTGAATAAAGATAAATATACTCCAATTAGGCAAATGCTTAGCAAATTAAAATGGCTTAATGTAAAAAATTTTATCAAATATCTTGTAATGATATTCATTTATAAAGTAAAAAATAATATATTTCCATCCAGTCTAACTAATTTAACATCGTCAAATGTCGACCATCATTTACCTAATACCAGAAATAAAGATGACTTCCATTTAATGACCAAAAAGAATAACATATGCTACAAATCTGTATTCCATCAAGGATTGATTGAATATAATAAATTATACTCAGAGATAAAAGACCAGAAAACTTTGACAAAATTTAAAGTAAAATTGAGAAATCACTTGTTAAATCTACAATTATAGGTTGCCCAGCATTTACATCATACACCATATGGCTTGAATTTACTAAGTTGTTTACAATTATTCTGTTTATGTAGCCAAATGTGCTAAATAAATCTTTCTACTGCTACTACTACAATTCACAAGATATGACCAGGTTGTTCACATAAAAAACAAACAATAGGGACCGATAACACTGCGCTGTGGAATACCAATAAGAAGCTGAACCTCCTCCGAAAAAGCGGTTTCCATCCTTTGTTATCTGGAAACTTCTCATTTTGCTTTAGGTATACATTTAAGGACAACTGGGCCATCGAGAGCCATTACTTTTCATCAGCCTGTTACTACACGTGTCGCTATTGCGGCATGCGCTTTAACAAGCAGCGGCACAAATATGACGAACACGTAGCGGAGCATACGAAGAAGAACGACAAGTTCTCCGAGAAGGTTTATGCAGCCAGCAAGATCAGTAATGTGATGCCGAAGATACTTCAGCAACCGCGGCCAAAGAAGATCGTGGTGACCCAGCACACGGCGCCTCCTCAAGAAAGGCCACAGTTCGTCGGGCATCAGATCAAAGTCAAGAATTTTACTGGATCATCGCAAGGTGTTCATGGAAACATTAGGGTGAGTTAATTCAATTAATTTTCAATTTGAAACCTTTATTTTATATAGATTATGTCTTATATAAACGGGTACTATAAGTTTTGCAATACAGCTTTATTTATTGAATTCGTTCAAAGTAATTTCCACCACATTCAATACATTTCTCGATCCGCCAAAACCAGTCCATAAACCAACTCTGCCTCAGAAGGTCCTGATCGATAGAAAACCGTGCAAAGTCGCAGGTTGCAAGATCTAGACTGTAAGGACGGTGCTCAAGTTTCAGTCTAGTAGTGGTCAAATACTCGGTGCAGGCTTTGGCGGGGTGAGCTGGAGTGTTGTCATGGTGGAGGTATCAAGTGTCCGTTCTTGACTTTGGCCGCAGGTTTTTCATATACTCTATGACTTTAGGCAGGCACTGTTCCGTGTACCACTTAGCTGTGACTGTCTTCTGTGTGTCCAAAAATACTCATTTTTTTCTTAACAGATCGAGGTTTTCTGTCAGCTACGGGTGTGTCTTCATCATCAAAGACCCAAACTTTGTTTTCAGCCTTGGTCGGCACATCTTAATAATAGAGCAAAGTCTCGTCACGAATGGTCGCTTATTTTTGGAGTATGTAAAACCTTAATACTCAAATTCTGTTCATTGGTTATTATTACATCGATCTTAATTCGTGAAAAATTTGGAATCCTTGTGTAGTCATTAACTGTTTGCCATAGACCATGAAAGTTCAGTATATGTTTAAAATTTTTTACACAAAAATCTTGATTATCAAAATTTATATTGTAGTCTCCCAAGTGCACAGTGGAGCAATTTCGATAATACTGTTTTTCACAAACACTCTCAAAAAAGTAAATAAATCGGAGATCTGTAGTAAACGTGTACATTGTAATTTTGTTTCATCTTGATTTCAAAATTAATATACTACTATTGATAATCAACAACTACAGTATTATACAGGGTGTTTCAGTTTATTGTTGCATAACTTTAAGATTCGATAGAACTTTTAAAATTAATGCATAAAGTCTATATAAACATGGGCCGAAAAATGCGAGGCTTCCGAAATACAAGGTGTTTAAATTTACTTTCTAAAATAGTTTTTTTAAATATTTCGAACAATATTTGATGTATAACAGTGACAATTGGTATACAAGGGTTTTTTGGTACGACAAAACGAACCATGGGCATAGTTTTACTGTAGCCGCTAGAGGGCGCTCTCTACTGTACCTGTAGTGTATTAAAATGACCGAAAAATTTTTCTTAGTGCAATTTTTTGCTTTTTGAATAAAAAACTGATTCTTCGCACTTTTCAACATAAAAAAGCTCTCCTGTGAGTTTTCGTTATAGTTAGCCGGTTTTGAGATATTTCGATTTTTAAGGTTCGATGCATTTTTAATTATTTATGGGAAAATAATATTTTTTTTTAACATTTTCGATTTGGGCATTACAAGTAATTAAGATGTTCGTTTAGATTGTGTTTTTAAACACAGCAATAATTCCTAACTCCAAATAAACACAAAAAAACAGAATAGTAATTTGTTTAATTTTCCAATATTATTTTTAACAAATTAAATTAATGATTTACAACTAAAATGCTATTGGATAGTTAGGACAAACATACAAAATCTAAAGTAGTTGCTCCAAATGTAAACCCAATTGTTCAATACACAATTCACATCTACGAATGATCGAACGTGGTATAGCATTATTCAAATAAGGCCTTATTTCATCACATGCATTCCTGATTATGTCTATTAGCATATCGCTTGTGGTTACGGGAGTCTGGTACCCTTTTTCTTTTAGAAATCCCCACACAAAGAAATCTAATGGATTTAGGTCAGGGGATCGTGGAGACCAGGCGACTGGTCCTCCACGGCCGATCCATCTTTCTGGATAATTTTCGTCCAGCCAGTTTCTAACTATTCTCGAATAATGAGCTGGACAACCATCAAGCTGGAACCAGGCCAATCTTCTTAAATCTAACATAACATCATCCCACATATTTGCATGTTCAGCCTTTAAAAATTCCAAGAAGGTCGCAGCATTTAACCTTGCAGGCAAAAGGTAGGGTCCAAATAGTCGATTACGGTAGATACCAATCCACACGTTCACACTAAATTCATGCTGAAAATTTCTTTCCCGAACTGCATGTGGATTTTCATGCGACCAAATATGTTGATTATAAAAATTTAACACTCCACGTCTAGTGAAGCATGACCCATCGGTCCATAAAACGTTACTTAAAAACTCCCTATTATTATCAGTTCTATCAAGAATCCACTGACAAAATGTGATTCTTCGTTCTCCGTCCCCTGGCTGTAGCCCTTGCACAGGTTGCAAATCGTAAGGACGTCTATGGTCATTTCTAAGAACACGGTGAACATGGCTTGCTGAAATTCCCAAGGCACCAGAAACTCTCCTAACACTTGTGGTCGGATCTCTATCAAACTCACGCAGAATCATACGGGTAAATCTGCGCTGACGAACATTTATGTTTTGATCCCTTTGGAGATTTCCAAAACCATTTTCAATTATTTGGCGATGCACTCTTACAAATACTGAGCGAGTTGGATGTCGTCTGTTTGGAAATCTTCGTGCGTATTCTCTGGCTGCTTCTGCTGCGTTTCCATTTACAAAGCCATACACAAAATGAATATCCGCTAACTCTCGATTGGAGAATAAAAATGGCATTTTTATAAAACTTACAAAAAAAACAGGTAAAAGAAACTAAATTTCGTGCATTCAAAATTGAAAAAAAAAACGTTTCAGGTTTCAACAGACAACAAAACTAACTGTCAACTAATTGACGTTTAACCTTATTCTGCTTTCAATTTCAAAAATATTTGCAGGCACAGCCTACTTCTAAAAATTATCGAGATACTGACTTTTTAACGTTATTTTATCATAAATAATTAAAAATGCATCGAACCTTAAAAATCGAAATATATCAAAAATGGCTAACTATAACAATTCACAAGAGAGCTTTTTTATGTTGAAAAGTGTGAAGAATCAGTTTTTATTCAAAAAGCAAAAAATTGCACTAAGAAAAAAGTTTCGGTCATTTTAATACACTACAGGTACAGTAGAGAGCGCCCTCTAGCGGCTACAGTAAAACTATGCCCATGGTTCGTTTTGTCGTACCAAAAAACTCTGGTATACCAATTTTCACTGTTATACATCAAATATTTTCAAAGTTTTTTCAAAGTTCAAAGTTTATTCAAATTCAAAAACCAATATAACTTACAAATTAAAAACAACCTTCAGTACAATTTAAATAAAAAAAGCTTCAAAAATACATGAGCTTGTATGCTCTTGCTACCCTGAATAACCAAGATTGCAACAGAAATCTGAGCAAAGATACTAGCATCAGAGCAAGTAACGGTATATGAATTGTGAAAATTCTGTATACTTTCGTAAAGGGTAAATGTCTGGATCTTGTCGTCACAAATTCTAAATTACGTTTCTGCATAAACAAATCTAAAATTCATAACAATAGTACAGAAGCATACTAGTAACACTCAGAAGTATAAATATAGAGTACATAAAATATGAATATCTGAAATATGATAATAGAGGGATATTTCGAGTAAGGTCAAACTATGTTGTTTAAACAATAAAAATTTTGCGTAAAGGTTAAGCAGAGAAACAAGAGTACTACAATTTACTACAAAAGAATTTACTACAAAATAATAGACACCTAAGCTATAAGCTTGTGTGTGTCATACAATATACAAATTCAATGCATGGCTAATGGTCATAAGGTATATTATGAGCAAATGTATATAAAAAAAAAGAAATAAAAAAAACATTAGATAGAAACGAAATTACTGAGTTGAGTCAAGCTACCGTCGATGCAAGCATGTCAAAGTTATTTAAGATGAACTTCTTAATTCTTTTTTTGAAACTATACTTCGAGAGGATTTTGTATTCTAGGGGTAATTTATTATACAACCTAATCCCATCAAACTTTATGCATTTTTGGCAAACAGATTTATTCACTCTGGTATAGGTGTAACTTATATTTATTTTAGTTCTTGTTTCATAAGCGTGGCTGGTTGGAACATTGTTTCGGGAGTGAACAAATTTTAGAGCAGCAAAAATATATAAACCTCTAACATTCAAAAGATCATTTTCAATGTAAACAAATCTGCAACTTGACCTACATGGGATACGAAAAATAGTCCTGACAATATAATTTTGCGTGGTTTGTAGTATTCTCAAAGTACTAGTGTATGCGGCTCCCCAAATACTTATCCCGTAAGTTAGTAGAGACCCCACAAACGAGTTGTTGTTCGAAATATTTAAAAAAAACTATTTTAAAAAGTAAATTTAAACACTCTGTATTTCGGAAGCCACGCATTTTTCGACCCATGTTTATATAGAGTTTATGCATTAATTTAAAAAGTTCTATCGAATCTTGAAGTTATGCAACAATAAACTGAAACACCCTGTATACTCAGTTTGTATATTAGTATGCCACCTGTATGTTTCGAAACTGTGTTTACTCTTACAACATCATAATGATGAATATCAATCTCCATATCTTCAATATCTTTTGTAATATGTGCTTCAGTCAAGCAAGGAACTAATGGTTTCACTAATATTAAAAAATTATAACTTCATCCCTGAGCGATAATAATCCTTGAATATTTATATGGTATACATTGTTAGAATATTTTTTATCCTGTAATTGCTATTTGTCACCAGAAGAAACTTTATTTTTTGACTTTTCATATTCGATTTGGACCATGTTGTAGGTATAGTTAGTGATTTATATCGAAATTGTGTTGTACTTCAAATTTGATTCTCTGCAATTTGGACATGTTATTTCATCTTTTGCTATCGTACAGTTCTGGGACTGATGATCACTATTACCACATTTTAAACAAATACTGGTCTTGGTGAAATTCTTCGCTGTGTGGTGAAATGTTTTCCTACAGAGTGAAATTGCCCCTTTGGAATTCTCTGTACCACCTGAATATAGTCGTACGATGAGGACCATCATTCTTTAATGCAAGCGTCATTTCTTCTAAGCAGTGGTCTATGCTTACACCACTCGTAAAGTTATACTGCCCTTATCTCACTACGTGACCACGATCCCATAGTCCGCACTTTACACTGTCAATACGAATGAACAACTAAATCAACACTCATGCACATGCAGTAACAAACAGCCTCCTGCGTCCGTTTGTTAAATCATATTGCAAATCTTTTATGGTACTCTTTGTATCTAGTCGAACTGCCTGCATCGATATTCCCTAAACGGGCATTAATTAGATAGTTAACATATTTTCTACTCGATTGGACAGATTAAAGAAGAGCCTCAGGATCACCCGACGAACAGCGGCGGGCTTCTGACCACGACGCAGTTGAAGAGCACGAACCAGGCGTACTTCTGTAGGAAGTGCTACAAGGTGTTCTTCCGATTGGAGGAGTTCAACAATCACAGCGCTAATTGCGACTATAACCAGATGGGCGGTAATCGAGGTAGTGCGCAGGGCAGTGCTAGCGGAGGTGGCAGTAGCGGTGGGGGCGGTAATACCGGAGTTGCTACGAGGTACTCCGCCCCTGGTGGTTCCAGTAGAAACGGGGAAGTGTCGCCGTCTGGAAGGCCTATGCGAAATTGTGCTAAGGAGACTGGACCATACAGGGATGAGGTAGGTGTTTTATTCCCCTTGGTACGTCCCATTTTTTGATTCTTTTTAACTTCGTGTTTGCAGCAGTATTCTAAATCCTTTTCATCTGATAATTTCTTGGTGTGTATAGAGATGACTAAAAACAATGTTTTTATATACAGGGTGACAGGTAAATAGGTGTAAAACATTTTAGGAGGTGATAGTACAGCTCCTTTGCTATCAAAATTAGTATACCCTATATTCAAAGGTTAACAAGTTATGGAAGATTTAATTTAAAAAAAAACAACCCAGATTACAGAGTAAAATAGTTGAGATAAAAAAAAGTTGGTGATTAAACATTCTTTTTTTGGTGGTTTCAGGTTATTATTTAAATAAATAATTCTCATAAATTAAAAAACATATGAAAACACTACTGAAAACGTATTTATTTTCATTTAAATGTTAAATGAAAATTTTTATTTTCAACTTTCACATTAAGAAGTCTTTTTTTTTCAAAAAAATCATAATAAAGAAAATGTACAAATAACTGCAAAAACTTCCATTAGGTTTCTAAAATGGTATAATAACATATCAGTAAGTAAACCATTTAACAAAACAATATTACTTTGCTAGAAAGGACGGCTAAGCGCATTTCATTGTACTGAGCAGGTAAACCGAGCCTTTCATGCTTCGACCCTTTTTGTTATTTTTTGTGCCCTGTGTCGTTATTCGGGTTTAAGTATTCGGAATTTGTCGTCGCTCCTCGGAAGCAAGGTCTGCGTGTGTTATGAATTGACACAGCTGACGGATCAAGGAAAGGGAACTAACGCTTAGGTTAGTTAGTAGAATATCAACCTTTAACGCGGTACTTACTTTTACTTTTTTGATCAGTTTTAATAATGGCGAGTTACCGTAACGAAGAATACGCTGATATTCTGTTTTGTTATGGTTTAAGTAATGGAAATTCCGTTGAAGCCAGGCGAGAATACGAAAACCGTTTTCCGAATCGGCGAATACCGAGTCATCGAGTATTTGCTTCTGTGTACCAACGCGTCAAGGAAAGTGGACAGGTTCATGAGAGACGTCATGATGCTGGTAGACCTCGGTTGTTTGACGACGAAGATCGAGAGGCAATGCTGGAATGCTACGGCAGAGACCCGACGACGTCTACACGAGTTATAGCAAAGCAGCTTGGTTTAACTCAGTGGAAAGTTTGGTGCGTTTTGCATTCGGCGAGACTTTACCCTTTCCATTACACACCGGTTCAAGTATTAGAAGAAGGAGATCCCGCTAGAAGAATTGATTTTTGTCGATACATGCTTCATCGGGATCAAGAAGAAAACGACTATTTAACTAAAATGTTGTGGACCGACGAGTCTAAGTTTGACAGAGAGGGGACAACAAATTATCACAACTTACATTATTGGGCCCCACGAGAGGCAAATCCCCACATGGCAAAGCCAAGAGCCCATCAAAGAAGATTTTCGGCAAACGTGTGGATGGGAATCATAACAATCTGAAATTAACTATCAGAAAGACGGCAGAGGACATGGGCATTGCTTATGGATCCGTTCAAAGCATTTTGGTCTCTGTCGTGTTGCAGCCAAGTTGGTGCCCAAAGACTTGAATTTCGTGCAAAAAAGGACCGTCTTCATATCGCCAGACGTTATTTCCATGGCTGAACATTTATCAAACGTATTATTACTTGAGACGAGACGTGGGTTTATGAGTACGACACGCAGTCAAGACATCAGGAGAGCGAACGGCTGAGACCTAAGAAACCGCGTCGTTTCCAGTCGAAAAAGAGGTTAATGCTCACGGTTTTCATGGATCGGTTGTTTTGAGACATTTGCGTAAAAATAGAGATACCTAACTTGGAGTTAAAATGTTTCAAGGACTGGATCAAGCGTGGGCATAAGTGCATTGCAGTCAGTGGGGACTACTTTGTAGGGGACCTTTTATCGGTTGTGAACGATCAACTTGTATTGTTTATTTTTTAATAAATTCCGGGAACTTTTTGTAAAACATAATTTCAATTGATTTCCAGGCGTTCTTGCCCGATTCTATCCTAAAAGAGCAGCGAAGCAGCGGCGGCGGGCAGCAGTCATTCATCTGTTTCGTATGCAACACGCCCTTCCCGACGATCTATTCGCGCAACAGCCACATGCGCATCCACAAAACCGAACAGTTCCAGCAAATGCCGCAAATGCAATCGATCAGTTTTCGGCCGCAACAGCAAATGCAGCAGAAGCCGCAGCAGTCACACCACCAGAACCACCCTCAAGGATACGGCAGCAGGATGCAACAGTCGCATCATCCTCGGGCTTCGCAAAACCATTATGGTGAGTTATTAAATTCAAATTCTGAATTTTTATTATCCTAAGAGATATTACAATGTATGCATAGGATTCGTCAGAGTTAAAACTAATAAAACAACACAATAAGTATATGTGTAAAACAAACACACAAATAAATCGTAAATTAACAAACTCAGAGTCAGCATAATAACATTTACTTACAAGAAATTCTGCCGGTTTAGCCTTAAAATTGTGTACAGTAGCGGACAAAAGTTTGGAAACAAATACAGCAGACGCTCGGTAATGTAAACTAATTTAATCCAAGTGTGGTTCACATTATCGAAATGTTTACATTAGCGAACGTGATTTATATAATATTTGATTTATTAAAAGAAACGTTTAATACATACTATTTATAACAAAATAAACAAATATTCTAACAGCGATAAGTATTTTTTTAATTAGAAGAAAAATAATTAACAATTTTTGTCTGCGTAAATTTTGCGCTTAGCATTATCTTCCAATGCCTGCGCCCGTAATTTACGAAGAACTAAAATATCCGTGTATGAAACTCCTTTTCTTTCAGCCCAATCTAAAGCTTGGTTAAAAACTTGTATAGCTTGCGCGTCAGTCACTACACTTCTGACTTCAATGGGATCGTTCTCATCATCCTCACTGTCCATATCCTCCTCCTTATCAGCATCATTCGTCTGCTTATCTTTGTTCCATAAATTAATATCAGCAGGAGTACAAACAATGTTGGGATTCACTGTTTTCAATAAATCAACAACATCCAATGACACACTAATAACATTATCATTATTGGATCGCAAACGTTCTCTAATTACGCTTAAGGGGACATCGTCTTCTTCATCATCTTCATTATTGGTACAAAAGAGTTTGTTCCAACATTTTTGAATAGTTTGCTGGTTAAGTTCATTCCAGGCCATATGTAAATCTAAAACAGCTTCTCGTAATGTTACTTTTTTTAAAGCCTCAGATAAGTGTTCAGGATTCTTTGATAAGACAGACGAAAGTAGAAACTTCCTATAGTATAGTTTGGTGAGTCTTATTATATTCTGGTCCATCGGTTGAATTAACGGTGTTACGTTGGGCGGCATGTACATGACGAAAATTGACCCATCCCTGCTCCTCAGTTGTTGCTCGGGAGGATGACTTGGTTGGACTTCTGTTGTTTTAGGAAACCTTTTACCTACAAATTGAAACACATCTTCAAATTATGAATAGAGCATTTGTGATAATTGATTGTCATACCTGAGGGACAAAGCACCTGTGGAACCATTTCAGGAATATACTGCTAGTCATCCAAGCTGTTTTTGAACAGTCATAATCAGGGATATTAACATTTTTAAATGAGCGCGGATGTTTTGCTTTCCCAATTACCAGTGGCTTCATTTTGTGTGAACCATTAGCATTAGTGCAGGCTAGAAACGTTATTCGTTGTTTCTCCGGCTTTCTTCCCGGAGCAGATTTTTCAAATGCAGCATAGGTTTTCTCTGGTAACATTTTCCAATAAAGGTCACTTTCATCTGAGTTGTAAATTTGTTCAATTCTTAAATCTAGCTCGGTAATTGTTTTCATCAATTTTTCTTTGAATGGTTGCACTAATTGTGGTTTTGCTGATAATTTTTCACCAGATATAGACAGCAGTCGAATTCCATATCTCGTTTTGAATCGTCGTAGCCAGCCATCACTAGCTACGAAATTTTCAGTTTCTTTCAGTTTTTCATTTAACAGTCTCGCTCTCTGTTTAAGTACTTCGCCACTAACTGGGACATTATTTTCCCGTTGTTTTAAAAACCACTTATACAGGGAACTTTCCATTTTAGGTGCCTTCGCATTTTTTAAAGTTTTTCTTTTTTCCGGACCTCCAAATGTATTGCACGTTCTTTGTGAAATTTGAGTTTTCATAGGCTTAATTTTACAGATTGTTGCTTTCGATACTCCATATTTTTTGCTAACTGTGTCACTCCCGCACCTAGTGCAACTTCGTCTATGATTTTCACTTTCTCACTCAACTTTAAACACTTTCTTTTATAGGATGTGGATGCCATAGTCGTAAAATATATTAACGCGTGCAATGTATTCACTTAAGTTCAAAAATGAAATACATACGTATCCTAAACGATCATACGACTGACCGAGTTTGTCGTATTTTATCGCAGAGGTGAATCCCCTACACTCTACATCATAAATCGGGGACTCCCCGACGCCCGATATAAATCATCGAGGCTTCAGCATTTTACCGTCGCGCTGTTTCCGTGCGCCGAGAGTTGTTTACGTTATCGAGCGTACACATTGTTTACGTTATCGCGCGTTCCGTTTGATCCTATAGAACGAAGTTTGTGTTTACATTAGCGCAAGTTTTCATTATCCCGTGATTACCTTATCGAGCGTCTGCTGTATTAACATTATTTTAACGCAAGTTTTGGGTACTGTAAGTATAAAGACATGTTTTCCGGTAATTTTAACTTAAGACACTTCGTAAAAGTAGAAATATTTCCTTCAAAGTTGGTGTCATTGTCGAAATCTGGATGAACATTCACTAAAAGAATCCTTGTAACCAATAGGATTATCTAGTAGACTTGTTTTTTACCAATTTGTTGCAAACTTGCAATATCTTTTCATTGATCATAAATAGGAAAATGTGTACTTACCAATATGCCAAAAAAGAACCTGTCATAACGGGCATATTTTAGGCTAATATTAGGTAAAGTATAATCTCTGGATTTGTCTTCGGAGTCAAAAATTCCGTCAGTTCTTCTTAGAGGTGTTTTTTTTGTAGTTTTGAACCAAACAATTTGTTCTATCCGGCACCCAATTCGGGACGTGGTTACTAATTTTTGACAAACGATTCAACTCGCACGACAATGCGACTTTAGTGGACAATGATATAAATACTAAAATTTGACAAATATAGAAAGCTTTTCCTTGGGTGCTAGCCCATTTTAACAAAATGCTAGTTGGGTAGATTGACCTGCACATGATCCCATATATTCTACCTATCTACTTACTTTTTCAGTTTTTTTGATAGTTTATGCAGGGTGGTTAAGAACGCAAAATGAGGTGTTTCTGAAAATGTTCAAATGGAACACCCTATATATTTTTACATTCTCTGATCCCCTTTTCACAAGCTTTCTTATGATATAAGATTTATGGGGGTTTCTACGACTGGTCATGGTCAAGGGTACTATTAAAGTTTTGCAATATGACTTAACAAACGGACGCAGGAGGCTGCATGTTGAGACATCGTATTGTCAGCGCAAAGTGCGGACTATGACATCGTGGTCATGTAGTGAGATAAGGGCAGGTTTACGGTATAACTTTACGCGTAATTTAAGCATAGACCAGTGCTTTGAAGAATGATTGTCCAGGCAGCAGCGGTGGCCGCAGTAGTAGACTCTTCGGTCTCCTGTTCAGTCGCCGTGCGCTGTGCGGGTTCGAATCCCGTCCCAGGAGAAATTTTTCTTAGGCTCAAAACAAAATTTGGGTCTTATTTTTCAAATCCAGCGGGATTGTGGAGCTTGTCGTTTTGGACACACAGACGACAGTCACAGCTAAGTGGTACATGGAACAGTGCCTGCCTAAAGTCATAGAGTCTATGAAAAACCTGCGGCCAAAGTCAAGAATGGACACTTGATACCTCCACCATGACATCGCTCCAGGTCACCGCGCCAAAGCTTGCCCCAAGTATTTGACCACTACTGGACTGAAACTTATTGAGCACCCTTCTACAGTTCAGATCTTGTTCCCTGCGACTTTGCACTGTTCCCGCATGTGAAAATGAAGCTAAAAGGAAAACGGTCTTCTAGCGATGAGGACCTTGTGAGGGCTTTGGACAACGAGTGTGCCGCACTCCCGGCAGAGCTGATTTAAGGATTGGCTTTGGCGGATAGAGAAGTGAATTGAATGTGGTGGAAATTACTTTGAACGAAGTTTTTTGCAAAACTTTTTTAGAACCCTTTGTACATTGTTTCAAAAATGCCGAATCAACACACGTTTGAACTATGCAAAAAACGGCAATTAGGATTCTACTACCTTTTCTATATCTTGCTAATCTCAAGTTCCACTATATTCACCTAAATGAAATTTGTTTTTATAGCTGGCGTTAACCTCGACCTAGTGAAACAGGAGCCCATTGATGATATGCCAATTTCGATGGAACCGATGGTCGAAATCCACGAGACTGAATCTTATAGTGGTTCTACTAGTACTATTGGCGACGGTGCGGTCAGTATAACGCCCATTAGCAAAAAACCTAAACCGTTTGTTCTAAATTCGAACGTCATGAAGCTAGTACAGAACAATCCGAACATCTCCATTAAGCCCAGGTCGCCTCCGGAGAGGATCAGCTTGCAAGCATTAGCGAATAGCCAATCGAACCAGGTATGCATCCAAACTGATTAACCAAAGAAGCTTTGTTGATAGTTTTAAGTTGTTTTGCAGCCCAATAAAATTAGGTGTGAACCTCAAAATGACAGATATACTAAGGGTGGATTCACCAGGATTGTCAAATCTACAGTCCGTTATTCTCCACCTATAGGGTCCGTCAAATACAGCGAATGAGCTTCAAGTTCCAATCAAGAAATTTTAGCAACCAATAGCTGTGAAATGTTGGAAACAAAATACTGTCAAAGTATGAGATGACAGCTTGTCATTGAACATCACCGGCTTATTGAATATTAAGAAATTACATATGATTTAGTCAAAATTTAAAAAAGTCCGATTTTTGAATAAAACTCATGTTTTTATTTAATATTGTCGATTGTTTATTCATGTTTATATCATGTTCTTCAATTGATATGCGATTTTACTGATTCAACATCACCTATCGCATGTTCTTTTCCTATAAACCTTTTGCAGATAGCCATTAAGCACCTACTTGATGACAGGCTCTACCAAAAATTTCATAGATATTGCTCGTTTTCAAACATTCATTCATTTACTTGTTGTTCATCAGTACCATTATAGCACCGTCGATTGATATTTTCACAAAACCATTCAGGATTTTTGATATCGATACATCCATAGTCACATATTTTTTGGTTGTTCAGGAACTGAGCAAACATCCACACTATATTTACAGCGATTAAGAAATACTCAAATATATGTCGTAAAGCTACCGGCAAACTTAAAACCTGCAAAAAATAGAATTTGCAATAACTTCACTGAACAAATATGTTTACAAGTTTTTTCGAAATTCAATAAACAATTCTGGGTGTTGCATTTTGTATGTTTCTTAGTATATTTGTAGTTATAGAAAAATATCGATTTTCTTCACGGCAGTGATGAATACAAAAGATGTGTATGCCTTAAATTAAAAGTTATATGGAAACAGTACCTGTTCCACAAACGTTTGATGATGATTAGCTCAAAAAATATGGTTCAATATTTTCATCACATTTGATTTGAAGTACGTTGTTAAATGTATCAATATCGAAGAACTTTGGTATATTACTTGCAACGGCAGACTAAAGGTCAGTGAAACTTTTCAAACAAGTTTTGCAAACTTGCAACGTTTTTGCTGATTTTCTGACCATAGAAAACAATATATGTACAAAAAAGATGTTTGTGACATTTCTCTTTGAATAATTTAAAGACGCTGATACGAGATCATGCGAGTCAAGTTGAAGAACGTCAAAGTTAAAATCCTTGCAAATGCGCAGCTCCTCTTTTTCATTCAGAGGCTAGCCCATTTTACCATTCTATTTTCCTAGATACTTAGGAAAACTTCAATTATTTACTTGTACCTGAGTGTGGCCTCTTTCATAATTTTTTTTCCACGACCTCAATTATTTCACAATAAACCACTGACATTTTTTTAAACTATAACCTATCCGAGACATTTCCGGATGAAGAGAAACGAGAATATTTTATTTTAACACGGGGTGGCCAATATATACTAAGTGACATATAAATCCGAACACCCAGTTTAAATGGTTTTATTTTAATAAAATTTTGTATAAGTACTTAATGAAGCAAATGATAAAAATTTCAAAATGATTGCACTGCTTTAAAGCCCTTTGACCTTTAATAATGTGTGGATGCACTCTGATGTGCTACGCATTCTCCAACGCGCCTAGGCATGCTTCTGATCAGGTGGTCAATGTCCTCCTGTGGTATCTCATTCCAGGCAACCACCAACTCCTCTCGAAGTGCTTCTAAAGTTTGAGGAGGACGTTGCAAATTGAGCAATCTCCTACCCATCATATCCCACACGTGCTCAATTGGGGATAAGTCGGGAGATCTTGGTGGGCATGGTAACAATGTGACATCATTATGTTGAAAGAAGTCTATTGTGACTCTTGCAACATGTGGTCGGGCATTATCTTGTTGGGAAGTTGGATCTGCCATGGTGTCAAGATAGGGTAAAAGATGGGGTTCTAGAACTTCGTGGATATAACGCTCGCGTTCATGTTACCTCTGATGAAGATTAAAGGTGACCTGGAACCATAAGCTATAGCATCCCAAACCATAACTCCAACAGTGTGATGAACATGTCTTTCAACAAAAAACTGTGGATTCCTCCTTTCACTACGTCGCCTTCTAACCCTGGCACAACCATCGTGCATGCATAAACAAAATCGAGACTCGTCACTAAAGACAATACTGTTCCATTCCTGATCCCAGAGTGACCGTTGTCTGCACCACTCAAGGCGATTACGTCGGTGTTCTCGAGTTAAAGGGAGGACCCAGTGTGGCCAGTATGAAATCAAGCCAAAACTTCTCATTCGTCGGTAAACACTTCGCATGCCAATAGGTCTTCCGTGTTCTGCAAACCATTCATTTGCAATGGACTTGGTAGTGGAGAAACGGTCCCTTAAGGCCAATAATCTTAGGCGGTGATCTTCACGGTCTGTTGTTCTACGGCGGCGTCCAGTGCCCCTTGCTCTTTGCGTACGGCCTTCTACACTTCTTTGCACTCTAACTGCAATTGCCCGAAAAGAAAGTCCAGCTTCCCGAAGTCCCACTATACGGCTCCTATCAAACTCACTAAGTTGACGAAATCGTACAGGTCTCCGTACTCTAGGCATCGTAACCGATCGTAAAGGATGTCAAGAACCAAAATCCGCCAACGTTGATTCTTTACTGCGGCTGAAATATTCATTTTTAGAGCGGACATTTGTCTGATATTATTTTTCATACATAATTTCTAAGTTCCAATAAAAGATGAAAAAAAAATGGACGTATTTTATTTTATTTCACAAATATTCAAGATACAAACCACTCAGTTACATATCGGCCAGCCTGTATATCTCGTTAACCTCTCAAGCAAAATCGTAACAAAATTCTGACAAGCGAATTATGCTTTCACAAGAACATTTCAGCGTACTAACATTTCCTTCATTTCCAGATGCAAATGAACGCTGGAGGAGGTATCCCGCTCGGCGACGATAACAGGACCTATAAATGTTCTTCGTGTTGGGAAGCCTTCTCGAACAAATCACACCTGTATTTCCACAAAAAGAACCAGTGCGAAGGGTCCCGACTGCCCTGTCCGTTCTGCAAGAAGCGCTTCGGCACTGAAGCAGAGTACAGCTCGCACATATACTACAGTCATCCGGAATAGGGTCGGGCCAATAGGACGCGAGTCCTGTTGGGAAGATCTAAGTAAACGATACGGCCGAGTGCCTAAATAGTGTCATTATGGCAGCCTCTTCACCTTGCGTAGATCTCAGTTACGTCATATAAAAGGATAAAAATTTAGCTTAACACTGAAACGTTTTGATTAAGAGCTTAAAAGCTTTGACGCAAAGGAAGAATTATTAAATGCCAGAGTTTTAATTTGGCCTTGGATCAAAACGTAGGATTTCTCTTCAAGCTACATTTAGTTCGTTAAAAACAAAAATGCTGACTCCAGACAATAGTAAAGTCGTTACCGGAAGAACCACCCAAAATCAGAATCACTGCGATATACATATTTCATATTTTCTGCGTCCACCTTCTGGTAAAAATAAATTGAACATGTAAGGCGCCTCATTTTGAAGGTATTTTCATGCTCTATAAAACGTATGAAGCATTTTGACTAATACTTTATAGTTTATTGACATACGAAAACTTACTGGCTACAGAGCCAGACATGCCATACGACTGCGCGTCAAGCTCTCGTCATCATAGAAATTCACCCAAAAATTCAACGTAATTTTCAGAGTTGCACTGCTGTGTTAAGCCGCGTACAGACCGAGATTCCAACGCTGGCCAAGGCACATGTTAAGCCGCGTACAGACCGAGATTCCAACGCAGGCCAAGGCACATCTTAAGCCGCGTACAGACCGAGATTTCAATGCAAGCCAAGGCACATGTTAAGCCGCGTACAGAGCGAGATTCCAACGCAGGCCAAGACAAATGTTAAGCCGCGTACAGACCGAGATTCCAACGCAGGCCAAGGCACATGTGGTTACAGATCGAGAGGTGTTGGAGTCGGTGTGTACATAAGCCAACGATTTCCAAGGTCGGCGTTGGCGTTCGATTGCGTTCGCTCCTTGATCGGAACGTCAAAGTGAGGTTTTATTTGGTCTGGACGCGCTCCTAGTGTTTAGTCGCTCGACATTAGCACCGAACTTAACCCGACGCGGTCCAACTTGAAACTAAATTTAGGTGTAGGCGAGCGCATTCCAATACCTTCCAACAACAAACGTCAACGTCGCATGGCTTTTTACAATGTGACAGATTTTAGTGGAAAATTTCAGCTTTGAAATTTCTAGTTCACGGCATACAAGCTTTAATGGCCGGTGGATTCTTACATATGAAGTGTATCTTGATTTGCCCGGATTTCGAACGAAATTTCTATCTCGCGGGCTGCAGCTCAAACGGCTTAATGAATTTTGGCATTCGAGGCGGAAGTGTTCTGTGCAAATTTCTTAGCGAGATCATCGTTGTGTGGTTCTGAACGAGTGCGTGACTATTTTCATGTTTGAAGAGCAATAAGCGTAGACTTTTCAAATAATGTTTTTTTAGGAATCCAGAAATAATACTGTTTTTCGTAAAAATAATAGACGAATTCAAATTGTAATTGAAAAATGATCAAAAACGCTGCAAACGAGTTGAGCACTAGCGAGGTGTCTCTATATTTGCCTTAATACAGTGAGTGACACTGAGCCACTAAAACTGTACAACATAATTTTTGATCCAAGAAATCAATCATATTAGACCAAAGTACCCCTGGTTTGCGAAATAATTGTAAAGTCTGGTTTTATGGCTGCAAGTTGTTCAAGATAACATGGACGCGTAAAATGGGTACACCAATTTTTGCGGGAAACCTTTTTGTCTACAACAAAGAATGGGAAAACGTGTTCTTTGGAATTTAAGCGAAAGTGTTGGCAGGAACGAAAAAAACTCTTCTTAAAAGTTTTTTAGGTATTTATGAGACCACACCTAAAAAGATCCGACTAATAGCAAAAAAGTTACGACCAAAAACCGAAGCAAATTACAGGTTTTGGCACTTCAAATTCGTCGGATTCGTACTTCTAAATGACCACAAAAAAATTGGAGTAGATTGGTCAAGTAGTTTTTGAGAATTTCTAATTGTTTAAAAATACCTGTTTTCTGGCCATCACTACTAGTTTATTGATCAATATACAGGGTTAGTTCAAACGGCATTTTATAGCAAAATACACTAGTTTACTTTGCCGATATGAATCCACCATTCCGGAAGATAAATGTAATTTTTATGGGTTACGTTTTTTCTTCTAAACAAATTCAAACATTTCGTATTTGTGAGTAATTTGCAACAAAAGAGCAGTTTGACCAATACTTTATAGTTTGTTGACATACGAAAACTTCGACGGTTAATAAAAACGTTACCCGGCAAAAATGTTTGTATGTTCACTCTAAAGAATATACTACATTGTAAAGTCCGTATATGCTACTTTTTTCTGAAATTGCAGATATCGTGGTCTAATATACACAGCCAGACATGCCATACGACTGCGCCTCAAGCTCTCGTCATCATAGAAATTCATCCAAAAATTCAACGTAATTTTCAAAGAGTTGCACTGGTGTTAAGCCGCGTACAGACCGAGATCCCAACGCAGGCCAAGGCACATGTTAAGCCGCGTACAGACCGAGATTCCAACGCAGGCCAAGGCACATGTTAAGCCGCGTACAGACCGAGATTCCAACCCAGGTCAAGGCACATCTTAAGCCGCGTACAGACCGAGATTCCAACGCAGGCCAAGGCACATCTTAAGCCGTGTACAGACCGAGATTTCAATGCAAGCCAAGGCACATTTTAAGCCGCGTACAGACCGATATTCCAACGCAGGCCAAGGCACATGTTAAGCCGTGTACAAACCGAGATTCCAACGCAGGCCAAGGCACATCTTAAGCCGCGTACAGACCGAGATTCCAACGCAGCCCAAGGGACATGTTAAACCGCGTACAGACCGAGATTCCAACGCAGGCCAAGGCACATGTGGTTCCAGATCGGGAGGTGTTGGACTCGGTGTGTACATAAGCCGACGGTTTCCAAGGTCGGCGTTGGCGTTCGATTGCGTTCGCTCCTTGATCGGAACGTCAAAGTGAGGTTTTATTTGGTCTGGACGCGCTCCTAGTATTTAGTCGCTCGACATTAGCACCGAACTTAACCCGACGCGGTCCAACTCGAAACTAAAATTAGGTGTAGACGAGCGCATTCCAATACCTTCCAACAACAAATGTCAACGTCACATGTACTTGCATTCGTTTGCTCGGCTTTGGATTTTCGGTCTGTACGCGGCTTTAGACAACTTGAACGGTATGTCTCGGATGCCTCGCGGGCGAGTGTACGAACCTAGGAAGAAACTGTATTTTTTACCCAACTACCTCGGAAGAAGGGTGATAGTTTTTCGGGCATGGTTATGTATGTGGACGAAAAATTCTATTTCAGGAATTCGACGTATTGGATTCGTCTCAGCGGTGAGAGTGACTCCGAATAATAATAATAATACAAAATGACGGATTTTAATCGAAAATTTCAGCTTTGAAATTTCTAGTTCACAGCCTACAAGCTTTAGTGGCGGATGAATTCTTACATATGATTTGCCCGGATTTCGAACGAAATTTCTGTTTCGCGGGCTGCAGCTCAAACGGCTTAATGAATTTTGGCATTCGAGGCGGAAGTGTTCAGTGCCCCGTCCGACAAATTTCGTAGCGAGATCATCGTTGTGTGGTTCTGAACGAGTGCGTGACTACTTTCATGTCTGAAGAGCAATAAGCGTAGACTTTTCAAATAATGTTTTTTAGGAATCCAGAAATAATACTGTTTTTCGTAAAAATAATAGACGAATTCAAATTGTAATTGAAAAATGATCAAAAACGCTGCAAACGAGTTGAGCCCTGGAGAGGTGTCTATATATTTGCCTTAATAAAGTGAGTGAACTGGGCCACTAAAACTTGTACAACATAATTTTTGATCCAAGAAATCAATCATATTAGACGAAAATACCCCTGGTTTGCGAAATAATTGGGTTTTATGGCTGCAAGTTGTTCAAGGGGAGATGGACGCGTAAAATGGGAACACCAATTTTTGCGGGAAACCTTTTTGTTCTACAACAAAGAATGGGAAAACGTGTTCTTCGGAATTCAAGCGAAAGTGTTGACAGGAACGAAAAAAGCTCTTTATATAAGATTTTTAGGTATTTATGAGACCTACAAAATGAGACCACACCTAAAAAGATCCGACTAATAGCAAAAAAGTTACGACCAAAAACCGAAGCAAATTGCAGGTTTTGGCATTTCATTCTTCAGATTCGTAGGATTCGTACTTCTAAATGACCACAACAAAATTGGAGTAGATTGGTCAAGAAGTTTTTGAGAATTTCTAATTGATTAAAGATACCTGTTTTCTGGCCATCACTACTAGTTTATTGAGCAATATACAGGGTTAGTTCAAAGGGCATTTTATAGCAAAATACATTACTTTACTTTGCCGATATGAATCCACCATTCCGGAAGATAAATGTAATTTTTATGCAAAAAAAGGATGGGTCAAGTTTTTTCTTCTAAACAAATTCAAACATTTCGTATTTGTGAGTAATTTGCAACAAAAGATGATAGACACATCCGCTTTATATTAAAATGTGTATAGTAACATATATTTTTCGAATATCGTAGCGCATTCGTTCAATTACTCACAAATACAAAATATTTGAATGTATTTAAAAAAAACGTAACCTTTGTTTTACGCATAAAAATAACATTGGAATGGTTTGTGATTCATATCGGCAAGGTAAACACGTATATTTTGCTATTAAAAGCTCTTTGAATGAACCCTGAATATTGCTCAATAAACTAGTTTTTTCCTCCCTGTCAGCACTTCCGATTGAATCCCAAAAAACACGTTTTCTCATTCTTTATCAAATAAAAAGTTTTCCCACAAAAATTGGTGTATCCATTTTATGCGTCCATCCCCTTGAACAACTTGCACCAATAAAGCCAGACTTTACAATTATTTCGGGGAAATTTGCTAATACGATTAGACTATGAGTTATTCTCAGATTTGCAAGGATTCTTTGCGAAAAAGGTTTTTAGTCTGAAAGCTCTTAACATAGCTCATTTGAATAACTCTTCATGTCGTCATCCTTTAATCAAATAAATAGTAACGATCGGAAATAGCCTGGAGCTAGTTTCTTGTAAATCAAATTCAGATAAAAGCGTGAGGATCTTTGAGGACTCGCACCATATTGCTATAGAATTCCTGCAAAATTAATGATTGCAAAATGGAAATGGGTGACGTGAATGTTTACGATATGAACAAATGTATTCGTGATTGAAGTACATTTCTTCACTGGTAATGTTTAGCCTTATGAATGCACATAAAATATTTCTGTTTGAAGAAATTGAGACACCAGTTGTATTTACTATTTGATATCCAAAATATTTCAGAGCAGTTTTAGAATGTATGAAAGTATTTATTTTAGAAGGCAGTTTTGCTTCTAAAATAATAATTGATGTATCCATTATAATTTAAAACGAAAGGTTATTATCTATCCCTAAACTATATATATTGAATGTACAGGTTCGACAAATAGTAGTGTGACGATTCTGCGAGCTGGACTTATTTAGATTATTTCCTGTATTCTAAGTTGAGCAGTAAAATTCATCATTCCGAGAGAACGGTTTATTTAGAAATTCAAGTCTGGATCAATTTTCTCGTATATGTAAAGTTATGAATTCATTGTTTTCAGAGTTAACAATTACGCCTATTGTACCGGGTAGCCGATATTTAACTGACTGGTTTGTATCATGGATATTGTGGTGAAATGAAATAAAATACGTCAATTCTGTTCATCTTAATCTTTTACTGAAACTGTTCGCTGTTCATTGTTTCCGTAGCTGGGTGGCAGGTTGCTCCGTCCTGCTGGAACCACATGTTTTGCAGGTCAAATTGTGACAGTAAGACAATTACCTGCAGCGTCTTCAAAGGAGTAACGAATACCCAGTTCTTGAGAACGATGTCTGGTAGACGTCTCAGGGCGCTCCACTACACTTTCACGAACTCTCTCGATGTTGTCCGAACAGTTCGAACACGGCCCGACATTGGCAAGTCTTTAACTTCACCGTTTGTTCAAAGTTCGAACGAATGGTGTTGACACTGGGCACAATATTTCGACCGAAATCTTGTCGTAGCTTCCGAATCGAGTCATTATTTAAGTATTTAACAATACGGACTCGTGGGATCGCGATAAATTGGACACATATTCTTTAAAAATATCAAGTATCAAAAATGGCGCGGAATTTAAATCAGTCAAATATACGAGTATATTGGCCACCCTGTATGATTAAAAAGCGACCGTGCTAAATCTATTTATTTCTGAATAACTTGTTGAAATGTTTTACTAAAAACCAAAGCTAGGATTTATTTAGTAATCGGAGCAGTACTATTTGTACACCCTGTGTATATTGTACATTGTAAATAGCATAAACAACAGTATAAGGAATCTCTGGATTCGGCGCTTTTACTAGGGCTGACACAGTGCGATTATTTATTGAAATGTATTAAGTATACATAGTATTTTTTATTTTGTATACCGTTATTTTATATACAATCTGTATTTCCAGGACAGGATTTCTATTGTTTGTTGTAGTGTCCAGATACGTAATTTTAATCACGTTTTTATTATTCTTTTAGGTAGATTATATATCATTGTAAATACTCACAGTAATTTTTTTCTGAATAAACCTTATACATGTGATACTGGTTTCAATAGGACTAAGCTCTGCTTTCTGTTATGAGTAAGGTAATAGAGAGGTGCATAAATCGCGAGCTTCTGGATTACCTCGAACGTTACGGCTTGATTAGCGACAGGCAGTACGGTTTTGCGGTACGCTTCCCAGATCGGCCAATTCCGTCTCACACAACCTACGAAAAATTCAAGAGGGTGGGCTGCTTACATAAGTGCCATAGCTGCATGAACCCTGAAGGTTGGAAACCAAAAATTAGCGAGAAAAGGGAGGAGATCGAAACTGCTGTTTGTGCCGCTGCAGAAGTATCTGAGCCATGCTCAAGCAGAAAAATTGCTGAAATGGTACCAATAGCCGATCTCACACCCAGAACAACAAGAAATATTTTGCATCGTAACGGCTATCATAGCTTCAAGGTTGGAACGGTTCAAGAAATATTTCCTTTAGACAAATACCGTCGAATGGAGTTTTGTGAAACGGTCATGGAGAAGGCGAACAGGGATGGAAGTTTTATTGGTAACATTTTGTTTACTGATGAATCCACATTCCCTCTCCACGGTCATCACAATCCTTCAGTCGTTCGGTATTGGTCTCGGGAAAATAAACACCTCAGTATTCCCGTCCGCACGCAGTATCCACAGAAACTGAATGTGTGGGCAGGAATTCTAGGTAATAACATTATCGAACCGTTCTTTATTGACGGAACTCTTACGACTGCAAAATATTTGGCGTTACTACAGACGCAGATTGTTCCTGCAATTAGGCAGCTTGGCATTGATCTCGCTAATATTTGGTTCCAACAAGATGGATGCCCGGCGCATAATGCGGCGATCGTACACACTTACCTTGAAAGTGTGTTCGGCCACCGGATTATTGGCGGTAACGGAACAATAAAATGGCCTCCTAGATCACCCGATCTAGCGCCCAATGATTTTTTCTTGTGGGGTTATGTGAAAAGTACTGTTTACACTTTCAATGAGAGAGCAGACAATTTGCATAACCTACAGGTGAAAATCGTTGAAGCGCTCGGGCAAATACAGCCTTCTACCCTCTTGAGAGTTCGTCAGGAGTTTTATAACCGCCTGACATACTGTTCATTGAATGAAGGAGACGTTTTTGAGCCCCAGCTGTGAAGGACCATTTGAAACATTTGTGTTCATTATTGCGTTTTATTTTTGAGAACTTATTTTTTGTTAGAATATCTTTTTATTTTCGTTACACATTTTTAAGAGTGTACTATTTTTTGTTAGAGTGGGTATCTTCTTATTTTTGTTATGAGACGCAACCTTTATTGCTACAAAACCAATTATCCATTCATAAAAATAAGTAGAGTAATGTAGGTGATTTCGTGAAATCTCGAAATCACTGAAATCGGTTCACAGGACGTCCAATCGAACTGGTGCGTAATGCGCGCATCTACTGTACTTCTTCTGACGACTCAACGCATACTGAAATTTGCAGCAGACCGCAGACCTGTATCACGAATGAGAATAATAGGCAGATACGCTGTGTTGCCAATTTGAGTAGAGCTTCCCGAATTGTGGGGAATTTAGAGTTAAGTGTTGATTCATTCAAGCTTTTAATCAGCATGGCCTAGACGTTAGAACTTCATAAAGATAACATTGAAGCTGAATGCTGCTGGAGCCACAGTCTTTTCAACAAAGAAATTATTTTACGAAAATGCGTTATATTTTTACGATTTTGTCGTCACCAAATCTCTGTTTCTCAAAATGTACGTCTATTGTAGAATTTTCAGCAAACTAAGCAAGAAACGTGATCTAGTATTTAGTCAACATTACGGATTTCTCGAAATACATTAAAAAATGTGACCTAGATACCTAACTGCCCCAAGCTCTTTAAATATAACACCTTAAACCAGGGTTACCAGGTGCTCAGTCACGTTGATTGTCATGTACTGCGCCAGTCAGCAAACAATCTGGCGTAATAAACGTTAGGAATCATCAGGTATTGCCAGATTCCCGAATACCGGGCACCATAGTACCCATTATAGTTGTCCTTCAAAGTTGTCAAATCGCCCCTATGGCGCAAATTCGCCACACCAGGCAACTGTGCTATAAACAAACCCATTTATACAATATACAAACATGAAAAATATGATTTGAACCATGAATAGAATTTTAATAGTTTGACCTTTTTTCATTTTTGGAATACTCTTATGTGGAATCCGCAGCTATTTTTCCCGAAATTTGGGTAGACTTAGATTTGTTGAGCGCATCCGTCTAAGCGGCAGGCGCCAGCGCCCGTTCTGCCATCTGCTATCACTGCTTGAGGATGCAACAATCTTGCACAGTTCTGTGCCTTGGCTATACAAAAATCTTAATAGATATAGTAACACAGACACCGTAGACCGGTCACTGTGATCGCTCTGTAACTTTTGTCGTGTTTCTATTGTAAACCGATAAAAGTGCCACCTTCAACTTTTAGCGACAAACTGACCACGTGGTCACTTGAAGGCAGCAAGTATACTAAGTGACATATAAATCCGAACACCCAGTTTAAATGGTTTTATTTTAATAAAATTTTCTATATATAAGTACTTAATGAAGCATAATAAGTAAATGATAAAAATTTCAAAATGATTGCACTGCTTTAAAGCCCTTTGACCTTTAATAATGTGTGGATGCACCCTGATGTGCTACGCATTCTCCAACGTGCCTAGGCATGCTTCTGATCAGGTGGTCAATGTGCTCCTGTGGTATCTCATTCCAGGCAACCACCAACTCCTCTCGAAGTGCTTCTAGAGTCTGAGGAGGACGTTGCAAATTGATCAATCTCCTACCCATCATATCCCACACGTGCTCAATTGGGGATAAGTCGGGAGATCTTGGTGGCCATGGTAACAATGTGACATCATTATGTTGAAAGAAGTCTATTGTGACACTTGCAACATGTGGTCGGGCATTATCTTGTTGGAAAGTTGGATCTGCCAGGGTGTCAAGATAGGGTAAAAGATGGGGTTCTAGAACTTCGTGGATATAACGCTGCGCGTTCATGTTACCTCTGATGAAGATTAAAGGTGACCTGGAACCATAAGCTATAGCACCCCAAACCATAACTCCAACAGTGTGATGAACATGTCTTTCAACAAAAAACTGTGGATTCCTCCTTTCACCACGTCGCCTTCTAACCCTGGCACGACCATCGTGAGAGAGAAACGGTCCCTTAAGGCCAATAATCTTAGGCGGCGATTTTCACGGTCTGTTGTTCTACGGCGGTGTCCAGTGCCCCTTGCTCTTTGCGTACGGCCTTCTCGAAGCCATGCCTGACAACACCTAACCACAGTGTCTACACTTCTTTGCACTCTAACTGCAATTGCCCGAAAAGAAAGTCCAGCTTCCCGAAGTCCCACTATATGGCCCCTATCAAACTCACTAAGTTGACGAAATCGTACAGGTCTCCGTACTCTAGGCATCGTAACCGATCGAAAGGATGTCAAGAAACAAAATCCGCCAACGTTGATTCTTTACTGCGGCTGAAAGATTCATTTTTAGAGCATTAGTGAATTAAAAAAAAGCAATATAAAAACCGGAATGTCCAACTGATAAGGCTGAAAATTTTTTCACATTTAAGATAAATACATTCACCAACTTTTATTGAAATAAAACCATTTAAACTGGGTGTTCGGATTTATATGTCACTTAGTATATATAGCCTGATTATATTGAAGTGGCGGTAATATTATATAGAAACGCATAAAAATGTGCTGCGGTTTCAGTGACCGCATTACGGCGGTTAAGGGTTAAGGTGAAATTAAAAAATGAATACCCAAAATGCATAGCGATGTAATTTTAATAGAAAATAATGTATAATTACATAAAATTCATTCAAAAATGTGTAAACCGATAATTATACAATATTGAGGTTGTAGCATTAATGCTAAATACTCCTTCAACAAACACCTGTAACAATGGCGCCTGTTTTTTTTCTACATAGTGTCAAGTTGACGTTGAATTAATGGCATATATATTTCAATAAATATTTCAGTTTGTGGCCAATGTATACGAGAGGTGTCTTTTAAGTTTTGCATATAGAAACATAGTAGGCCGCGCGGATCGAACGTCGGTACTGAATCACAACCTCACTCTTTAGTGAACTTAAATTCAAAGTTTCACAAAAATACGTGCGGTGTTTTTTTTTTCAAGATCCTATTGATGCTCCGCGAGTGCACGTCGGCATCGTCCTGGATGTTTCTTTTCATCAGAGCTGTATATGTTTGTTTATATCGTGTAAAGCCGCCTGGTTGAACACAACAGTTGAAGATCGAATGTTGCCAATTTAGGAAAAGGTAAACAAAATCCTGTTTTTGAATCGAACTTCACGCAGTGTTTACAAACAAAACATGTGATAGGGCAGTACTTGAAGTTCCTTACCAAATAAATAGTGAGTATTTTTCTTCAATATCTATTTTACGTTAAATTTGTTGCAAATTAGATTTGGTATTGCAAACGTAGTCGACTCTGAAAAGGAAAGTTCCAACTTTCAGGACACCATGTACATTGCACTACGTAGTTCTGAATATATTAATAAATGAATCTTTACATGAGCTGAATATTTCCACTACTGAGGAATTAGCTTGAATACAGTAATGGACAAAAGTATATAGACAAATATGAATATTTACCTAAATCCCTCTATAAAACGAATTCATACTTCATTGCTCTATAAACAAATGCGATATTAGTAGAAAAACTAAATTCCTTGTTTTTACATTATCTGCAATGAACACAATACAAGTCTGAATATAAGCACTTTTTTATGAGGGACAAAAATATGTAGACAAATTCTTTCAACATTAGTTTAGTACAGTTTCGTGTCAGAAGAGGAAAACTAAGATCATTGAGTTATAAAAAGATGGTCAACGTCAAGTCGACATCGCCAAAAATCTGAAGCTGAAGCGTAAAGCAGTTTGGGCAATATACAGGGTCCGCCAAAGGAACCTGACGTTTTCAGAATGGATAGTACGAAGCCGTTTTTTGACGTAGAACATCGGTTACAGTGGGCAAGACATCGGTAGTAGATGCCATTTCAGTAGTCATGGAGCTGTGGACAAGTGAACATCGCGCATTTGTTGTAGAGACGTATTTTAAAAATCACGACTCGGTGATCATTACACAGCGTCTATTTCGTACACATTTCAATGTCGGACGTCATGGTTCTGTTCCATGCCGTAACACAATTAAGTTGTGGGTCAAAAATTTTCGTCGATCTGCATCAGCAATGAAAGCTAAGCCACCAGGAATGCGTCGAACAGTTCGGACTCCAGCCAATATTGAGAGGGTGCGAATAGCGGTGCAGCAAAAGTCCACGTCGTTCAGCTAGGCTACAAGCAATTAGTCTAAGGCTTTCAGAAACAACAGTGCGGCGTATTTTGCATAAGGATTTACATTATCACCCTTACAAATTAGCGATGGTTCAAGAACTGGCAGCTGAAGACTTTGTGGACCGTTTGACTGCAAGCAACCAGCTTCGGTCTGATGAGGCGCATTTCGAGTTATCAGGCTACGTAAATAAGCAGAATTTTCGGTACTGGTGTGGAGAAAACCCAAGAGAACTTCACCAGCGACCCCTTCATAGTCGCAAGGTTACTGTTTGGTGCGGAGTGTCGCGATTCGGCATAATTGGACCCTATTTTTTTGAGGACGATGCTGGAAATTCTGTCACGGTCAATTCGCAACGTTATCTGGAAATGTTAAACACATTTTTGGAACCAGAGCTTCGTCGACGGAACATAGATTTAAATACTGTATGGTTTCAGCAAGATGACGCCACAGCGCCTACAGCACGAGCAACAATGGTTCGACTGCGAGAAATGTTTCCAGGAAGAGTCATTTCGCGGAATGGAGATGTTCCTTGGCCGGCAAGGTCTCCCGATCTCACGGCTTGTGACTATTGGTTATGGGGTTATCTCAAAAGCAAGGTATATTTAACGAGCCCAAGGACCATTGAAGAATTGAAGGAAAACATTCGCAATGACATTAGCGCGATTCCGATGAGTATGGTACAGCGCGTAATGGGGAATGTGCGAAACCGTTTGGAAGAGTGTGTCCGCAGTGAAGGACATCATTAGACCGAAGTTATTTTCCATACATAAAATGGCATGTAATACACTTTCGATTACTTATATATGAAAATAAATATCTTGAAAGATACATTTGTAGTTTCATATTGAAACTCATCAGGTTCCTTTGGCGAACCCTGTATAAACAAAAAGGTATCTTGGAAGCCTATAAGAGAAGTGGTCGGCCTAGAAAACTAAATGCTAGATCAGTTAGATTAATAAAAGTAATTTCGTCCAAAGATCCGTTTAAAATAAAAGCCGAAATCGAGACAAAAGGAACTGTCAGTGTTTCTACGAAAACTATAAGTAGAAGATTAAATGATTTGAAGTTATTTGCACGTCGCCCGAGTAAGAAGCCGCTAATCTCGAGAAAAAACCGTAAGGACCGATTACAATTTGCACGGTTGCATCTTGATTGCAGCATCTGTGACTGGAAGAGGGTATGTTTCAGTGACGAATCCAAGTTCAATATGTTTGGATCAGATGGTGTTCATTACGTTTGTCCTAGTGGACAAAGATTGAACCCCAAGTACACTTTGCCCACTGTCAAACATGGAGGCGGGTCTGTTCTGGTTTGGGGGTGCTTTTCGGGGTTTGGGATGGGACCTTTACATAGAATAAATGGCATTATGGATAAGTTTGTATACACAGACATACTAAAGCATGTCATGTTACCCATTATGGAAGACAATATGCCCTTAATATCAATCTTCCAGCAAGATAATGACCCGTAGCACACTTCAAATCTCGCAAAGAAATTCTTTCTGGACGAAAAAATACCAGTTCTCAAATGGCCTTCACAGTCTCCCGATATAAACCCCATTGAAAATCTTTGGGACTACTTAGATAAGCAAATACGAGATAAAAGTTATTTAAACAAGGATGAACTTTTTGCCGCTTTATAGCAAAAGTGGAGACAGATTGATGAATCTTATATCAAGAAACTTCTACAATCTATGCCGAGACGATCCAGGCGGTGATTGATAATAATGGTTATGCTACAAAATATTAACACAAACATGGTTGGTTTTTTATAATTCAATGAACTTTGCTTCTTTTTCTATAATTGTTTTGCTTTGTCTAAATATTTTTGTCCTTCATAGTTCCAGTTTTTTTTCAATTAATTTTTTATAATTATTTTAGCAAGGCCTTCGATACGGTTGACCCAAATATTCTCTGTAAAAAGCTTAGATACTTTGGCCTGTCATCATCGGCTTGCACGCTGATTAAGAGCTTTTTAACTGATCGCTCACAGTCTGTCATATATGAAAACAATATATCAACTTCTTTATTCAGAAATTTTGGTGTCCCTCAAGGATCTATTTTGAGTCCCCTTTTATTTGCTCTTTATATATGTGATTTTCATGAAACCGCCAGCAACTCAATCGTTCATCATTACGCCGATGATACCCAACTTTATAACTGCTTCGATCCTGATGAATATATGCTTGGTCAACATCAAATAAATCAAGACCTGCAGTCTATTTTTGACATATCTAGTGCTCACAATCTAAAACTAAATCCTGGCAAATCATGCTGCATTTTATTTGGGCCCAAAAAGAATCGTGAAATAAATCAATATCGCATTAATATTATGGTGAATAATGAAGACATATCCTTCGTAAACGAATACAAAAACCTTGGTATCTGGTTTGACTGCAAGCTACGCTTCACTAAACATGTTAACCAGCTATGCAGTGCGTCCTATAATGTGCTTCGTCAGTTATACCCGAGTCGAAGTGTCCTGTCGACACAGCTCAAGCTTAAACTCTGCGAGTCCCTTATCCTGTCAAAATTATCTTACGGTGACTCTGTTTATGGACCTGCTCTTTTACAACGTGATGCCGAGCGGATTCAGATGATACAAAACTCATGCATCAGATTTTCTTATGGAATCCGTAAATTTGATAATATTAGTAGCGCTTTTGACCAATCGGGATGGTTTAAGATGAACAAATTGAGGAAACTGCATTGCCTATCTCTGGTACATAAGACCCTTATCCTTAAAGCGCCATATTATTTTTATACAAAACTAACCCCCCTCTGCCAGTACGATCAAAGATCCTCTAGGAATAAACTCATCTTACTTATCCCGCGGCATTCGACAGCATTGTTCACATGCAGTTTCTCGTACTGGGCACCCAAACTATATAACTGCTTATCAAGTGAGTATAAAGAATATAATAGCCTAAGCAATTTTAAAAAAAGGTTAAAGATGAGTTTAAAGCAGTCGGATGGCTAAAATTTTACTTTATGCATATCCACAGGTAATTGATTGTTTCCTTTCTCTGATAAGTGTTATATTCTAAGTTTTTTTTTCTCTCTCTCTATAGTTTGTGTCAATGTTTTCCAGGTCGGGTTGAAAAACAGCATAAGCTGACACTCCACCTTTTCGTCACTGTTCCTTTTAAATCAATTATTTTGTAATCGTGTGACGAATATAAAGGCCATTTATTATTATTATTATTATAATTATGTATACAGGTTGGTGTATTAATAAAACAAGTTAAAAAAGAAATTCAGCACAATATTAATTTGTCTATATACTTTTGTCCATTACTGAACGTATATCACTATACTTTGAAAGCTCTCCCAGTCGCCTCCTAATGTCATTAGCATGAAATTCAACTGAGGGCCCAAATTTGCACTTCCATAGCGACCTACAGCTGTCTAGGTCTAGGCGGCTATGGTACTTCTCATATAAAGAAACGTTCTATACATTATCCCAACACGGTGATAACAGGTCACGAACTTTCATTTTGATCGGGACGTTATACAAATACCGAGCCAATAATGTGTGAATATCATCTGTTAATTCTTCGGTATATCCCAACTGAAACATGTCATTGAACATTTTAAACCTCTCTGCGTCTGATATTTCTACGACAAGAGCAAACGCGACACTTTCCACCCGCAGTAAGTTTGTTCCCGATTCTAAAGACCACCTGTATATCATAGGTACGTTCCGAGCACTTATCCGGAACTTCTCCACCGAATTCACTACCGTATCGCATATGTCGGATAGAAGAAATCTGTCGCTGAGCACCAACACATCCAGTAAGGTTTCCAAGTCCTGTTTTATGTCCACTGTTTCCACCTTATTGCTTAGATTTTTCAGTAAGTGTAGCAAGCACGCCAATGATTTCTTTTTAACATTGGTCAGTCGTACCACGTCCTCGCTGCTCTCCCTGAAATGGCCGCTGAGTAGTCCTCTGAAAAATTCCGACCTGTCGCTTAAGAACTGCCTGTCGGCTTGGAAAACAGAACCATCGTCCAGTTTGAACGAAACGATATGTTCGCAGTCTTCGGCTAATTTGTACTTGTCTTTGATGGTTCTAGTTTGACTTAGATTCAATGCAACGTCTTTGGGGTTGGCGATATTCAACTTGTCGGCTGCCATCATGCATAATGTCTTGATAGCTCGCTTTTTCAGATCGCCCTCATTCTTGGACAACTTTATGAGTACGTGCAGACCGTCGCAGAAATGCATGTACTTCACCAACAAAGATTTGTCCCTAAAATTATGAATTATATTACATTGCGAATGTGTTACCAATTTTAAGTAGTAGTAGTAGAAAGATTTATTTAGCATATTTGGCTACATAAACAGAACAATTGTAAACAACTTAGAACTAGTAAATTCAAGCCATATGGTGTATGATGTAAATGCTGGACAACCTATAATTGTTGATTTAACAAGTGATTTCTCAATTTTACTTTAAATTTTGTCAAAGTTTTCTGGTCTTTTATCTCCTAGTATAATTTATTATATTCAATGAACCCTTGATGGAATACAGATTTGTAGCATATGTTGTACTTTTTAGTCATTAAATAGAAGTCATCTTTATTTCTGGTATTATGTAATCGATGGTCGACATTTGATGATGTTAAATTAGTTAGACTTGATGGAAATATATTATTTTTTACTTTATAAATGAATATCATTACAAGATATTTGATAAAAAATTTTACATTGAGCCATTTTAATTTGCTAAGCATTTGCCTAATTGGAGTATATTTATCTTTATTTAGTATTATTCTCATGCACTTATTTTGTAAAATTTGCAGTCTTTCAAAAATGGAATTATTTGCTAAATATAGAATAATCGAACAGTACAAGAAATTTGGAAGAATGATCGTATTATAGATAATTTTTCTGCTATATGAACTCAGACATCCAGAAACTCTCGATAAATATCCCACTTTACTACTAATCTTATTTATAACTTTTTCATAATGAATATCAAAAATTAATCGAGAGTCAACAAAAACCCCAGGTATTTAAAATTTTCTACGAATTCAATATCTTCACCATCAATATTCAGTCGAACATTTGTACATTGTTTTTTTCCGATTAACAAGGCTTTCGTTTTACTTGCATTTAATTTTAGTCTGTTAGATGCTAACCATTTTGAGACAAGCTTCAAGTCTTCATTTATATAAGAGATACCAGACTGAATATTTTTAGTACTTATATAAATCATAGTGTCTTCGGCGAAAATCTGAATTTTGCATTTTTTGACTATGGCAGGTTAATCATTTATGTATAAAATAAAAAGAAGTGGTCCCAGGATACTGCCCTGTGGAACACTCAACGTATTTTCAATTTTTGATGAAATAGTGTCATTAACTTTTGTAACTTGCATCCTTTTAGACAAATAATTTCTAAACCAATCTAAAACACTTCCTGTTATACCATATGCCTTCAATTTACCTAACAAAATATCTCTATCAATCGTTTCAAATGCCCTCTTCAAATCCAAAAATACTGCTATGACAACTTCTTCTGAGTCTATGGCTCTTCTAAAATTCTCAGTTACCAACTGGAAAGCTGTTTCTGTGGAATATTTTTTTCGAAAGCCTGCCTGCGCCTCCACTAAAATTTTGTTTTCTTCTACAAACTGCATTAATTGGTCATGCACTATGGACTCTAATAATTTTGGGAACTGGTGTTATTGTAGAGCATTTCAAATTTCCAGGGAAAGAACTGCTTCTCAGTGAACAATTGATCCAATTTAATACAGGATATCCCAAAATTTCGAAACAGTTTTTCAGCACGTTTTTAGTAGTCATTTCGGCACAGTTGTTATTTGATTTTAAACTGTTTACTTTTTTTCTTAGATAATTCAATGATATGCTGTGAAATTTTGAAAGTGTATGCAACATTTCCCCCTGGAAACTGATTTTCATATAGTCAGGTGCAGCATTGGCAATACTTTCCATAAAATATTCATTTAGTTTGTTTGCAATCACCAAAGAATTTGTTTCGGTACCGCTTCGAATTGATCAGTCTTTTTAAAGTCTTCCACATCTTTACACTGTCGCACTTGTTATTATCGATTTGTTTATCGTAAAATTTCCTTTTTTCTTCTCTAATTACATTAAGGCATGTTTCCACCAAAAGCGACTAAGAGTGTGCCATAAGTATGGACACATCCAAATATCTCCGAAACTAAGGATGCAAGATAAAACTTTGGATACAAAAGTTTTTGGAAATCAAACGGTGTGGTGGATTGTACGTTGACATTCACCTTGATCGTCATTTCAAGGGCAAGTTATTTTTTTCAAATGGGAACCCCCATTTTTTATTGCAGAAAAACACAGCCAGAAAAATGTTCTACTCAACAGTATATCATAGGGGCTAAAATAACAACTAGAGGTTATCTCAAGGTCAATTGCTCTTTCATAGAATGTTGTGAAGCAGCGGATAGCTTGAGTAAAGAGGAATACTAAAAAAGGACTTTCATTGCGAAAATTGCAGGATACCGAATGGCACATCTGATGGTGACCTTCATTTGACATTGGCTTTCATCTTGAAGGCCAATTCAAGGACAAGTTGATTTTTCACATGGAAACCCTCAATTTTGTTCTCAGCGCTGAAAATGGACAAAAATTTCATGTTCGAAGGTTTAATTAAACCTAACGGAGGCAAAATCACACCTACAGGTTATTTCAATTTCAAAATATTTACTGGCCGCAAATAATCTTACCTCAATATCTTGAAGAATCAGTCCAAGGTCTCATTTTTCACTTGCAAAGATTATCGGTCGCTTCAGACTAATCCACGAAAATTTGACCTTGAAATAACTTCTAGGTGTGATTTTATCTCCGATAATTAAACCATTGAAGAAATGTTTCTCCATTTCCAACAGTGGGATCAAAATTGAGCGTTTCCGTAAGAAAAAATCAATTTGAAGTTGAATTGATTTTCAAGGTCGGAATGAAGGTCATCATCAGATGCAGATGGGTGTCCTGCAATTTTCGCATTAAAATTCCTTTTTTAATATTCCTCCTTTTCCAGTTATCCGCTGCTTCACAACATTCCATGAAAGAGCAACAATTGACCTTGAACTAATCTCTAGACCTAATTTTAGCCCCTATGATATTTATACCGTAAAGAAGGATTTTTTTATTTCTATTTCTGCAATAAAAATGGGGGTTCTTACTTGAAAAAATCAACTTGCCCTTGAAATGACCTCCAAGGTGAAATCCAAGGTCGCCACTTGATGCGCTATTCGATTTCCTAAGACTTGTATCCGAATTTTTTTCTAGCGCGAGATATTTGGGTGTGTCCACATTTTTGGGGACCCTGTATGTGACGTCCGCCTATTTTAATATGGTATCTTCAGGAGAAAAACGTTAATCAATGCCTGAAGATACCGAATTAAAGTAGGCATTAGAGAGGCACCAAAAAGGGATTCTTTTCAAAGTAAATTTATAAAGGACCCTGCAGCACGGCTCGATCAATTTGGCTAATTTTTTTTATATGACGTGGCATTCTGACTAAATATCTTAATGTGCATAGACCCCAAGGCTCAACGGATCCCAAGATATAAGTCGTGAAAGTCAGTATAGTGGGGTACCTATTTTACTTAGCTATATACAAATACTGTTTGTGCATACGCTTCGAGGCTGGGCGACAAGGGAGTTACTAAAAGTCACTCACAATACTATGTACATTTTTCATGCATAATCACTGCAGACGTTTACTGAGAATTCATACTATTTACTTCTTCAACTTTTCATTCGATGTGTCTAATCACATGTCTTCTAATTTATGTTTATACTATTTAAATGAGAATTGAATGGGAATTCTGAGTAAATCTACTTGACATTTTTGAGTGCTGTTATTTTTTCTAGAAAGTGTCCCATGTTTTCCTTTCTAGAGGAAAATTCGGACACATACTGGTTTACAACTTTTCCAAAATTGTCTACTTCAGTCTGAAAGACTACACTCGAACACTCGAATTGTAAATACTTGATTTCGAGCTCTGACATTTTACTGGCAAATTATCTGCTGACTAATTTGACATTAAACAGTCAGAAGTTTCTGTACGAACAGCGGATTAGTTGTGGGTAATCGATCTTAGCTTCCTCAGCCAACTCGTAACGTTCTCATGTACGCAATCTACAGGGTGTAAACATTATGATAGTCATTATTTAAATGGGTGATAGAGTGGGTTAAAAGAAGCAAAAAACTTCATATAACATGGGGGTCAAAACGGCATTTTTTCCCGTAGGATTCTATGGACTATGGTATGCTGATATCTGCATTGATTTCCACGATATTTAAAATTTGTTCCTCCTGCTCTACAATAACCTGTCTTCCACGAGAGCGAATATTAGTGGGCTGAACACTTCCTGTATCTCGAACTCTCTGGTAAACTTGCACAAATGTCCTGTCTTGGTGTACCCGTTGGCGAAATCTGTTGCGATAAATTTGAGCAGCAAGATTTGAATTCTGACGAGCTTCACCGTAAACTAACAACATGTCGGCGAACTCTTGATTCGAGAACATTGTAAATAAACACGACTACGTACGCGAACAAAAACAGAACAAGACGCCCGATAACTAACCACTGCGTTTGCGATCGATTGCCGCTCCGATAAGAGTGATGAAAAGCCGACGCGCTGTTGTCATTTGTGTTTTAAATACTTAATTTAATGAAACTTACTGACTACACTAAACGTTTAGTTTACCTGTGTATGTAGGGTATAACCAAGAGCAGCTGCTGTTTAACCTGTTCTCCTCCTCTAAGAAGGGTGTATGCTATTTCTCCTTTCCCCACTCCAGACTCCGCCAACGTCGTCATCTGCCTGAGAATCAGCTTTCCCACGAATTTATAGTTGTCGCATTTGTTGCAGAATTGATTGTGTTGAACTTTGGTTAGATCATAAATTGTTTCGATGAATTTGGTTTTCATCAAAGGAATAAGGTACTTTGCGGAATCAAGGATACGCAAAACAATATCAACCGTGTTGATTTTTGTTGATACAGTGGGCTTGAAGTACGTGGAACACTTCAGAAGTGCAACCAGCATCTCTTCCGTTCCTAATTCGGGTATTTTAGGGTCCACTCTGATGATGCAACTGATCAGAATTGCTATTTCGGTAACCAGGAGCGATTTCAAGTGGACTATATTGGGTTCTTCTGGTAGAGCTGAAACAATCAATGCTTTAAAATCAATGTGTTCAGGTCACATAAGAATTTTATGTGCGTTCCACTGGGTGTCCAGGAATAAATTTCCATTTTTAAAGGCTAAAAAAAATTATCTTCAAGTTTTAAAATTAATTCTGCAATGCCAATTAACATAAACTTTATGTTTAAGGTACCCCCACACAAAAAAGGCCCAATGGGGGTGAGATCTGGAGATCTAGCTGGCCAGTTTGGGTCTCCAAAGCGACAGACGATCTTTTCCAGGAATAATTCCCGAACGACTTCCATGTTTCTTGATCAAAGCTATTAAATTCTTGTAGCCGAGGTACCAAAAGCTCCCGAAGTATTGCACAGTAACGATCACTAATTACAGTCTGGGCTATGCCACGTTGGTTCTCAAAAAAGAACGGACCGACAATTCCTGAAGCCGACATTGCACACCGCACAGTTACTTTTGGGCTACGTAGGGGCCTTTCTTGTTTTTTCGTTGGAATCCCTTGTGCCCAATAGCGACAATTTTGCTTTTTACCTGCGCCTGAAAGGTAAAAGTGAGCCTCGTCACTGAACAGAATGTTGTTAATTCGGTCGTTTGCAAAAAACGGTTTATCATTAGTAGTAACGACGGTTTGTAAAGTTTAATTCTTGCACTATTTGGATCATGTAGGGATGAAGCCTTAAGGCCGCACACGTCCATTTTTTTCGCTTTTTTTTCAACTACATGTTTGCAACAGTATTCTAAATCCTGTTCATCTGACTAATTCATGATGTGTATGGGTATTTCTCAGCAAATTTCGAAATTCATGTCCTGAACCACTGATGCTAAGTTGCATGGATTTATCATCAATTTAACATTTTTATTATATCAACAAGTATCTATACTAATATTTTAAAAGCAAAAATTTAGACAATATATTGACACAAAAAAATTAATTTATTAGTCTAAAAGTCATTCCCTCATCTCGTCCATGGGTCTGAAATTTCTAATAAAAAAATATATACAATCAAATCTGTTCATATTCTTATAAATTGAATATTACTAACATATACTTTTTTTAATTCACTAATGCTCTAAAAATGAATATTTCAGCCGCAGTAAAGAATCAACGTTGGCGGATTTTGGTTCTTGACATCCTTTACGATCGGTTACGATGCCTAGAGTACGGAGACCTGTACGATTTCGTCAACTTAGTGAGTTTGATAGGGGCCGTATAGTGGGACTTCGGGAAGCTGGACTTTCTTTTTGGGCAATTGCAGTTAGAGTGCAAAGAAGTGTAGACACTGTGGTTAGGTGTTGTCAGGCATGGCTTCGAGAAGGCCGTACGCAAAGAGCAAGGGGCACTGGATGCCGCCGTAGAACAACAGACCGTGAAGATCGCCGCCTAAGATTATTGGCCTTAAGGGACCGTTTCTCCACTACCAGGTCCATTGCAAATGAATGGTTTGCAGAACACGGAAGACCTATTGGCATGCGAAGTGTTTACCGACGAATGAGAAGTTTTGGCTTGTTTTCATACCGGCCACACTGGGTCCTCCCTTTAACTCGAGAACACCGACGTAATCGCCTTGAGTGGTGCAGTCAACGGTCACTCTGGGATCAGGAATGGAACAGTATTGTCTTTAGTGACGAGTCTCGATTTTGTTTAGGCATGCACGATGGTCGTGCCAGGGTTAGAAGGCGACGTGGTGAAAGGAGGAATCCAGTTTTTTGTTGAAAGACATGTTCATCACACTGTTGGAGTTATGGTTTGGGGTGCTATAGCTTATGGTTCCAGGTCACCTTTAATCTTCATCAGAGGTAACATAAACGCGCAGTTATATCCACGAAGTTCTAGTTACCCCATCTTTTACCCTATCTTGACACCCTAGCAGATCCAACTTTCCAACAAGATAATGCCCGACCACATGTTGCAAGAGTCACAATAGACTTCTTTCAACATAATGATGTCACATTGTTACCATGGCCACCAAGATCTCCCGACTTATCCCCAATTGAGCACGTGTGGGATATGATGGGTAGGAGATTGCTCAATTTGCAACGTCCTCCTCAGACTCTAGAAGCACTTCGAGAGGAGTTGGTGGTTGCCTGGAATGAGATACCACAGGAGGACATTGACCACCTGATCAGAAGCATGCCTAGGCGCGTTGGAGAATGCGTAGCACATCAGGGTGCATCCACACATTATTAAAGGTCAAAGGGCTTTAAAGCAGTGCAATCATTTTGAAATTTTTATCATTTACTTATTATGCTTCATTAAATACTTATACAAAATTTTATTAAAATAAAACCATTTAAACTGGGTGTTCGGATTTATATGTCACTTAGTATATTTGGTAATAAGTATGGATTGTATAGTCAAGCTTTCATTGCTAGAAAATAAATATGTATATAAAAGAATCTATTTAAACTATGTCCCTTGAAATAAAATCATTCCCTCACCCATTATAAATATTCGATTCGGGGTCACACCATTTGATATTTTTGAACGCAGCTGCTAACTTATGTTTTTTATTGAAATTGAGCATCAAATTGTTGTAAAAAGCATTCCCCCATCCTATCAGTCATTCCCGCATTTCATAGTTTTTTAAAAGTCATTTTTCTACATGTTATACACAAAAATATGGAAGACCTTCATTTTCAATGAACCTCACTAAAGTAAAACTTTATATTTCTGAAAAAAAAGATATATTTTCATTATTTTTTTTTTAAGAAATGCAAAATGAAATTTCTAAATTTGTTGAGAAATACCCGTATATAGATGACTAAAAAACATCGTTATTAATTTTGTTTTGTCGTAAATTGCATTTTTTGTGCATTTCATTGTGGATTTTTTCGTCGATCGTAACTTGTTGGCAAATATTAGTACAGCTCTGAAATTGTATCTGAATATTACACTTTTATGGATGAATGAAACAAGTGATAAGAACACTTTTTCTCTTCGAAAAATCTTTGATTTTCTTGAAAATTCAACTTGCTGCGAGACGAGGCTTCAAGAAAATCAAAGATTTTTCGAAAGGGAAAAGTGATAAGAACAGAAGTAATCACTTGTTTCAATTTCCATAACAGAGTAATATTCACACACCATTCCAGAGCTGTATTTATATTTGTTAACAAGTTCTGAATAAAGAAAAAAATGCATTTTTTCGACAAAAAAAAAATGAAAATATCGTTTTTTAGTCATCTCTATACACACCATGAAATTATTAGATGAAAAGGATTTAAAATACTGCTGCAAACAGGTAGTTGAAAAAGAATCTAAAAAAAGGGACGTGCCACCTTAACTCTCCCCTTGAAATTGTATGAAAAGACACACCACCTGTGATGTTTTTCGAACAGATCCACTTGGATTTTGAATCCTAGCGGCCCGTACAGCTTCAACATTCTGAGGAGTAGTTAGTCCTTGGCGTTTCACATTTAAAGCTGACGATGTTTCTCTACGCCTCTTTCACCCACGATAAATTTTTACTTGGTGCGTCTTCCACACGCCTAATATTTAAGTGAGCACAAAACCATCGTCTTTTTTTTACTATATAATCCGCATCGATCCACAATCGAAGGACTCTGCGCCGTTGCCAAGTAATTCGAATTTAAAAAGGGAAATTTATTCCTGAACATCTTGTATATCTTGGAATAAAATACCTTGACTCTGTTTTTCTTCCGAGTCCTCTTCATTGTCGCACTCGATATCGTCCAACAATTCTGCTGTCTTCTGATTTTCGTTCGAATCGTCTTCCTCGTTTTCGCTTGAGGATTTCTTATCGTCCTCTGCATCACTACAAACCTGCACAAAGTTTGAGTAAATCATGTTACACGGTCAGTATTTGTTTGTCTGATAAATTGGAATGAGACCACTACGTGTGGAGCTACTGCAAAAGACAGGAAGAGCAAGCGTCACCTAATGGCGTCTTTAAGAAGAAAATAAAATCAACGTCAACGCGGGTGTGACTATTTAATTTTGCGAGGTTCTCTAAATGTGGTGGTAATAAATGATTTTTTAATTTGAATATGAAAACGAGAACTAAATAATATATGAAATTTTTCACAAGCAACCACTGCACATCCAACATAGACTAAATCCTAGTATATTTGTTTTTATTTAAAATGATTCTCATAGCTTTATTTTGTAGAATTTGTAATTTTGAAAATATGTTTTCATTTGTTGTAAACAAGATGGTTGAACAGTATAAAAAATGGAGAAGAATTATAGTGTTATACACATTTTTTTTTGGAATACATACTAAGATTATGGGGAACTCTATAGAAGTAATTTATCTTTTTCGATATTTTTGAAATAATGTATTCATAATGTTCGTGAAACAGTAGCATACTATCCACATATATACCAAGATATTTAAATGACTCGACTACTTCAATTTTTTCATCATTAATCATGAGCCTAATTGTATTGTCAATTAAATGTTTCCCTATTGACATATATACATTTTTTTTTATTAGTGTTTAATTTAAGTTTATTGACATTTAACCAATTCATAATTTTTTTAATATCACTATTTAACAGTTCTAAAGCAGTGTCCAAATGCTTATGTGCCATATATATATATATATATATATACTTCGAAGTTGAGTCATTTATTTTAACAGTGAGTAGATCTGATCAAAAGAAATGTTTTTTCCTTTACCATTTTTCTGGTAAAATTAAAGTAACAAAGTTATAGCCCTTTGAAAGTTTGAGTACCGCCCTGTCTCAATAATAATATCATGTGCTCGTGTTTGGCAACAACGGATATAATCCGCCTTATCGGTTCATCGCATCGGAAACAAAAAAGCGAAAGAATTTGGAACGATGTTTTTACAATTATTTTATTCAGTTCAGTTATACATACAGTCAGTGTCATCCGGTAACGCGTGTGAATAGTGTCTGTTGCGTGGCTCAAACGAAATAAAAAATGGCACATGTTTATGCGGATCGGTTTCCCAATCGAGTGCAACCAACCCCTCGTGCCTTTGTTAATGTAGTATACAGTTAAATACAGGTCCGCACTGAAATACTTGTCGGGAGGATACTTTATAAAACAAGGTAAAATTTTTTTTTTATTTTTTATTTTTACACACATATTTTGGTTTATCTTCCTTCTACAATTAATTACTCAACTTCAAAGTCACCCTTGTATATTGAAACAATCATTTAGAATATTTTTTGAGAGATTCTCACTTGGATTTGTATGAGATTTCAATTTTGATTATTGATCTTAATTGTTAATAATCCTACCCCAGCTATTTGAACCAAATCCAAAAAGTCAGAGAAAGGACATTTTCGAAAAAGATTAGATGAAAAGAAAAGGATTGCTACAGCTCAACTTCAAAACCAAGGCATTGAAAAAATCTCTATTTGTTGCAGGATTGAAGACTTTATATTTTAGAAGATCAAAGTGATATGAGCTATATGCTATGATCATCTTAGTGTAGTATTGTAAGTGATAGCTAAATAAACAATTCTTTTCTATTCTTCCACTTTATTCTTATAGCACACCTCAAATTTCTCATTAACTAAACATTCTGCTTCAGCCAAAAGTTGTGTTAAAAACCGAACTTCTACAGCGGTCGGGCCCTAATTATGATCGCCAAAATTGTATAACAAATTACTCACCGGAGAATAGTCATCGGAATCCGACTCCTCATCTTCGTCGTCATGTGTGGGCGATAAGGAGCATCGTCGAGGAGACAAGGCCTGGAAGGTGGCCAAGTCAGAACCAATGCTGGAACAAGGACTTGGAGACCGATCGTACCGAGCTGGACAGTACTCGTCATCGCTACTCGACGGGGACGTAGAATATTGTTTGCGCAGCGTAGGACGCAAACAGCCCTCTTCCAGCAATCCGGAAGAACTGGTTGATGGCTGCAAAAATGATGAAACAGCCGTCATAAGGATTATGTTCAGCTCAAGATCCTATCGAAATAAGACAGCGCCATAGACATTATATCCTGGATTTCTATCCTTTCGTTCGTTGTTCCAGAGACCAAACTTAGACCATGCCGATGAGTTTCGAAAAAGCACGAAACAGCTGTTTGTGGTTGGCTGTATTTTGTTGTACGGTAGAAGGCAGCATGTTCAAGTTACACGCTCTAAGAAAAAAGTTACGAATATATACAGGATGATTCACAAGTCGTGACCAAAAATGAAACATCATCAAAATAAAAAACATTTTTTTTAATATCTTCAATACGATCCACTGGAATGAACTAAAATTATTATGTGGTTATACCTAAGTATTGTCCACATTCATAAGTCTTAAAATTAACGTGCTTCAGTGGCGTACATACAGGCGATTAGTGGCATTATTTTTCCAAATAAAAATGGTACGCCAGTTTTTTTTTCGAATCCCGTGTTTTTTTTCTAGAATGTACTGTTTTCGTAACAATAAAAACACTGGTCAACACTGGTTTTGCCACACGAACTTTGACAGCTAATTTTGTTTTATCAGTCTACCCTCATTATTACATGACAGCTGTTTTATGTCTATTAGCCTCATATTTGTTGTGATACGGTAATACTCATAACTAGTACTACGGCAGTAAATTAACAGAAACGCTTACAAGTAAATCCTTATAATAATATTTGTTGTTGAATTTGAACACTTTTTTGTGATTTATTAACCCTGTGAATATGTCGAGGAAGTGTAATAATGATCCTAACACTGTTTGTTATGTCTGCGGAGAACTAACATTCAAAAAACAACGACGAAACTTTACGATTCTTGTGTTGGAGTGTTATCACCAATGTTTTGGTTTTTCTGTCGCCCATCAAGACAAATCCTGGGCCCCTCAGGTCTGTTGCATAACGTGTGTGAAAAATTTAACTGACTGGAAGAAAGGTGCACGACCTATGCCGTTTGCTGTACCCATGATATGGACTGAACAGCGAGATCACGTTTCAGATTGCTATTTTTGTCTCACAGACATAAAAGGTATAAATTACAAGAAAAAAACCACAGTTATTTACCCTAACTTATCTTCGGCTATAAGACCAGTCCCTCATTGTAAAAAATTGCCAGAACTAATACCAGTTGCAACTACGTCTGTTGAGAACAATTCACAACCGTCCACTTCAGGTGAATGTGTTGACGAGGACGATGACTGTGAGTTAAAAGGAATTGTAAACGAGCCACATTTGATAACTCAAGGAGACCTAAATGATTTGGTTCGGGACTTAAATTTGTCAAAAAAGCAGTCAGAACTATTAGAATCACGTCTAAAAGAATGGAATTTGCTACATCATAATACAAAAGTTAGCTATTTTCGAAACTGTGATCAACACTTCAGAACGTATTTTTCTCAGGATGGAGATTTGGTGTTTTGCAATAACATAAATGAGATTATGAAAATGTTGGACATAGATTTTGATCTCTCTCAGTGGCGTTTATTCATTGATTCTTCGAAAGCAAGTCTAGAAGCAGTGTTATTGCATAATGGAAATAAGCTTCCGTCTGTACCTCTGGCCCATGCTGCAAATATGAAAGAAACCTATGAAAATATGAAACTTTTACTTGAAAAAATAAATTACAGTACATATTCCTTCAAAATCTGCGGTGATCTTAAAGTTGTTGCACTATTACTTGGACTTCAGCTGGGTTATACAAAGTTTTGCTGCTTTTTATGTGAATGGGATAGCCGAGACAGAACTAATCACTATATAAAAAAAACATGGCCTACGCGTGCATCGTTAGTTCCTGGGCAAAAAAACGTAAAGTATTTACCCCTTGTAGATCCAAATAATGCGCTTCTACCACCATTGCATATCAAATTAGGATTAATAAAAAATTTTATGAAGTCAATGGATCGCAATGGGAGTGGATTTTTGTATCTAAAAGAAAAATTCCCTAAAACAAGTGATGCAAAGATAAAAGAGAGTATTTTTGTTGGCCCTCAAATTAGGGAGTTAATAAAAGATTCAAGATTTGAAGAAAAATTAAGCGATTTAGAAACATCTGCATGGAAGGCTTTTAAAAATGTTGTTTCAAATTTTTTGGGTAACCACAAGAGTGACAGCTACAGAGAGTTGGTTAGCGAGCTATTATTGTCATATCAAGCATTGGGTTGCAACATGTCACTTAAGATCCATTTTTTAGACTCGCACCTGGATTTTGTTCCTGACAATTTAGGGGCTGTCAGCGACGAGCACGGTGAGAGGTTCCATCAGGACATTTCTAATATGGAAAAGCGGTACCAGGGCAAATGGAGCCCAAATATGTTAGCAGATTACTGCTGGACAATTAAAAGGGACCAACCAGAAGCTAAATATTCAAGAAAATCTTAGATTATTAAGTCATTTATAAAAAAAATAACTTTTGATTTACGAGATCTGTGTTTTTTCTTAATATTTTAAATTACTCAATAGAATAAAATCCTTGCCTAGCAAATTTTTTTAACTGTTTATTTTTTCTTACAATCACCAATTAAAGTAAAAAATATCAAAAAAGTCCGTGTGACAGGACAAAGTTAAAATTTTGTTGACCAGTGAAATTAGTTCATTCTGATTTCTGGATATTCCACTCCGCCCAGTTCGACGTTTTTGATGATGGCCTATGTCGATATCTCTTTAAACAAGATAAACATTTGCGGAACAGGATAGAAATGCCCGAAAAACGATCTCATTACTCTCGCGAAGCCCCAACAGCATCTTGGAATCATCTATATCATATCGCAAAGTTCGTTATTTCTGTAGAAGTGTGAAATTTTAATTTTTCAAATAAACAGACCGGTTGACTGACACACTGAGTGGCATCAGACCTTTTGAGGTTTCACTTTATAGACGGGATCGGATTCGTTACGGCAGATTTTTCCAGGACGTAATATCTTTGATGTGTTATAATATTAGTACTTACCGAGCTAGTTTTTGAGCTTCCTGCGCTTGGTTCACTTCCCAACGCTTTTTTTCTTTTCGTAGTATTTTGTTGTGCGTGTCGACCAGCCCGCTTCTTGTTCACAGGATTTCTTATCTTGACCTATACAAGAAACCTCAGTGTTGTGAAGTGAGGTTGCGAATGGTTGCTCTTTAATTGTTTAAAGTGACTAAACAAATTCTCATTAATCTGGCCTATATTTCTTAATATTTCACTAGTTTATTTTCATTTAATAAGCAGGAAATAGCTGATCACCCTACCAACTAGGCGAAGCAAATGCAAACGTAGCTTTTTCAACAGGGTGTCCCAATGTTCCGGGAACAGACAAGTACGTCGTAGTTTTAGAGTCAAAATAAGTCAAAGTTTTTTCAAATACATTTCTTAAGATATTTTAAGAACCGATAATCCGATTTGAATGTACACGTATGTTTTGCTAAACGTTCTAATATTTGACACTAAAGGGTTTGAGAATGGTGAAAACTGCTGGTGTTCAATATGGCCAATTGGATTGGGATCTGTATTCAAAATTTTACAAAACTCCTTGATTGGCAGAAGTGAAAAAACCAAGATTATCAAGCTCAAAACATAAATCTGTTGGTGTGCCGCAAGATAGTTAACTACTATTTATTATTATTATTATTTATGATATTTTAGATTACTGTAAAATTCAGATATTTGCAGAGGATACATTAATATATCAGATGAAAATATAGATACTGCTTTAAATACACTAAATTCTGACTTGGCAAAAACATAAATTGGTTAAATGTAAATAAACTAAAGTTAAATGCTTCTAACACAAAATATATATCAATAGGGAAATGCGTATATGGAAATACTACCACAGTTAGGATATTTAAGATGAAATAATTGAAAATGTTGAATCGATTAAATATTTGGGTATATAATGGGTGATTTTTTTTGCTAGTATCTTTTTGGCAACACTGTTTTTGACAGATGACACGTGAATCGTCTCTTGTGTCATTGTCAAACTTGTTCAGTTTGGTCTATAATTTAATCATGAATCGACTTACGAACGAACAACGCTTGCAAATTATTGAATTATACCAGCAAAATTCATGCTCGGTTAAGAGAGTGCATCGAGCACTGCTTCCAATTTATGGGCAATTTGGTCGGCCTACTGAGGGAGCTATTCGGAAGCTTGTGACTAAATTTCGAACCCAGTTTACATTACTGGACATTAACACGTTCACTGCGAATGACGCTGATCCGCGTCCGACCGATGTTTAACGAAAGGCGGCGGGCGCGGATCCGCGCTTCTGGCTGATATAAACTCACAAGACTGTGGTGTTCTGAAATTAATTAAAGAAACATCTTTAATAGGGTTTCAAGACATGTTTCGTGTTACTGCACGAAAAAAAACGAGATAGAAGAAGAAAATGTATATATGAAATAGTTTTCAATTACACAACTCACATCCAATAGGCTTACGACGCGAATCCGCGCTTCGCTTGTGCAGCGCCTAAAATCGTTTAGCCGCTACCATGCGCGCGGCGCGAGGCAGGTCGCAGCGAACGTGTTAAACCACCAACACGCAGACGTAGAGCGACGACTGAAGAAAATATTGCGGCTGTATCCGCCAGTGTTAGTGATGACCGTCGATTCGCCGCCATTCGCAGCAATTGGGCCTCTGTTACTCCACTACGTGGAAAATTTTAAGACAGGATTTGGGTGTAAAACCTTATAAGATACAGCTGGTGCAAGAATTGAAGCCACACGACCTCCCACAACGTTTCCAATTTGGTGAATGGGCGCTGGCAAAGTTGGAGGAAGATCCACATTTTTATCGAAAAATTGTGTTCAGCGACGAAGCTCATTTCTGGTTGAATGGGAACGTACCCAACAAGCAAAATTGCCGCATCTGGAGTGAAGACCAGCCAGAACCATTGCAAGAGCTACCAATGCATCCCGAAAAAATCACTGTTTGGTGTGGATTATGGGCCGGTGGCATCATCGGGCCGTACTTCTTCAAAGACGACAATGGCCGGAACGTAACTGTGAATGGCGAGCGCTACCGTGCGATGATAACAAACTTTTTTTTTGCCCAAAATGGAAGAGCTGGACTTGGCTGACATGTGGTTTCAACAAGACGGTGCCACATGCCACACCGCACACGAAACAATGGCCCTATTGAGAGGCGAGTTCGGTGAACAGTTTATCTCACGTTTGGGGCCCGTCAATTGGCCGCCTAGATCGTGTGATTTAACGCCGTTGGACTATTTCTTGTGGGGCCATGTTAAGGCTAATGTCTACGGGGATAAACCAGCAACGATTGACGCACTGGAAGCCAATATTGAAGCATTTATTCGTGAGATACCGGCCGATATGTTGGAGAGAGTGTGCCAAAATTGGACCTTGCGCATGGGCCATCTAATGCTGAGCCGCGGCCAACATTTACACGAAATAATCTTCAAACATTAAATTATATCGACTCAAATAAATATTTAATCGTTTTTTCAAATTTTCTGTGTTTTTTTTTTAAATCAAATCCTATACCTCTTAAAAAATCACCCGTTATCTTGATAGGAAACTAAAGTTTGAGTACCAATTTTTGGAAAAGCCACGTTTAAATTTGATTCATCTACGTAATATAAAAAAATATCCCCATAGTAGGAGTAACTTGCCTCATCATGGTTCTCCTTGAGTGTGTTTGAAGTGCCATATATCCACTGCAGTTTTTTCAATAGCACTCTAATCACATGATGTTTCAGCTGTTCCCGTATGATGCCATCATCATACTGGCATTGACTCAACGTGGTGACCAACAGAATACAGCATTTTAGCTGAGTGGCATCCAGCTCTGACCAACTGTCCAGCACTCTAATCAGAACTGGCACACATTTTCCACATCTGTCCAGGGTTTTGTTTGCTGGGTGTTCCAGTAAGAGGCAAAGGCATTGAACGCATTCTAGGTAATCGGTACTCGTGCTACTACTGTTGCTTGTGTCTACACCTGAAGAGTATAATTACGTCAGTAGCTATGCAGACATGTTTTTCAATTCTTTATATTTTGAAAAACACGAAAATTGTACCTCGACCAAAAGGTCATTTTTCTAAAGAACCGTTTACGAGATTTTCGCAAAAAACGTGTTTTTGTGCCATATCTCGGAAACAGTAGGCATCATTCTTTAGACGTGCGTAACTTTTAAAAGCCACACAAATTCTCTTCACGGAATATATGATTTGCGTCAATTAAATTCGTTGTGCTCGCAAAATAGCCGTTGAAACTTGAAATGCATTTTTGAAGCTTTTTGAAGATTCTCAAGGTTTATTGACTTTTTCGGGGCAAAAAATATTTTTATACTTATACTTAAATTATGTAAGCTTAAAGATAATTCTGTCACCTACATACGAGGGATGTCTTTTAAGTTTTGCATATGGAAATAAAACAACACGGTAGGTAGTTTTAAATGACTTTATAAGTTTTGAAGATGAGTTGATTGGGCATATATTGGGTTGTCGGAAAAGTCATGACGTATATGCAACAAAGTATGCAATCGCATGGTTGGAAGTACGTGAGTCAATGACATTTGTATGTTGATTGTGTAGTTTGACAGTTGACACTTCAAGCTTCAATAAATAGACGAGTTATTATTATGTAAAAAATATATACATAGCCTTACCCTCAGGATTAAGATATCTGTGAAGTATGAAATCAACGAGGTTATCACATATTTCTGTGACAGGCAGCTCTGAATGCAACTGACTGATTTTTATAAAATTCATGATAATCTTGACAATCTTCTTCGGAGACAGAAACAATACATTGTTTAGATGAAGCAGTGCGTTTCCACGTTCTGTATTCGTCATTTCCAAAATTGAATTGTAGTACTTATAGCGAGAGTAATCGTATAACAATCGTATAATGTGATGGAGAAGATTCTGGTTGGTCTGATGTTCTTGCCACTCTGTGCTCACTTTGATAAATAAAGATCCAACCGCTTTCAGAACACCAAAATCCTTGACCAGTGGTATAACGGTGCGGCAGTTTAGTAGCATTCTAGAAAATGAAAACACGCTTTTGTAGTTTTTGCTATGTATCTCTTATTTGCGAAAAAATGTTTGCGCTTGGTCCCATCATACCAATGATTATACCCTTTAAGACAATTAGCTGGGTAGTAGGATGATGTTATGCTTCTATAAGTAAGAACATATAGTTGATGATGGCTAAACTTTCTTTGAAAATTCAGGAAATCAGACACATCTAATTGCTTGCAAAACAAGCAAGACAGCTTTTAATATTATGTTTGCTTAACCTATTGCAGCCCGATGCATTTTTTCTGAAGTCATTTAATTTTACATTATAGGTATATTGAATTAATACTAGCAAATACCGGGTGATTTAAATTCGACCCTCAAAATTGGAATCTGGGAAAGAGTAAGAGATACGAAGTCGCTTAAATAGGTGCAAAGCTGCCTATTTAACTAAGACAATGCCACTCAGAAAATTTTAAAATCCAGAGTAGACAAAATCGAATTTTCCCAAAACCGTTTTATATTTTTCTTTACTTTATTTGTAGTGGGATTGTACAATAAATTGCACATTATCATTGCCACTTCTTCTCCTCTACAAGATGGTATAATTACAACTTCAATATGACGTTTCGTCTTTCGTCCTCCAGCATCAACTTTCTTTTTTCTTATGGACGACATATCGGATTTTGGCGCAAATAAATAGGGTTTTTATTTCCGATTTCAAAAATGTATATGTCATACAATATATTGCCAAGCCTTAGTTATTCCAGAAAAACAGAAGTTCCTAGGTAGGCCTTGAAATTATCAGATAGTCACTTATTTCATATACCAGACCAGACCTTAAATTGAACATAGTAACAGAGTTTGGAAGACTGAGAAGAAGGGAAATAAATAGAGCAGTGAGCAATGTATAGAGAATGGTCAGGCTTTGACTGCAAAATAACAAACATGATATTAAACATATGCTATGGTTTACCTCTTATTTATGATTATTATTGTTATTATTATCAATAAAATGTTCAATTTGTGTTTCACCATACCTTTTTATTTCCATATGATCTTCAACCAACAACAAAAGTCCATTTAAATGTACAAAATTCCATATGAAAAACAAGAACAACAACAAGAAACCTCAAAATGAAAATTTGACTAGGTTATCTTTTGTAGAGGAGAAAAAGTATCAATTATAACACGCAATTCATTTTGAAATCTCATCTCAAATAAAGTCAGGGAAAAACAAAAATTGTTTTGGGATGAAAACACGTGACTATCTGATAATTTCAAGGCCTACCTAGGAAATTCTGCTATTCTGAAATAACTAAGGGTTGGTAATGTCAATATACGACGTATCTGTGGAAAGGTCCAATATGGCGTCCATGATGAAAAATAAACTTAAATTGAATTCTAGAAAAACTAAAACGATATTAGGATTAGGTTTTGAATTTCGAGACATTCTAAACAGTGAGGGTCGAATTTGAAACAGCCGGTATAATATGACCCTTCAAATACCAAAAAAACCTAAGCCATAGGCGCAAGTGAAGTCAACTATAAACTGGTTGCCATAGATTGGAAGTTATTGGTTAAACATTAAAAATTCTTCAGAACATATCTCTACAGTCGATGAAAATGCTGAAAAGTACATACATTAAAGATAGGCAATTGTTAAAAATAATGACTACGTTTGGGATGTAAATATTTGTCTGACATTTAGTATTTTGGTTAAATATTGAACATTTTGTGTTGCAAGGTTCAAAATTGCTCCTTTATCAGGCATGATAAAATTAAAGGGAAATGAGACTCAATAGCTTACCTTAAAGTTCTGATGGCCATTGAAAGAGTGGCCTCTGAATACTTTTCATCTGGTGGTATCTCGTAAGCTGCACTTTTTTTCAATAATTCAACAATATGTGTGACAATATATGGTTTATTGTCAATTACCAAAGTTGCCCACTGATCTTTCTTATGTTGGCACATATTGCCTATTATTCTGAATATTCTACCATTGATGCTATCAGATTTTTGATGGTGTTTTAATATGTGGTTTAGTGAGGATATTATATTGTGTATACCCACCTAAAAAACATATTATTATTAACATGATCGATGAATGTAAAAATTAAAGAAGCAATGCCGTGTCTGAGAGCTACTCAAGGGTGTACTTTATGCAGGAAGCTAATTATCATTTTCCAAAAAAGGACGTCCAGCCCTTCAGAAAGACAAGCGTTCTTGAAGCTATCTGTGTACCGGATACATCACCCTCGCCCTCGTCCCATTGTCCCGAAAACGCCAAAGGCCCCCAAAAAAGACACGGTCCATACGTTTCAGATGTTACATACTCCGTATTTCACGAGTATCCATCGCGGTAGAATGACAGCTGGTTATCTAGTGATATTTCAAAATTCCCCATATCTGCAAAGGACACATAATTCTGACGGATCCGTCAATGCCAGGTAGACAGAGCCATAATTTATTTTGGTTTTCAGTATGCTACAGATTCATTTTGTCCTTGCTAAAAGCTCTTTAATTTAGAAAAGTTAATTTGCATACAAAAACAAAACGCTACAAACAAATTGTTGCTCGATTTACACCCGATTCATTATAGACTAACACAAAAATGTCACCTGCTGATCAGCTGTTCACATCCGTAAATGTCAAAGTGTGATGGATACTCGTGAAATAGGGTATAGCTTCTATCAATAACCTCAAAGCATCCATATAAAATATGTTTTGATATGTAATGGTAAATTCAAACTAAATCACCTTTATATGTGAAAACATTATGATGGAACATAACATTATAATTTTAATAAATATGGATCTATTAAAACTACAATAGACATATTATTGTTCTGATTTGTTCTGCCTTACTAACAAAGACCCCCATATCTCTGAAAAATTCCATAAAATTACATATTTGCACCAAACGAATAATCAAGATTTATGCTACATATTTACATAGAGAAAACCCCATACTTTATATTTTTAAATGTTTTATGGAGGAAAATAGTTTCCCCGTAAACGCCAAAAATTGCATTTACACTTAATATAAGCCCCACATATTACATTTTTTTTAAGAAGACCCTGGTATGTACTCAGTACATATGGGCTTTTAACTAAGGGAAATCGATATGCGAAGTATTTTCTAAGGAATAAAGCAACTCCGCTATCGGCACTGCCCCTGCCAGGTTTTCTCTAAGCATTTTGCGGCGTAAATCGTCGCTTTATTGCTTGGTTTTCGACTTGCCATTAAATCTCCCTACATTTTTCATTAATATATCAGTTAAAAAATGTCTGAATATAATAATAATAATAATAACGCCTTTATTTGTTGTAAATAATATAATAAACATGTTGTTAGTGGCAAGCATAAACATATTTTGCATTGGTAAGTTTCCCTTTATAATAATTATAGGTCTCCTAAATTTTATTTTTATCAAAACATGTCTCAGATCTTTGATTATTTTGAGGATACATTAACAGAAAAATTTTGTATTTGTTACCAATTAGCCGAATTTGAATTAAATGTGTAATTATTCTTAACACAATGCGTTGCTTTCTTAGCCTGTATATAGCATAGCTAATAACATAGCTATGGCCTAGTATTGCATATTTTTTTCTTAAAAATGATTACCTTGATACTATAAATTGTATGATGAATGATCTTATTACATTAGTCAAGTAAAAGTACAACCTAAACAGCAAAAAGCTTTAACCACAATTTTCTCAAAACTTGTTCAAGTGGAGATACAGGGGTTTTTCTTGATAGGTGATGTCAGCAGTTAATGGCTATTTTGAGGAGCAAGACAGTTCTTATTGTAAAAGGGGTATCGAACTTATTGAACATCGCTGGGAAAAGTGTATAGAGCTCAAAGGAGATTATGTTGAAAAATAAATACATTTTTATACAAAAATTTTGTGTTTTCTTCGTTGGGTCGGGTACTTCTGGGACCACCCTGGTACAGAATAAAGGATGTCCCTCAATCTCTCCTGCTCTGGACTATAAACAACTCTACATTAACCTAGGGCAAAATAAGTATAAGTAAAAATTGTTACCAAGTCCCTCGCACAGCCTTTATCCATCATGCAGTTCCCTAAAATGCTGAGACATACGTCCATAATATATCTTTGTGGCATCTGCAATATAGAGACCAATTGACCCAGGCAGCCTTCGGACCTTATTTTTAATATGTTCTGTCTGTGTTGTGGCCAATCTAGTTCTTTCCTGATATTGACCAGCAACTTGTATATGGATTTGCTGTCTTGAGGTACGCTAAGGGCGTTTAGAAAAGTATTGAATTGTGTTTCGTTCATTTTCGTAACATATGCCTCAGTTTTTATCAAAAACCTAAACAAAACCTACAAAATTTAAGTCAAAACTGACATTTGAGGTATAGTAGTTAGGCAACCCTACACTCAGAAACTCGCTTAACTCGTTGCATAGTAGAAATCTGAAGCAGCTTGAAGAGGTATTTTCGTTAAGGAGAGTTTACACTAGCATGTAGCGCTTGCGCAAGTTTTATTTGCATCCAACTTGCAAATGTCGACACTAAAATGCACGAAGGTTTAAATAATTGTAACGCGGACTTGCATGCATATGTTGCTTTCGCAAATAAATTCTGTTTTGACAGAAATTACTTGCGCAACTAACAACTTCCGCGAAAGCTCCACTTGTGCCCTAGCTGTACTTTCCTGTATAAACCTGTTGCTTGCAGGCAACTACTAAGTACTTGTAAACAACTGACGAGAGTGTTTGGTCGTGTGCTCTGTGCAAGTTTCCCTTGCAAGGGTAGGTGTGCAGTGTAAACTTTAACTTGAATGCAAGTACAGTTTGCATCAACTTGCATGTCCTACTTACGCAAGCGCCACATGCTAGTGTCAGCTCTCCTTTAGAGTTGGCCACAATGATTTCAACTTGTGATTTCAAGTAAACGCCATCCCATATACGTAAACAATATTGTAATTATATACGTCTGGATATTCTCATGAGTTATATAAGCCGTTCCTGCTGATATGCTAGAAGACCTAGAGTTTACTTTTTTGTTCTACACATATCTTACAGGCAGTCAGATTTAAGTCTTTGTACTGTTAACATCATAACAATACTGTAATAATTTTGGAAAAGAACCTACATTTTTGAGTTTTGCATTATCGCAAAATAAAGTTTTTCAAAAAGCGATCTCGAGGCATCGATTTCATAACTCATGTAGACAATAACAATAGCAAATAACGGTACCTATATTTAGGTCATTCGCGTGTATAGAATGCCAGTAAAAGAGATTATACTTAGCTCACAGATCCAAATAAGTAGGAGAAAATTCTAAAAGATAATACATTCTTGAAACAAAATTCAAATGCAATTCTCTAAATTTAGTTTCAAATTCAGATTCCAAAATCATAAAATTACAGTAAAATGTACCTACTTCTATGGTGTCTCTACGAGGGATGTCTTTTAAGTTTTGCATATGGAAATAAAACAACACGGTAGGTAGTTTTAAATGACATTATTGTTTTTCGAAGTATTATCCACGAATATTAATACATTCCACGTTTACTCACTAGGATCGTTGTGAACGTCCATCTATGGAGGAATCACTCAACTAAACTAAGCATTATTGGTTCCATAGTTTTGTGTTGTGAGGCTGAGTGATCGTCGGTAGTTTGTATCTCTGAGAAGAAAGTTGGTTGAATAGCAAGATCGTATCTGGATGATTATGTGTATTGGTCTGCATGTGTATAAAATCAGTTATATTTGCTGTGTTGAATATGCCGAATATGACGGGTTATTTATATGTTGTGCTTTCTGAAGAGAGATTATGTTCAAAGTTATAAATTACGAAAAACTGAGGAGAATGACGGGAAATCATCACTGCGCCCGCGTTGTGTGTAATTACTGTTAGCATGTATATGGCTTGTGATTCGACAGTGTATAGTGAATATAATTATTTCTTATCTCTCTAATTTTTGAAATTCAGCAAATTTGTATATGTAATTTCCAGAATGGATATGAAAAAGTGGATGCGCAACTAGTTTCTAGCTTTGAAGCTCAATTAAGTGTATTTGAGACAAGAACCCGATGTATTTATCATCAACACATACAACTTACAGCTTAGACCTCCAGTAATGCCATCTCAGAAGCAGATGTTACATTACATCAAAGCCAAAGATTGATAACCAGCCTCATGATGTTTAGGCAAAACGTACAACTAAGTGCTAAATTAAAGGCTTGTAGAATAACCTACATAATGCCAAAAAAAACAGCATAATGTCAAAAAAATCGGCATAATGTCACTTTTCAAGATACGTGATACCCGTGCCGATGAACGCGGCTTGACTGCTGAACGCTTGTCTTCTGCGCTAGTCCTTTTATGCTCTCTTCATTCCCGTTTGTAATGATAATAGTTCTCCGTCGTCCCTTTATATCTGCAAAGTCACGTCCAAATGATAATAATGATTAATTTCTGGAATATTTTTTGTATTTCACTAGTTACATTTAAATTAGTAGGTACAAATATGCAATTGTTGGTTGATTTTTGAAGCCACTTTCAGAATCGTTGCTTAATTTTGCTTATAGCATCCCCCTTGAACCAGCTGTGCTCCACTACATTCGCGATATCTATCCTTTGCTTGACGTCTTGTTCTAGTAAAGCGACCTGTAGATCTTTCACGTTCTTGGGACAGTCATCCCAGAATGCGGTCACTCTTTTGATTGAATTGCTAAGCTGGCTCTTCAGCATCTGTTTCGGACGTGTGTCGTCGAAGGGCATTGTGGCTGTCAGCATTACATAAAGAACTACACCTGCAAAACAAGTTAGTTCTTGTACGAACCTGGTCAAATATTGATGTATACAAGTTAAACAATATATCCATCATGCCGAGTATATCAGCTCCTCAGCTCTTAGGCCCGTATCGTCAGTCGTCCCTACAATTGTATGGCACGTTTATGGCCTCCTTGATTGTCATACTCCTTTCTCTCCTTCAAAAATTTCTAGATTACACTTGTCCCGTATCAGCGTCAGCGCTCTCCTATTGTGAAGATATGTTTTCTTTTTAAATTGTAGGAAATTTCAGGCTGATAAGACATGATATAACTCAAAAGCAAGCACAATTTGATGCAAATAGGTGTTTGTGACTTAACCTCTAAATAGAGCGCTGACACGGAGAAGTAGAAAACTATGACAATCAAGGAGGCCATAAAGGCGCCCTACAATTGTAGGGACGACTGACGATACGGGCCTTAGTAGGAGATCTTCAGTGGCGTTAATATTGTAACAAGACTGAATGGTACTACTAGCGCCATCTGTTGGGAATCAGGCCAGGGATTCTCTTTCGGCATCGACGCGAGGTGCACCCCGAAGGTTCTGGACTGGCCGTTATGTGGCGTACCGGAACTTTCTCGAATGATCGAGTACGTGCGATGCGGAATATACAAGCCGATGGCCGGGAGAGGGAAGAGGGTTGAGTGAATGACGCGACATGATAATTCGTAAATAAGTAGTCAGACATAAATAGTGGTTGGTGTACATAAATGTTCTATCTAGTTAACTTAAAGTTAGTTGTGTTGTGTTTTAAATAAATGATTGCATTTCTTTTTGTGGAATAGTGTTTTAATCGACACCCAAAACGACCCAGAAAAGCACTACAATATGTACAGGGTCCGGCACAAAGGTCGGACGGTTTTAAAAAAATTACAAAATCTTTAATTTTCACTCAAAAACGAATTTATTGACGGATTCGGGCTCACAATGAAACACTGGCGCTCCCACGGGAGGTGGGGTAAAGGGGGTAATTACCCCCCCCCCTAGACGACTCGAGTAGTCTTTGAAAAGGTGGTATAAAGCAAACGTCTTCTAAGAAAATCTGTAACTTTAAGAAACGATAGCGGCAACACTGCCAACTCGCTCAGTGCGCATGCGACTAGGGACGACTCTCCCACCAACAGCAACGGTGTGTGCTTTTCCTGTTGGAACAGGTATAGTCTAGTCGTTTATGGTCTAGTCTAGTGTCTAACTTCTGTACCAGTCCGCAGTCCGCAACAAAATTTGGCTGAGAAGTGAACAAGCGAAGTTTTGTTGATATTAACGCTATTTTCTATGTTCTATTGATTTTTTATTTTGCACGCATAAGCCGGAAAATTAATTTTTGTTTGTTTTTAATTTTTATACTACTTATAAAAGAATCGCGTCTAAAAAATTACAGACGGAAAAATGGAAATTTAATATACTTTCAATTACGAAGTGTTTGGTCCACACTCCAGCTATCATTATCATCTATGTCTATTTTGTCTCCCTGCATATAAGCACTTCAGTGCATTTCGTTCGTCCGATAGCAAATTATATATTTAATTTTTGAAAATTGCGTGAACTTAAGAAATCTTGTTTTCCAAACAGAAAACGTTCTTTGTTATGAGATACGTGAATGCGTGGAAACCAATAATACCGTTTATTTGACAATATTGTGTAACTTTTAGTGCTGGTTGACGGCTGCTGTTGTCAGGATGAGTAAAAGGAAACAGAATGCCATCGATTGGTTCCTTTCTAAACAAAACAAACTGTCTGATCCACCTGCACAAGAATTACCGGAAAAAACTGATGATAATCCTACAATTCAACCTGAGCATTCCACTGCAAAATTTCTTGATGTTACATGCTGAACCAAGTGTTGAACAATCGGGTGCGAAACCTGTTGCGCCATACTTAAATTTCAGCGGCAACTTGTCTTCTCATGAAAAATATACTTTATTGAGGTGTGCAACGATCCCCAATGACTCTTTCAAATATCCCTATTCCACACACTTGAAATATAATAAAGAAGTGAAATGTTACTTATCAATAGAACACTTTGAGAAATTTCCTTGGCTGTCATTCAGAGGAACTACAAGCACTTTTCTGTAAATACTGAATGGTTTTTGCAAAATTATGAGGAGTACATAAATCAACTAAATTGGGAAAACTTGTCACCGTACCACTAGAGAAATTTTCGAAATTGTATGGCAAAACCGGTGATTATGAGACACATGAGAACTCAATATATCATACAGAAGCAGCCTAACTCAGGATTAAAGACAGCATTCGCAATGAACAAGGTGAGAATGCACCAGCTTGAAAAAGTATCTGTTAAAGAGTACCCGATACCTGGGTAAGCGAAAACCCTATTAGCTCGTCTCACTCGACATAAGATTTGAACCTCACCTAAGGACCAGATGTCATACTTCTTAGGATCATAAAACTGTCCTCGTAGTATTTCAGGTGCAGCATAGGCCTTTGAACCACAAAACGTATTCGACATAAGATCTTCTCCAGCTTTGTCTTTACAATACCTTGAGAATCCAAAATCACCTGTGAAAGAAGAAGAAAAAAAAAGTTGAATCATAAAAATGAAATAAGTATCGATGTATAGATAAGGTGACCATAAGTATTCCAACAATCCTTTGATAGTCAATCAACTGTAGCGTTAAGCAGCGTTAGTACTTGCACCTGGAACGTAATTTCAAGCTAAGTCAATTAGTTCAAAAATCAAGTCAAATAGTGAACTCCTAAATCTATCTAGCAGGCTTTGACACAGCCTGTCAATCGAAGTGCCCTTCTTTGATCCGCAAATATAGACAGTATAGTCAGAACAGCTTCAGTTTAACAGACATGTGAGTGACGTTCCTGCTTGGGCCTTCTCTAGATATTGCTGAGAGTGAAGACGTTAGACTTTCTAGCCCTGAATAGATAACTCAGCTTTCTCCCAGCAGCTGCTAACAAAGGGCATTCGGGCCCCCAACAAACCTTCTAGTTTGACTGAAATTAGCAGATAACAAATTTACATTCTTAATATACCTAACTTTGCAGAACCCTTCTGTGTCAAAAATACGTTCTCGCATTTGATATCTCTATGGGCGACATCCAGATTATGAAGATAGTGAACAGCATCAACGACTTGTTTAAATATTGATTTGCATTTTTCTACTGCAAATGGACCGTGCATTCGGATGTACTCCAACAGATCTCCTTTTTCACAGAAATCCATAAGCATGTAAACGGATTGTTTGGTGTCTATTACCTGGTAAACTTGCACTATGTTTGGATGTTTTATATTTGCTACGATTTTCAGTTCTCTGGAAAGGTATAGAATAAGTTAGAGGACTGACAAGGATATTTTCAAATACTGCAAGGTCTACACCAACAGGAGGTTCCACGTCCTATATACAGGGTGTTTCACAACTTATCCGACAAATTTTAACCACATATGCACTGAAACGAAAGAAGTTGATTTCTCAAAAAATGTAATAAAGACCTACAGAAATTAAGTTATAATAAATTGAAAAATAAATATACTAAGTGACATATAAATCCGAACACCCAGTTTAAATGGTTTTATTTTAATAAAAGTTGGTGAATGTATTTATCTTACTGTAAATAACAAGTGAAAAAATTTTCAGCCTTATCAGTTGGACATTCCGGTTTTTATACTGCTTTTTTTAATTCACTAACGCTCTAAAAATGATTATTTCAGCCGCAGTAAAGAATCAACGTTGGCGGATTTTGGTTCTTGACATCCTTTACGATCGGTTACGATGCCTAGAGTACGGAGACCTGTACGATTTCGTCAACTTAGTGAGTTTGATAGGGGCCGTATAGTGGGACTTCGGGAAGCTGGACTTTCTTTTCGGGCAATTGCAGTTAGAGTGCAAAGAAGTGTAGACACTGTGGTTAGGTGTTGTCAGGCATGGCTTCGAGAAGGCCGTACGCAAAGAGCAAGGGGCACTGGCCGCCGCCGTAGAACAACAGTCCGTGAAGATCGCCGCCTAAGATTATTGGCCGTTTCTCCACTACCAGGTCCATTGCAAATGAATGGTTTGCAGAACACGGAAGACCTATTGGCATGCGAAGTGTTTACCGACGAATGAGAAGTTTTGGCTTGTTTTCATACCGGCCACACTAGGTCCTCCCTTTAACTCGAGAACACCGACGTAATCGCCTTGAGTGGTGCAGACAACGGTCACTCTGGGATCAGGAATGGAACAGTATTGTCTTTAGTGACGAGTCTCGATTTTGTTTAGGCATGCACGATGGTCGTGCCAGGGTTAGAAGGCGACGTGGTGAAAGGAGGAATCCACAGTTTTTTGTTGAAAGACATGTTCATCACACTGTTGGAGTTATGGTTTGGGGTGCTATAGCTTATTGTTTCAGGTCACCTTTAATCTTCATCAGAGGAAACATGAACGCGCAGCGTTATATCCACGAAGTTCTAGAACCCCATCTTTTACCCTATCGTGACACCCTGGCAGATCCAACTTTCCAACAAGATAATGCCCGACCACATGTTGCAAGAGTCACAATAGACTTCTTTCAACATAATGATGTCACATTGTTACCATGGCCACCAAGATCTCCCGACTTATCCCCAATTGAGCACGTGTGGGATATGATGGGTAGGAGATTGCTCAATTTGCAACGTCCTCCTCAGACTCTAGAAGCACGTCGAGAGGAGTTGGTGGTTGCCTGGAATGAGATACCACAGGAGGACATTGACCACCTGATCAGAAGCATGCCTAGGCGCGTTGGAGAATGCGTAGCACATCAGGGTGCATCCACACATTATTAAAGGTCAAAGGGCTTTAAAGCAGTGCAATCATTTTGAAATTTTTATCATTTACTTATTATGCTTCATTAAGTACTTATACAAAATTTTATTAAAATAAAACCATTTAAACTGGGTGTTCGGATTTATATGTCACTTAGTATATGTATTCTGCGTTCATCGTCGTAATATTAGAACACGCATTAATAACTGATTGTAGCAAATGTTGTAACAAACAACTGACGAAAATAAAATACCACGAATTTTTATTAAGTGAACTGTTAAACTGTATTATTTTATTATCCCGATTTCCGTAGGACTTTTGTTACATTTTTTTTTTGAGAAATCAACTTCTTTCGTACATATGCGGTTTAAATTTGTCGCATAAGTTGTGAAACACCCTTTATAGATAATACAGTATAAAAGAAAAGCACACCAATCCTATGTTAAGCACATCTTTGGTATATACGTAAATGTCCTTCATTCACCCAAATATGGCTGCATGAATAAAATTTCAAAGTCTTTCCCTTTCCCTACGTTAGCAGTAACTCCCCTATAAATAGTGTTTCATTGGGAGCGAGAAATATTATAACATAACCATGGTTATGGGCCACTGAGCACCTTATGCTGAGTATTTCAGTTGAACACCATCACAAATGAATCTGAGGAGTTCGAAGTTTTTATTAAAACGTTTATTTGTTTTAAATGCACATTTTCTACATAAACTAAGTTTCCTAAACTGATAAAACAGTTTAAAAAACAGATACAGCCTTGTTGTTGCTGTGTTCCTTTATGCAATGCAAACTATAATTCTGCTTTGAAAACAGAAAGCTATGTTTCAACTTTTCGCTTCCCAAGTACCGAAAGTCTGAAAAACAAATGGCTTATGGCAATTCTGAGAAAAAATTGAACACCTTCAAAATATTCAGCTGTGGGCAGTCGTCATTTTAGAGAATCGGATATCATCAGGACAGTAAATATAGTTTTGGCGGATGGAACAGTCCAAAATAATATACCGTTGAAATATCCAAAATTGAAAGAAAATGCTGTTCCCTCCATTTTCCCAAACTTGCCATCATATCTTTCAAAAACTGAAGCACCCAAAAGAACTGACCCAATGCAAAGAAAACAAAAATTAATTGAGAAACATGAAAAAGCTATCCAGAATTTCGATGATATGGATAAGATCAAAGATAAATTTAGTTCAAAAATGTGGATTTGAAGTTATTTGTGTTGTTACTGATAATCATAGAGCAATGTTCAGGAAATTAGCAAAGGATTCGTCAGAAAATTATTCTATTCCAAATCCACATAATCCTGATAAGAACATATATTTAACTTATGATGTTGTGCATATTTTCAAGAGTATCAGAAATAATTGGATTAATTTAAAAAACCTAGACAAAACTTTTGTATATGCTATTTTTGACAATAATGATATTATTCAGTATGCTAAATTTGAAAACATTCGTGCTGTATATCAATTGGAAAAAGAAGCTGTAGTTAAGAAAGCATATAAATTAAATTATAAAACATTGCATCCAAATTCATTTGAAAGGCAAAATGTAAATTTTGTAGATAATTTATTCCATCACTCAACAATAGCTGCTATGAAAGAATTAAAGTTTAATGATGCTGCACACTTTTTGGAAATAATCAGGAATTGGTGGGATATTGTCAGTAATACAAGTGTAATAAAAGGAGAATTGAAGCGAAACGAATTTTGTAAGCCTATTACCAATAAATATGATTATAGAGTACAATATTTTTAAAAAAATTCCTGACACCTGACACCAGAAACGTATACAGCTCTATATCAAAGCACGCTGACTACTTAATATAATTGAATATTCATTTAATCAATTTGACATTGAGTATGTATTGCCTGGAAAATTTACCACTGATAATTTAGAAAAACGATTTGGCAATTATAGACTTTTATGTGGCTGCAATTACAATGTGTCATATGATGAAATTTTAAACGCTGAAAAGAAAATACGGCTGAAGCATATTTTCAATGAAAATAAATCGTCATTTTCTTTAGCAGAAATTAAAACAAGGTTCCAAAACTGCTTAGAAACTCGAGAAAATTTTGATGTCTTGGATACCAAACAAAATCCTGGATATATTCAATGAAGTATTTGAGACAAATTACTTAGCCAATTGTGACATAGAGGATAGTACTAAGACTTATATATCTGGATATGCTTCACACGCTATCTCTAAAAACCTAAACTGCGAGATATGCAAATCGCTAATAGTTAAAGAAAAAGGTTCATTAACAACAAATGTTTATTTTGATCATTTCCAAAGAGGAGGACTGTCAATTCCAACCAGTTATGTACCAATCATATTCTACCATATGTATGCCATTTTTGAATCTATTATTAATGTAGATAGATTGGAAATTTTCTTCTTGAAAAGCAATAATCAAAAATTTATTTTGTGTCAGTTAACCTTGCTCAGCATTCAGTCTGACTTTATATACAGTGAATTTTCTTTAACTTGCATCTGTGGCCGCAATTATGCAGATATTTTATCTAAGCTTTTGTCTATTTTTTCAAACATAATTTTGACACCAAAAAACGTAAACTAAATACCTTTAATTAGGTTAGCTGCATTAGCGACTCATATATATCACGATTATTTCGTATTTTTAAATTTTTTAGAGCTATTTCATATTCAGACGATTTGTATCGAATCGAACTGTCCTCTTTTCCAAAATTAAATTTAGTTCTTGAACGGTACCCGGAGACGGAGCACACAGCCGCTGGCGGCCGACGTTCACAGGTAGCACTACCATGCCGTCCGAGCGCGGTGTTGCCTTTCTTTCATCACGGCTCGTAGTTGACGTCGGCTGTGGTACTACCCATCCCAAAAACGTCCGTCCTCTCTGCCGCACCCTGTACTTTGAAAAGGCTAGATGGAGCTGTAGCCACCTAAATTCTTGCGTCATCAGTGAGGTACTAACAAGTTCATGCTATATATAGTAAATAGAGAAACATTTACATACATTCTTATAGATGATGCTACAATATCTCATTTTATCTCGAATCATTTTTGGGACGCGCATTATGTTGGGTATCTGCAGATAGACTTTGCCTATAACAAATCGAAAAACTGTGACTGTACCTTGGGAAAGACCTGTTTGAGAGTTAGGTCGTATTTTTTCAGGCATGTGTTGACTTACCTTGGCAGGAATTTGGTAATGAATGCATCCCCAGCATCTTTTTTCCTCACTACCTTACATGCAAGCTTCTTCCGCGTCTGATCTGTGACAACATACACTTTGCTGTACGTTCCCGTTCCTAATACCTTTCCCGCTTCGTATCCAAAATTTTTCAAAATGTTCCTTTGTGAAATGGGACTGACTATCACTTTTTTCCTAGACATGTCTTACCGTAAATTTGTTTGTTGTCAGTGTGACGTTTATGCCAAAAGGCTCTTGACGTTTTTCAACAGTTCTTGACAACCTGCAGCGATGGGGTAATCTCCCGAGTTTCTCTGGGTAATGAAGCCACATCTATGTGAAATTCTTCTTTAAGGCCGATTTATAAATTCTCAGTTGGTCGTTAGTCGTTGCAGCTGGTCCTTGCAATTAGTGGTTGCAGTTCAGTAGCAATTTATAAACTCCCAACTGCAACTGTCAATTACACTGGACAACAAATTTTAGTTTTTTAATTGTATCTTGTGGGAAAAGTGCACTTCTGTTAATTTTGGGGCGCTGAATCCAAAAATGACAATGAAATAAAAAAATTAGCTGCGGTTTAGAAAAAAAACTTTATTTTTAAGGATATATTAAAAAAAGTAACAAGATTCATATACTTATAAGAATCACTATATGCGCTGTCTTTTTGCTGTTCTTTTATGGATCGTTTCTGGAGCATCTCTACCAAGAGTCCAACAGTAGTCTGCAAGCATGGAAGGATTCCACTTTCCCTGGTACCTTTTTTCCATTGTTGAAATATCCTGATGAAAACGTTCGCCGTGCTCATCACTTACGGCTCCGCAATTGTCAGGAAAAAAGTCCAGGTGTGAGTGTAGGAAATGTATCTTAAGAGACATATTACAACCCATCTTTTGATACGATGACAGCATATTTTTGACAAGGGTTTTATAGTTGTCAGCTTTTCTATTTCCCAAGAAATTAGTGACCACCAGACGGAAATCATTCCAAGCAGTTTTTTCAATACCTGTTAAAGTGTTTTCAAACTGTGTATCTTTCAAAATATTTCGAATCTGTGGCCCAACAAAAATACCTTCTTTAACCTTTGCCTCACTTAGTCTTGGAAATTTCTGACGCAGGTATTGAAAAGCTGACACATCTCTATCTAATGCCTTGACAAAGTTTTTCATTAGGCCCAACTTGATATGCAGTGGTGGTAATAAATTTTTTTTCGAATCTACTAATGGCATATGCTGTACATTTTTTTGACCTGGCTCTAGGAATTGACGAATAGGCCAGTTTTGTCTGGTGTAATGAAGTGCCTTTGCCCGACTGTCCCATTCACACAAAAAACAGCAAAACTTTGTGTAGCCTAGCTGCAACCCAAGTAAAAGTGCAACAACTTTCAAATCACCACAAATATGCCATTGGTGCTCATCGTATTTTATGCATGTCAATAGGTACTTCATATTGTCATATGATTCTTTCATGTGAACTGCATACCCTACAGGAAGAGATGGTAAAATATTTCCAATATGCAATAACACTGCCTTTAAACTCAATGTTGAACTGTCTATAAACAGTCTCCATTCTTCTGGGTTATAGTTTATATTTAAAGCCGCCAGTAAGCCGTTAATGTTACTGCAGAAAACTAAGTTATTCTCCATATTGAAAAATGGTTCTAAGTCTTTGTGGCGTTTACGAAAAACATATACCGAAACATCGTCTTCTAACAAGTTCCACTGCTGCAGTCTTGATCCAAGTAACTCTGCCTTACATTTTGGAAGTTCTAAATCTCTTCATTTAATTCTGACTGTGTTATTTCGTGCGGTTGGTGGCATGACGTGCTCGGTATAAAATCAGGATCTCTTGACGTTGATGGCATATCTTCTTCCTGACGAATCACTCGATCGCCATGATCTGATTCGTTTTCTGATTCGCAAATGTAGGATTCTGGGGTTTTTGGAATATGACTTTCGTCACTGTGAGACACAGGTCTCATCGCAGATGGTATGTTTGGGTAGTTAATAACCGATTTTTTTTTCTTGGACATACCTGTGGCTTGTCCAACACAAGGTACCATGCAAAAGTAACAATCATTAATATGATTTGTAGGCTTTCTCCAAACCATTGGGACAGCAAAGCGCATAGACCGTTTTTTGCCATTTAACCAGCTCCTCAGACTTGAAGTACATGTATTACAGCAGATGTGGGGTGCCCACTGTTTGTCTTGATCACCTAGTTTACAACCGAAATAAAGCTGATATGCGTTTGTTATTAGTGGAGTAATAGACCGTCTCTGAGACGCAAAAGTCACATCACCACACACGTAACAAAACTGATCTGGATTGTTTACTCACTTTCGAGACATCTTGCATGAACGCTGTCAGCCAACTGAGGAAAAAATGGCTAATATAAAACAATATAATGTACACGTATGTATAACGTAACACAATCATGCCGATTACATCATCTTTCCTTGCCGAATAGAAAAATGTAGCACGTGCATTCTTGTGAATTACAGTATATTAACACTGTCACAGCAGGAACACATATAATTACCGTATCTCTAAAACTTGAACTAATATTGAAAAAATAAGTTTCATTCCGGTTTTAGCACATTAAAAATAGTAATATTTTGTTGATTTTATGCAGGATATTTTTTGGCTGTTGATCAGTGTTACCAGGAACCTAGGCCATACATAACCTCAATCTCAAAGTGAAAATTGTTCATTGTGATTATGAGAACTAGGTCAGTTTAGTGAGCGCGACCTATTGAACTAGTTCTGGAATTTCTGGATCGCAACGCTGCCAAGTGCGAGACAACAATGGGCTAATTGTTCTGTTGAAAGTACGGAGTCACCCTACATGACGCCATTGTTCTTTACTGTTGCAGATGATCTTTTCTTTGAAGGGGCTTACAAAGTTTTTAGATCCAGACAATTGGTTTGTGATATCTGACTACAAGAAATCAACATTGCAAATACTTCAACAGGTAAATAATTTGTCTCCGACAAGATCCTATAGATAGACACATCAGTAGCACCTGTTCTCAGGGAGAATGGATCAAAGGACCAGGCATAAAACATATAGAAGTGGATCCCAGTCGATTTAGTCTAAGAATAAAGCATTATATATTTCTTGCCTTCCCAAACAAACGTGTCCATGGGACCAAATGTTTTATTAGTTTCTGAGATAGTTTACCTGATTTGCAAAAATGGTGGATGTGCGGATTGTAGTTCTTAGACCAAAAACTCGTTATTCTAAAAGGAATATTTCGTAAAAACACCTTGTAGGAAGGTATTGGTAGGGGTCACGTTTATCGTGTCCGTTATCTTTACAAGGTCAGTTTCAGGGCAAGTTTTATATGTTTATGCTGTGATAGATCTGGCACGGGTTGGTCGAGTATTCAGGAAACTTGAAGGATAGGTAGTTTTTCTAAGGACACAGCTTATGTCTTACTTATGATGCATTTGGTAATCTACAAATATTATTGATTGCATCCGAATCTTACGTTCTTCTTAAATAAAATATTTACATTGCAAAAAGTGTTAAATCAGATCCAGATTACAAAGCATCCCTTTTGTACGGTTTACCAAGGAGCCATACGCCATTCGAAGTCCATTGATACAAAACTTGTCTAGGAAGTGTCTAGATTTTCCGATAAAAACGAATTTTTAAATAAAGAGTTCCAAGTGGGAGACATTATTTATTTACTACAAAAAAAAATAGACACGTAAGCACCTAAGCTATAAGCAATATACAAATTCAATGCATGGCTAATGGTCATAAAGTGTATTATGAGCAAATGTATATAAAAAAAGAAATAAAAGCATTAGATAGAAACAAATGACTAGGTTGAGTCAAGCTACAATCGATGCAAGCATGTCAAAGTTATTTAAGATCAACTTCTTAATTCTTTTTTTGAAACTATACTTCGAGAGGATTTTATATTCTAGGAGTACTTTATTATACAACCTAATACCATCAAACTTTATGCATTTTTTGCAAACAGATTTATTCACTCTGGTATAAGTGTAACTTATATTTATTTTAGTTCTTGTTTCGTAAGCGTGGCTGTTTGGAACATTGTTTCTGGAGTGAACAAATTTCAGAGCTGCAAAAATATATAAACCTCACACATTCAGCAGAACATTTTCAATGTAAACGAATCTGCAACTTGACCTACATGGGATACGAAAAATAGTCCTGACAATATAATTTTGCGTGGTTTGTAATATTTTTAAAGTACTAGTGTACGCGGCTCCACATATACTTATCCCTTAAGTTAGTAGAGACCCCACAAACGATTTATATATTGAGAGAATACTCTTTCTGCTTAAAATATTCCTAAGAATAAAAAACTTATGAATAATTCTCCTTAATTTCGATGCCAAAAGCTCGGCATGACTCTGCCATTTTAAATTACTATCAACAATGATTCCTAAGTATCTAATAACTTCAGCTCTTTCGACAGTGTCAGCACCGTCATTTATAATTAATGTTCGGTGGTGAAACGGCATGCCTGCTTTGGTTGGAGAAAACGTTAGTTTTAGAGATATTAGGTTAAAGTAAATTGTTATCCAACCAGCATTTGACTTTATTTAATGACAACTCGGCATTGCGTATTGCGTCATCCCATGAATGACCAGTGCAAACTAAAACAGTATCGTCTGCATATGATATCATTTTACAGTTGAAATTGCATCGAAGTAGTTCATTTATGTATATGAGGAACAGTGTTGGTCCCAAAACCGTCCCCTGAGGCACACCTATTTTGATCTTTTGAATGCTGCTGAAACCTTAACTTGTAATCGATCAGCCAAATAGTTTTCAAATGAGCTCAGAACTCCAGTACGCACTCCAACACTTTCTAGTTTCTTTAATAAAATTGTATGAGATACTGAATCGAAAGCCTTTTGAAGATCTAGGAAAACTGCAACAGTCTTATTCCCATCTTGGAAATTTTCAAGCACTTGTCCTATAAGTTCTTGTAGAGATTGCTCTGTATTGCAATTTTTGCGGAACCCAAATTGACAGTTCGATATTATGTCATATTTCTCAAGAAAAGGACAAAGTCTGTTATTCAAACACTACTCAAAAATCTTCCCAAATACATTGATAACTGAAATAGGTCTATAACTGAACATATTGTCTTTACTTTCAGATTTAAATATTGGTTTCGCTATGCTTTCTTTAAATTGGCGAGGAATTACTGAGGATTTGAAACAGAGGTTGATTATGTGAGTTATAGGGTGACTGATATACTTCATGATCATCTTGGTAGTTTTAATGTGTAAGCCATCTTTTCCGGGTGCGGTATTATTTTTCAGATTACAAACTATTTGCTGTTACTCTATGTCATCTACTGGAGTAAGAAACATAGAGTGAGCAATGTTGACGACATGATGATGTATCAAGAATTGAATTTTGATCAATCTGACTTGTTATTTGTTATATCAACAAAACATTTACTAAAAATACAGGCTATATCAGTGGGAGCGTCCAGCTGCTGATTATTGTGATTAATTGATTTTACGTCATTTTTTTATTTTTCCAGCATTAGTTACCTCATTAATAACATCTCAGCCTTTCCTATAGTTATTACCTGCTAAAATTAATTTTTGTGTGTAATATTGATTTTTAGAGATCTTAATAAGATTAGTTACTCTGTTTCTGTAGGAGATACAGGACTGTCTCAATATCAAACTATCATTATCTTTCGTCAAACTCTGTTTCAACTCATCCCCCTTCTTGATTGAAGTAAGAATACCGTCAGTCACCCACGGCTTGCGTTTTCTACTCTTACTATTTATTTTTAAATAATACGTTAAATGATCTACGCCTTTATATAATTCATTATAGAAGTTTAAGTTGCTTTTTGAAAAAACACTGACCCAAGTCACCACTTGCAAATAACCTGTCAACCTTTTCTCATCAATTTTCTTAAATTCATAGCTGCTTTTATTAATGATACAAACTTCCTTTCAAATATCCAACATTGAACAAAACAGGATAATGATCGGTCATACAATTTTCCAAAAGTATTGGTTTACACTCAATTGCTGTTTCAGAGACCTTAAATCTGTTTGTCTTCTAAATTATGTGGTCGATACCTTGATGCCGTTGTATTGTTAGAACGGTTTTGTATAAATTGAAAAATGTCCCCCTCTAGATTGAATCATTTAGTAACCACGAAAGATGGATAGTTCGAGAGTTAAGGTATCTGCAAAAGGGGTTTACTCACTTTGTGAAGCTACGTTCACATCAGTGCACTTTTCCTGTTCTTTTCACCTTCAAAATCAACATGACCTTAATTTGACCTTGTGAAGGTCATTATCAAAGTCGAGAAAACAACCACGATCTTTCTGTGCCCCTGAAAAGCTACCTGACCTATCTAATTGTCTGAATTTTCGAGCAACCAGATCTACTCCACCATAAACATGTGAAAATCAACTTGCCTTGTGATCATGGTCACTATCAACATCACAGCTTCCAACATCTTTTCACAAGGCGTTTTAACGAAATATTTCTTTTAGTATACTGGTTCTCAGAGTTTTTGCTTTCAAAACTAATAGGTGATTTTTTTGCTAGTATCTTTTTGGCAACACTGTTTTTGACAGATGACGCGTGAATCGTGTCTTGTGTCATTATCAAACTTGTTCAGTTTGGTCTATAATTTAACCATGAATCGACTTACGAACGAACAACGCTTGCAAATTATTGAATTTTACTATCAAAATTCATGCTCGGTTAAGAGAGTGCATCGAGCACTGCTCCTAATTTATGGGAAATTTGGTGGGCCTACTGAGGGAGCTATTCGGAAGCTTGTGACTAAATTTCGAACCCAGTTTACATTATTGGATATTGAACCACCAACGCGCAGACGTAGAGTGAGGACTGAAGAACATATTGCGGCTGTATCCGCCAGTGTTAGTGATGACCGTGAAATGTCGATTCGCCGCCGTTCGCAGCAATTGGGCCTCTGTTACTCCACTACGTGGAAAATTTCGCGACAGGATTTGGGTGTAAAACCTTATAAGATACAGCTGGTGCAAGAATTGAAGCCACACGACCTCCCACAACGTTTCTAATTTGGTGAATGGGCGCTGGCAAAGTTGGAGGAAGATCCACATTTTTATCGAAAAATTGTGTTCAGCGACGAAGCTCATTTCTGGTTGAATGGGTACGTTAACAAGCAAAATTGCCGCATCTGGAGTGAAGACCAGCCAGAAGCATTGCAAGAGCTACCAATGCATCCCGAAAAAATCACTGTTTGGTGTGGATTATGGACCGTACTTCTTCAAATACGACAATAGCGTAACTGTGAATGGCGAGCGCTACCGTGCGATGACAACAAACTTTTTTTGCCCAAAATGGAAGAGCTGGACCTGGCTGACATGTGGTTTCAACAAGACGGTGCCACATGCCACACCGCACACGAAACAATGGCCCTATTGAGAGGCGAGTTCGGTGAACAGTTTATCTCACGTTTGAGGCCCGTCAATTGGCCGCCTAGATCGTGTGATTTAACGCCGTTGGACTATTTTTTGTGGGGCCATGTTAAGGCTAATGTCTACAGGGATAAACCAGCAACGATTGACGAACTGGAAGCCAACATTGAAGCATTTATTCGTGAGATACCGGCCGATATGTTGGAGAGAGTGTGCCAAAATTGGACCTTGCGCATCGGCCATCTAAAGCGGAGCCGCGGTCAACATTTACATGAAATAATCTTTAAACATTAAATTATATCGATCGTTCTATCGACTCAAATACAGATTTAATCGTTTTTTCAAATTTTTTGTATTTTTTTTTTGAAAATCAAACCTCTTAAATACCTCTTAAAAAATCACCCGTTACAATCGGCACATTCACCATTTTTGCAAGTCAGACAAACTTTGTCCTATTTCTCAGAAACTAATCATAGGATTGCTTTGGTGTCATGGACGCTTTTTATGTGGGAGGCAAGAAATGTAACATACAGAATTTTTATTATACTATGTTTTGTGGCTCCTTTCTACATTTCTATGTAGTCATGATTGTTTACGTCAGAGTTCCCCAAACTTTTTTGTGCCGTAGACCCCTTGCCATGTTTTTCCGTGTTGGGTAGACCCCTATTTACCTGATATTGATTTCCTGTAAATTTCTAATTGTAGTGAAGTTTATTGTTAAAAACTTAAAGTAATAACACATGTTAATCTACACATTTATTAATTGAATTTAAATTAAAACTACTCAAAATAAAATTTTGTATCTGTTATGTAAAATATACGTACCATTAAATAAACAGGTGTCTGACCAATAAGTGCCCGCATTGGGAATAAGTGCACGCACGAAAAAAAAAATAAGAGGGATAAAATAAAAAAAAGTGAAAAATAATAAAAAAAAAGTTTTTTACTTAAAATAGTACAATAAGCGAGTTCGTTTATTAATTATAACATAAACGTATGTTCTACAATAATTTCACTATTAGTTTGATTAAATTCCGCTTCTTATACGTTTAAGTTATCTAAAAATAGGCAAAAAATTAACGAATTTTAGTGTGTACCTATCCTTGAATTTTCAGAATAATTAAAAAAAATATATTTTCTATAAGGGGGTTCTTTAAAAAAATCAATGCGGGTACTTATTCCCAATGCGGGTATTTATTGGTCAGACACCAATAAACATAAAATAAACTATAAATAAAATAACATAAGCAATAAGTCAATATTTTTAGTGAGAAGGATGAACCTGATGCTTTAATAATAAATTATCAACATTTGGCGTCAATTTTGTAAGGGTTAATCTTAAATCTCCTCGGCTAATGATGCCCAGTCTGTTTCTTTTTTTCGTTAGGAGATTGGTAACAGCGCTGAACCCCCTTTCCACTAGGTATGACGATGGAAAGGAAATTAAAAATTTCCTCGCTATATTCCATAATATGGGATAAGTAACGGGTATGTTGTTTTGCAGCCAGAATTGCTGATATCCGTTTTTAAACTGAACCTTAAGTTCTGCGTTTTTACTTAGTTCAGTCAGTTCCTCTTGTATTATGACATTCGTTTCTTCTATGTCACCATATGGATTAATTATCGACGGTGGACCATAGTCAAAATATCCTCAAACCTAGATTCAAAATCTGAATAGAGGGCATTTAAATGTTGAATGTAAGTTGAAACGTCGTCTTCCTGGCAGCTTGTCTGTGACAAATTGGGAAACTGAGAAAATTCGCCCCGTCCAATATTTTGCTTCAATAGTTTAACTCTAGCAAGAAACGCTGATAAGATGAACTTTGTTTTAATCAAATTTAAACTGTCGCCTTGTAATTGCAAATTAACCATATTAAATTTTGTAAACAAATCCGTTAAATAGGCGATGTCTGTTTTCCTCTTCATTAAATTTTCTTTTAAAATTTTATCTTTAATATCCAGAAATTCTAAAGTAGTCTTAAAAAGTGCAAAAAATCTTGTCAAACATAAGCCTTTCGACAGCCAGCGTACTTCAGTGTGAAGGAGTAATTGATGAAAGTGTTCGTCATTTTCTTCACACAACTGCGCAAATAACCGCGTATTCAACGCGTTGCTTCGGATTCGGTTTACTGCATCAATGACTAAATGAAGTGATTCATGCAATCTAACACTCAAATTTTTAGCAACTAAATGTTGTCGATGGATGACGCAATGTATTGCTAACACCCCTGACATATTTTGTTTTAAATAGCTTATAAATCCACGATAACGTCCAATCATGACAGGTGCTCCATCTGTAGCTACGGTTATCAAAGTTCTTGCGAAGAGCAGTTCTTCGTAGATTTTTTGATTCATAGTAAAACGAACATATGCCAATAATAATGCTGCATTATTAGGGAATGTTGACTCGTCCAGTTGTATAGAGAAATGGAACGTTTGCAAATAATTACATAAGAAGCTTTCAATATCAGAACTCATTTCATCAATACGACTTTCAACAGTATTGTTGCTTAAGGGAATTCTTTTAATGATATCAGATGCAAGTTTGTGTAAAACAGTTTTTAAAACCTCTTCAACGGCTGGCAAAATTAACTTCTCTCCGATAGTATGCGGTTTTCCGGATTTCGCTATAAGTAACGAGATATTGTAAGACGCCCGCAAACCATCATCATTTCTTTGTAACGTCAAAGCGAACATTCTGTCCAGTGTAGGTCTCGTCTGAAATTTATCTTTGAGTGTTTGAAAGTATTTCAAATCTTTCTCTGTTTTATCAGGGTGGCATCTTCTCTGATGATCTTGCAGTTTAGATGGTTTCATAGCGTCATTGCCCAAAACTTTGTTGCATAAAAGGCACATAGGCGATTGTTTGTCCGGCAATGATGGAATGAAGCCAAATGTCAAATAATCAACACTGTACTGTCTGCATTTCTCTTTAGATTCGGACATGGCATCAGTCATCTGTGGGCAAAATTAAATTATTTAAATAAGACAGAAAATCCAGCAGTTGTATATTAAAAATATTTTTTGATTTTTCCGAAAACATTCCATAATTCGAACATCTTCTTGCAACAATTAGCTCGAATTACGGAGATTGCACTGTAATTATATTACCGATTGCTA